GGGGATTTGGAGCATTCTTTGAAGATAGAGTGAGAAGGAAAAAGCTGCTAGCATTACTGCTACAAGCTCACTAGACTTGATGGCTGTTAAATTACATGTCAATTAGCCTAGTTGCTGAGGTTTCATTGCCTAGTTGCAAGCTTGCTTTGTATACATATATCCATTTACCCAAATGCAGACCTCATCATTCAAGTATAGCAACGCCCAAATGATTTGACGTCCTTCATGAACTATGCATCGCCGTGGTCCTGTGCAGAGGAGAAAGCTTCGTCTTCCGCTTCCTTATCCTTCGCTTGAAGCCCCTCTACTTCCATTCCCTCCATTCCCTCCACCTCCACCTCCACTTCTTCCTCAGCCCCAGCCTTTGCTATTACTTCACTGTCAAGAAGATCAACAACCCCGTTAAGATCAGCTTTGTCCCGCTGATTAACCAGCTCGGCATTATTGGTTAAGAATGATTGAAAGTTGGGTAGTGGGAATTGTGCGATATGTTCTTGAGCATTGGCAGTATCCTGTGAGAATACATCAAGCTGAGTTTCAAAATTAGCCCTCTGGCCCTGGGCTGCGGCGCCTCCATATAGCTCTTTGTGAATGGACTCGATAGCTTTTGCAAGCCTCAACGCAGCAGAATTTGTTTGCAGATCGACGATTTCTGTAAGTTCGAAGCTTGCCGCGGCAATCTCAGCTACCTTGACAATAGATCCGCCGAACTGCAGAAGTTTGGAAGCCATTCCCACTGAATTTATATGGCTGCTACGGGCCATATAGGCAAGCATATCACGCTGCACTTTGACTTCCGATAGCCCCTTGGACATCGCTGCCCGCTCCTCTCTAAGCTTTATATTCTTGGCTGATAGTTTGGCAACCTTGATGCTGGCATAAAAAGTCAATCCTTGGACATTGTCAAGAGTCTTGGGCTTCACGACTTTCTTGGCCTCCTTGAATTCGTTATCCGCCTCTCCAGCTGCATCTTCGTCACCAATTGCTTGGTCCTTGGTTTGCTTGGCTTGGGCGATGGCCTCCTTGGGATTTGGAATCGTAAGCTGGGACGGAGGATTGGAGGGTTCGGCGATGGGTTGCTTGGTAGAAGCAATGCGCTTGTTTGACATGGTGAACATAAAGGGTCTAGTCGGTTTTGCTAGGAGAGATGGTGTCTGAGACGCAAGATTGGATGGTTTAGATGGAGGTTTGGAGGGTTCGGCGATGGGTTGCTTGGTAGAAGCAATGCGCTTATTTGACATGGTGAACATAAAGGACTTGGCTCTGGGTTGCTTAGTAGTAGCATGTGTTTCCTTATTCGGCATAGTGGAGTGAACGTGGTCGGACTGTTGCTGCTTGGCTGGTTCTACTTGATCAGCGAGTGCGCCAGACATTTCTATCGGTCCTTTGTAAAGTGCAACAATCTTACGACTGGTATCCGATGAACTGGAGATGTTCTTCAGACCTTTCGGCCTTTTGAGAGCTGGCATATCGTCGGACTTGGGTGACCCAAGTTTGGAGGCTTTTGTACGAGGGCGTTTAGAAGACTCCTTTAACTCATCTGTCTTCGGGGCGAGGTTTGGCTCAGCTGCCTTCAGAGCGGGCTCATCTATCTTCGGAGGGGGATTTGGATTCATGAAGGGTATCTCGATAACCAGTCGACTTGATCCTTCCTTGCCAGAGTTGCTCATTGTGGATGTGTTTGTAGTAAAGAGCTTGATGTGTATTTGTGTGGTTCGTGGGAGATGGATTGTCGAAGCCGATGCCAGTTGCAGAGATTTGATTTTTTTGCAAAGACAAAGTCACTTCCATTTTCTGCCAACCAAGACCGACATCCGCTTTCATACGCCTTAAACTTTCATGATGTAATAGACCTTGCCTTTTATTAACAGTATGCAATCATTGAAACGCATAGGCAATACTCGAGGTACTAATTCGAGGGGTAGAGGCAGAGAAGAGATCTCGGATGTGGACTATTACTTGGAAAAGTAGACAAAGGAAAAAGCAAAGATTGTTCAAGAAGCAATAGTAATTGAAACCCTATCTTTCAACACACATTGTTAATAATCTTCTAGGCCAAGCATAATGGTCGAAGTGATGCGGGCGAGCTTCCTACTAAGGGTCAGAAATGCACCAATGTCTTCAAATATAAAACGCTTGGAGATACTAGCTTAAAGTCATGTTGATAGTCTTTTGGGCAAGTGTACTTCAAAAGTCAAGCTGATTGTTATTCTTTATAGTTTAGCATATAGTCCTAGTTGATTATACCATCCTTGTTGATTACTTTGGACCCTTGTTGATCGCAGGTATTTGATGTTCTGCCAGCTCAGCTCCACGATAAGGATATATTTCAGATTCGAATCAAATCACTTTCTTCCTTATAATATTGCCTAAATATAAAGTTTCACACTTTATACATCTATAAATTCTTATATCCAAATAAATAAAACAGACAAAATTGAAAAGTATCCTACATCGTCAGCCGCCGATTGAATGTAGTTCTAAAAGCGGTCACCACTAACAATTCGGATCATTCAACCTTGTCTAAAAATTCTTTCCCTTCTGTTAAAACTTTTCTTCCTCACAGTTGCAACATCAGACATTCATCAACTCCATCACAATCATAGACACCTGTTGGTGTTGTCGTCACAATTCTTCCTTCGCTGAGCCCCCGCGCGAGGAGCCAAAGTTCCTCACCAACCATCGAATCTCTGCTTCGCATTCACCAAAAAGTTAAACCTTCTCACCAAACTCTACACGAATCCTTACCTCCTCTATCTTTTCTCTCCCATTCTCCTACTATCGCGACCAAGAATCCATCTCTCTCTCCCATCATTTCAACCTCTTCTACTACGGACGAGAGGGCAGAAATGCCTCCAGCAAACAACTTGACGCCGCAGGAGCGGAAAGAACAAAAGGAACTCAACGGAACCGCGCGAGCGTTGCAAATGGCTGAAGACACACATTTCACCGATTGGAAGGAGGAGAACGGGGATGGCACGCCTCGTGACTGGGCCAAAGAACTACGGCTTTGGAACCCCAAGCAAATACCAAACGCCGTGGGAGATATTCCAAAGTTTGTATACTTGAGTGACCGAGGAATTCATATCATTATGCACTTGAATGTGCCACAGCTGTTGCGGTCTTTTGCGTGGGGTGCGGACTTCGATGCCACTGGGTTTCCACTAAAAGGACGGAAAGGACGAGGCTTTCCTGGTTTAGCGGAAGGTGGGAAGCTTGTTGAGATAAGAAACCGAAAGCTACATGGAGACTTTGACTTGGATGAAGACAAATACGTCTATGAGACGGTTGACATCTCCACCGACTCCGCGGTCGAGCCGGCAACCTTCAAGTCGAAGGCGAAATACTATGGTTTGATAAAGAGGGTGAATAAGGAGGGTTCAAAAAATATGGAGACACGTTCTTCGGAGGCCGAGAAAGGTGGGAAGAAGGGGGCTGTCAAGTCTGAAAAGAAGGAGAAAGAGAAGGCCGAGAAGGAAAATGCCGCGAAGACCAAGCAAGAGAAGATCGACGAAGGGACTACTACAAAGTCGAAAAAGTCGGATACGTACAGCTCTCTTGTTGAAATGTTCCGCGAATCACCGACGAAGGCCAATTCCCCCGCCAAAGGTATTGCCAGCAAGAAGCGCAAAGCAAACGATGAAGCTGCAGGGTCTGAAAAGACCGACAAGAAACCAAAGCCTGCTCTCACGTCAACCGCATCTACCCCAACACCAACGTCTGCCTCTCTAGGATCCAGTGACAAGCGCGGTAACGCCAAGTTGATGGCGGGTATAGCGAAGCTTGTGGTCGTAATTGAGGAACTTCGCAAGGAGCGCAACAGTGCGAAGGAGCGCACCGATCGCGAGGTTGGAGCGCTAAAGCAACAGCGCGATACATTCTTGGCTATGGCTCGCCGTGCGATTACGAATATTGACGAAGTCGCTTCGGCCCTTGAATCCTTGACCGGACAAGTTGGCGATATTGTGGGCTTGGGCGAACAGATAGAGGATCACGTCAAGAAAGCCAAGAAAGGCAAGGAGAAAGCCGGGCCACCAGGTCCTCATTTATTGCTTGAGGGTTTTGCCTTACAACTACTCTCGGAACTCACCGCGAAGGGTCCTCGGGAGACGAGCGACGAAGTTGGAGAGGAAGATGCACCAAAGATTGGATTGCTCACAAGATTGGAAGACATGAGAACCCAATGGTCAATGCTTGCCAAAGACTTTGAGGGGAACATCCAAGGATTTCCTCTCAACCTCCTCTCGTTTTTCAGGCGCAAAGCTGAATTGAAATCGAACGATTCGATTGAGGATTATGCAGATTTGGAGGACTTGGAGGAGGAGGATCTGGAGGAGATTGAGTCAGAGTCGAATCCTGGTTCAGAGTTGAAGACTAAGCCAGACTTGAACGAGGAGGATGATTCAGAATTGAAAGCTGGTTCGACGTCAGATGACGAAGACAAAGTACTGAATATGATCGATCAACTCGTCGATGAATCGACTTAAGTTCCCATGGGTACAGGCCGCAAGGTCTATCCTTCTTCTCACCGTTTGAGCACGAAGCGATAGGGTTTCTTTTGTCAATTGTGCTTTGGAGGAAGTTATTATCAAGTCTGTCTTCAAAGACGAAACAAAAATGGTGCAGAGATGCTAGCATGATTAGGGGCATAGTTTAGATGGAAGAGTTAATCCAGTACTTTGAAAATCAATTTCCATGACCTATTTTCGTGAACCATACATAGGTACAACATTCCAACTAATTGACTCAATTCGCATATTCTTAATCCAATAATAGTTTCTAGTATGTAATATACAAAGAGGTAAACGTGGTCAAGATAATGACAAAATCAACCTGATATAAGAAAGGCTCCTATCATTGCAACATTACTTTACGCCGAGGCTACCGTTTGGGTATAAAAACATGTCCGATAGATCTCATATAACTCCAACATGTGTCTCTAACATGTGTTTATACAGCACTAAGTGTATATAATTCAAACAAAAAAAAACGACCGAGGTTCAAAAATGATTTGGAGGCGACATAGGCGGTGGGCTCCGTCCCAGATTGTGGTAGAGAGGTGTTGAAGCGGAAATAGTTGTATTCGATCCAATGGTATTTGAGCGGCTAAAGTGTGTACCCGTATCCGAATATGAGGATTTTAAAGATCGTGGAGTATGACGTGGGGGTGGGGGATGTGGCTTGGATAATCCTAATCCTTGACCTTCTTCTTGCCCTTTTCGAAGATAATCGCTCCCGTATAATTCTACGGGCTCGGGTGTAGTTGATAGTTGGTGATGCAGCGTAGGCTTAAACATCCCAGCATGAGAATACTGGCTTTGAGGACTGAAAGGAACAGAATACGGAGTAGGATACGGAGGTTTGGACGATTCAGAGGCCGTCTTTGAAATTGGTGGAATTGCCTTGCTCCGCTTACGGCGAAAGAGAAAGCATGCACCAATAATGAGAGTGCTGAGGAAAAGACCTCCTCCGACCGCAATTCCAGCGATTGCAGCCCCAGTTATCTTCACGGAGCTTGACGATTTCGCAGGTGATGTGGCACTTTGTGTCGTCACTGGAATGACTCTGGAAGCGGTGCGAGATGCAATGGATGCTTTTTGGGTGAAATACACTCCCAAGTCATTGTTATCAAAGCCATTTACTGGCGCTGTAGCTGTGGCACCTCCAGTTGATCTAAGACCGTCAGCTGAATCCACAAATACAATCACCATAACTTACGAGCCACCAACAACAGAAATGACCTCGGGCGGTACAACGTAATTCGTGAGATTAACATTGTAGGGGTTCCACGCTCTTCCAGATGCCTTGCCCATGTCGAGAACGTGCATGCCCCAGGTTGTAGAGCTATCGCATGCATCAGAGAGAGGAAAAGTTCCACCTGTAACAAGCATTTGTCCACCGACACTAAACAGAAATATTAGCAAAGCTGTAAGAAACATGTACCCCTGTGAACGTAGTTCGACTTACACATTACATGTGAGTGAGTGGTGAGGAAACCCCGACGTGCCCCCATTGTAAAATGGAATCCATTTGAATGAAGGGAGGGAGAGAATCCAAACATCGTCGAATCCGGGCCCGTTAGCTCCGAATCCCAACCCTCCATAGATATAACTACAACAGGTTAGCAATTGATAATATCAAAGCAGATAAAACATACATGTTATAGCTTGAGTGATCAGGGGCCCAGGCCGCACCTGCGCAGAACCTCCTTCTAGTTGGTGGAACACTTCCACTAGCTTTTTGGGTATACCATTTGCCACTCTTCACATCGTAAATATTGATTTCCTCCATTGGAGAGGCATCGGTTGTTCCATTCACTTCCACTGTCACGCCTCCAAATTGTATCAGCATTCCACTATCGGATGCCGGCACGTAAACCATGACTCCCTCAGCTCTTGCGGCATTATCAGAAGGTCCAGTACTGTTCGACCAGGCTTGTTTGTCCATGTCGTAGGATAGAAGAGAGTTGGTCGCAAAAGGTGCTCCATTCCATCCTGGAACAGAATAGTTTGAAAGCCATCCCCCAAGAATATAACCTTGCCCGATATCTGAAATTCCGACGCTAGCCCCCCAAGAAACACTTTGGATCCCTTGAGAGGGAGTGCCGAAAGAATCCCATTTATCATAGAGAATGTCATAAGAGTAGAGATTCGCAGCACTAGGGGAGTTCTGGTAATTGTCTCCACCAAAGAGATAGAATCTCTTGTTCACCGCGTCGGGCCACAACACGGCTCCAGATACATCAGGGATACTAGAGTTCTTCGACAAATTGGCATGCAATTGAGGAACGCCTACACCCGCGGGACTTGTGGTTAGATCGTGGTACGATTCCCAAGTATCTAGATAAAATTAGTTTGCACCAAACGGTGGCCCTGAGACGCCTTACTAGTATAATTTTGCCTGTTGGCAGGTATCTGGACGCCCACGTTAGTATGATATTGTCAGAGGCCGAGAAGAGATTGGTTGAAGACATACCGGGTTCCAGTCCACTTGTCCTCCATCTATATATAACTTCGTGTCTACAACACAACTTTGATGTCCGAACCGCCGACAAAAGTCACTCAACGGATCTTTCTGCTGCAACGAAACCCCAGCGAACAATAACAGTAACCCAAGCGATTTCGCCATTCTCTCAACAAAGATAAACGTCCTTCCTCGCGAGATGACAAAGGCTATAAGGTCCTGATGGTGGGTCGCGGATCAAAAGACCTACACCTATCATAAGACTTGAATCCCAACATATGCCAAAGCTTATAACAGGTCAACGTCGAGTATCTACACGATAGTGAGATATTGAGAACGATCAAGGATTGAAAGAAAGACAATGCAAAAATGATAGTCCCCAACCTCCACTCGTTAGGAATTGTTGCAACCCAAAAGACAGCATGGAAAAAGGAACGGACAGATGACGAGACAGTAAGCACCCACCTACTAGGATGGGCTGACGCACAGTTATATTTTCCACGTTGGATAAATTCATCAGACGGCGAGGGCCAATCTCCCAAGTCAGCGATTGCGACGGTGTGAGTGGTCATTCTAGAGCCTGGGTCTGCTTTGCGACGCGAAAAGCCAAAAATGTACTACAAGAAGGCTCTCTGACGCCGCAGAAGGATCGATGCCCTTGGCTAGCGATGATCCTTCAAACGTGGTCTGCGGCTCAAGTTTTGGGGCGGGCTGAAAGACACCTCTCGAGATCAATTTTGATATGAGCAGCTGGTACGCGTGAGAAACAGCTTCTTGTCTCATATTTCAGATAAATATGGAAAAATGACCATAAGACTACAAAATTGCTTCCAAACGATGCACATGCACTAACCCGTCGCAGCGCTACCTGTTCTAGATTCTTACAGTGCAACTCTGTTGTTCTCTAAGGCCGTGTTTCAGGACTCATTGCGAAGGAAGAGGTTTCCTGCAGGTGCGTGGAAGGTTGTAATGGGGTGAGGACTGGTTGGAGTCACAGGATGAGGAAGGTCAGACTTAGGAGCGAGTGGAGATTATAAGGTTGTTCTCGGCTGGAAAGGGGGCGGGGCGGGGGCTACGCGATAAGGCGATTGTCATCTCTGTAAAAAGTGCTCCGTGCAGCCCATCAAGCTGGAATTGATAGTCTAGACTCTGGGGAGAAGAGAATCTAGCAATATAAATTATGCACCAGGCAGCTGTGAACTAGAACAATCGTGGAGAAACAAGAGAGGATGCAGGTAAGAGCGATAAAAACAGGCTCCATTCCTTCCAACGCAAAGCGCAGCCAAGAAGGAGCTCGAAATCCAGTCCTCACAATACCTTCGTAAAGTATGACTTCAGCTGCACTTCAGCTGCATCTGCAGGGTCTTTGAAATCCTTTAAAGTTTCTGACTGTGCCAGTAGATGGTATACATGCTGACATGGAGGGCAGAGAATATGAAATCCTTCAGGGCCAGGATTTGTGTATATTAAATCAAAGAGATAGCCCACTCGTTCTCACTCGTCGTATCTCCATTTCCAACGCAACGCTTCTTCACAAGTATACAAACTTGCATTATATGTCAAAACTAACATGTTAATTGCAAACGCTGTCTCATAATTCTTTAAACAGGCCGTGCTAGATCTGGTATCTTGGGAATCCCGTCGCGGAAATATATAATATATTACACATCAGAAATGGGACTTGTTTGTTTTGGGTGGCTTCTGGGGGAGAGTATCTCTATTCACATGATACTTAAAAGAGAATGGATCGAAGTGGAAGGATCAGTATTATCTTACCCTGGTATAATCTTCAATCGACCTTGCTGCGTCTATCAAATTATGTCTTTCTTATCTTATATCAGTAGGATCTAATGTAACCTACCCAAGAATATTAATTTAGCACAGCCCTGTGAAACTAGCTTCGATCCAAGGCTTGATGTCTTCCTGGCACAAAATCCTTCGTCGCGAATAGGGCCCGCAGGAACCAGTCAATCGTGTTTGGTTGGAACCGTGGGGAATGCCAGTAAGGTCATCATGAAACGGCATTAACTATCGTCTCCGTAGGCGGTATGATCTTGCTATGTGACGGCGGATTTACCGGCACAGAATAAGGTACGAAGTACTAGTAGTTATGAAAGGCCGAAGGGGACGAGCCTCGAAGTCTGGGTTGGGTTGGGTTGGTATCAAGCGTAAGAACTTTAGGGTCACCAGGGCCATTGGAGCGGAGTTTATATAATATTGATCACGTGTAGATTATGCCGCTTCAGTATATAATTTGTGGAGAATATATTTCACATCAATCAACCCAAGTATTTCAATCAAAACCTCCCATTCCCATACCCATAGTAGGCAACCCCTAGGACCCTTACAACTTGACGGTACTTGACTGTTCCATATGGGCTTGCTCTGGTATCGGTGTCACCAGCTCCCCTTTCGTTACGGCTTTTTCAATATTCTCCAACACGAGCAACTCCATGTTTCTCTGCAGAACTTCGTCAGCGGCTATTAGTTATTGATCGCAATAATCTATCTTACCTGGGTTTCTACCGTCGCTGTTCCAATATGCGGTAATAGTACAACATTCGGGTTGTTCAAGAGACCCTCGTGAACTTTTGGCTCTTCCTCATAAACATCGAGCCCAGCGCTGAAGACCTTACCAGAATCAAGAGCTGCTACAAGCGCTCCTTCATCAATCAGCTTCCCTCTAGCCGTGTTAATAAGTACTACTCCTTGCTTCATATTATCAAACTCCTTCGGGCCAATAATCCCTACAGTCTCCTTCCTCAAACTACAATTCAGACTCAAGATGTCACTCGTCCGAATCAATTCTTCGAAACCTACATACTTCGCACCCTTCTCCAACTCTTCGGGTAGGCGACTGCGATTGTAGTACTGAATCGTCATCCCGAATGCACGACCGCGAGCTGCCACTTCTCTGCCTATCCCTCCCATACCCAATATTCCCAAGATTTTGTTCTGCGGATCGTGGCCGAGCTGCGGGGTTGGACCTCGCCATTTAGACTCTCGAATAGACGAATATGGAACGTGGATTCTGCGCAGTGCTCCCAGCATGAGGAACATAGCTATATCGGCCGTAGCTGAGTTGACAGCTACGGGAGTACTGGATATGTGAATGTCTGAAAGGGAATGTTAGTCTCGTTCCAGGCAGCAACCTAAGCCAAGGAATCAGATATTTGACCTCGGGATGAACAAGATTCTACGTCAATGTTGTCGTATCCTGCGCCATTGTGGCAGATGTATTTCAAGGATTCCGGAAGCTTTCCCACGAGTTGAGCATCAAAAGGACCTGTGATCTATCTCATTGTAAGTAGAGTTGACATGAGACTGTCAAGTGACCTTACCGATGTTGATTCATTGCTCCTATACAACGCAACGACCCCATTGTACGTTCCTTTCTCGCATTCGGATAAGAATTCTGCTCTAGTAGATCCAGAGTATGTCTTCCTAGAGTCAGCATGATTTTTTCTTGAAATTCAAAAGACTAACCTTTAGTTCTGCAAAAGTTGCAGAGTCTTCCCATTCCTTCTCCACGTGTGTAAGTTTTCCAATTAATAATACTGCTGGCTTCGACATAGCTTTTAACACTTGGTTTGAATACTTGTGGCTGTAAAGCAAAGACTCAAGTCATATGCAAAATCAAAGATGAATGGTATTAAAAAAGCGCAAAGTTCAAAGTGTAGAAGAAATACGGACATATGAAGAAACCCCACCAACACCATTCGCGGGGTCGCTCAGAGAAGCTCCATCAATCATGAATGTTGCATTTAAAGAATGACGCTGGGCAGTCTAAGTCGTCGGGGACTGTCGGTTGTCGCATTCTATAAATTGCTTCTTTGACATATCATTCGTTGAATCTTTTGTTCAATCCCCGAGTCGGCTTTTGACGGGAATACCCCGCATCCCGCATTTACATATCGCGAGTATTTACACATACCAGACCAGACTATCAGTACTCCAAGTCACTTCCTTGTTAAGACCATTGATAGATTTATAGATATATCTATTCTATCTGCGCGTTTGTGAGAATTTCGCGAATATAACCTCTGCGCCTTACTCTACTCTACCGCTTCTATTTCCCAATCTCCTCACTCCGTTTGGAACTAGCAATCACAGCCTTGCTAAAAGCATATCTAACTCTATCCTCTTCTAAAGATAACAACCCCTCAATTGTGGTTCCACGCGGACTAGAATATTTCTCCCTCAACACAGCAGGATGTTCACCACTCTCCAGCAAAGCAGCAACGGAAAACATAGACTGCGTCAGCATCTTCTTCGCATCCGCCCGCTTCAAACCTTGCTTCACTGCCCCATCTAGAATCCCGTCAAAAGCAACCGTGAACAATGCACCTGATACTCCAGCCATGACGCCTCCAACATCAAACAGCTCTGGGGCAACAGGCGCGGTCTTGCCAACTTGTTGAAAGATCCAATCTGAGATCTCCTCAAATTCATCTGGCATGGAAGTCGTCTCAATGACGGAGATGGACTGTCCCAAATTGGCGGCAATATTCAACATCACTCTCTTGATATAGAACTCGGCCTCGTCTTTCCGTCTCGGGCCAGCGTGGTAAATTGAAGCCGATAATTTCTCCGGGGGCGATCCCACAAGTACACTAATGACCAACTTCCCCTCCAGAGCTTCACGTACGCCGTCGGCTTGGAGGACGGTGTCCGCCATATAAGGTTTGCACGCCAGCATCACAATGTCAGCCTTGCGCATCGCGGATACATTGTCTGCCTGCAAAACTTCCAACGATTCGCCGTACTTGGAAAACTTGTTTCGCAATCCTTGCGCGGAGCTTTGACTTTGAACAGTTGCAATGAAGTGTTCTATCCTTGGCTTCTCTCCAGCCAATTGTGATTTGGCTGTTGATTCAAGCACGCCTGATAAGATTGCACCGCCCATAGTTCCTAGAAACCGAGTTCAGTATCGTTTGACGACCTTATTATTGTACCTTCTTACCACAACCAATTATTGCCATAGTCTTGCCCGTCATTGTAGTCATTGTGCATGCGTTGAGTCACGCTTCAGGAATCAGAATCCGATCAGGACGGGCTTGTTGAAGTGGTGTTCTCGAAAGGGTAAGTTTTGACTTGGAAATATGAGACTTGTTATTCACAGACAGAAGGAATTCTTCTGTTGGGTGAAGGGTATGGAAGGAAAACAAGCACTGTGATGGAGAGTGGGATTGGAGACGTGGTGCTAGATCTTGATGCTGTAAATTTAGGCGAGCGGGCACTAACGGGGAGTAATACCAACTTGCACAAGGTGAATCGACATTGTCCCCGCTCTTGAAATAAAATATATCTTCACTTGAAAAGGCTTAAGTATTCTTGATATGAGTGAATCATTCTTGATCCAAAATTATGATTCCTTGATTCATATCCGGAAGTACTGTACCAGGTACATGAAACACCAGATAAGATCGGCCGTGCACGCCTGAACCAAGCCACCCACTCCTACTGTATCAATAAATCTCCGATAGGTGTTTCATGTATCCCAATGTAGCCAGACATTTATGCATAAGTCTGAATGCCTCGCAAGGATGCTACTCTATGGCTCCACGTAGGAACTTGGGCCTCCAGCAAAGCCAGCTGATATATGATCAAAGAAGTCAAAGGCCTCGTAGGTGTCCGGATTTTGCACATGTCACCATACGGCAAGGTTGAGTGGCTAGAATAACTTGGTTCATGGTTGCAGCATGCTTGAATCACTGGCGTGGCGGTCCATGCAGGAACACGTAGATCTCACTTCATCCTGTTTAGGCGCGTTCCGAAGATTAAGGATCTTGATATCCAGCAGCAGAACCCTGGAGATTCCCAATAGGGAGCAGAAGTCCAAAAGCTTGGCTCCGCCCGAATCCACATATAAGCGCTTTAAGATTGACCGTCATGCATTTATCCTTGCAGGAGCGTGTTTGCGGTTTGAGCTGTTTGTGAACTTCTTGCTAGTAAGAGGCTTTTCCCTCTACAACAATGCGAAACCAAACAATATGCCAGCAGTTGGCCAATAAAGGGCTTGTGATGAGATCTAACAAGCACCCCAGTACTTGTTGCCAATGTGATGAAGTCCCTGATCCTGGAAATCATACTGTATGCCATAGAAATTGGTTTTCCAGCTCTTTATACATAACAGTGAGAGATGCCCTTTTGCAGAGAAACACTCAGCTGAATTTAGTTCTAATAAACACACTCGTTTTCCTCTTCATAATGTTACACTCAAGAGCCGTTCGCATTCTTACGATCTTTTTCGCAACAGTTAATATCTCTTACGCCCTTCCACACCATAATACCAGATCACCATATCCCCCCCCAACAACTTCACTATTAAATCGGCGAGCAACTGCGATCGACTTTGTCGCCTATGCAGCAGCAGGTATTGATCAGATGCAGACATATTATTCGGCATCCACAGGTCTCTGGTCAAACGCATGGTGGAACAGCGCAAACGCTCTCACCTTGCTCGCAGACTTCCAAGAATACTTCCCTGATAAAGCCAAACCGACGACAAACACGGTCTTTCCGACGACACTGAAGCAGGCTCCCGCCAACCTGGGTTTCGCAAGCTTCATAAATGGGTTTTATGACGATGAGCTCTGGTGGGTTCTTGCCTGGATCAAAGTATACGATGTCACTGGCGATACGACATATCTCGATACGGCAGCAACACTGTTTGAAAACTCAAAGATTGCATGGGGTACAACTCCAGCAGCATGCAAAGGCGGTCTTTGGTATGAGCTCCTCTTCCCGTTTCCGACCTGTACCACATTACTAACAATAATTGCTAGGTGGGACAAAGCACATACCTCAGTGAACGCCGTAGCAAATGCACTTTACATTACTGCTGCGGCAAAGCTAGCCAATCGTAGACCCAGCACCCCATCTTCGGGGTATTACTACGATGAAGCTGTCAAGGCGACCACTTGGTTCATGAACTCGGGGATGATCAACTCCCAAAATCAAATCAATGACGGTCTCGACCTAGCTAATAATTGTGTAAACAACAATGGCCCAGTTTTTACCTACAACCAAGGAATAATACTCAGCGGCCTGGTGGAGCTAACATGGGCAAGTGGAGACGATAGCTACAACGAGCTAGCCAACACCCTCGCGACGGCCACAATCAGCATTATGACTGATGCAAATGGCATCTTACATGAGGCGTGCGAATCAACTGGTGGCTGCGATTCCAATCTCCAACAATTCAAAGGAATCTTTGGTCGAAACATACAGTTTCTGTACAACAGGGCGAATATTTTGCCAGCGAACACCAAGACATTGTATCAGAGCTTCTTGCAAACGAACGCCAATGCCATTTGGGCGAATGATCAAGGTTTCTGCTCCCAAAACGTCTAGCAAGTATTGTTACTAATTTGTTTGATAGTGGATAACCAGTTAGGGTTGGTTTGGAGCGGCCCTTCCTCCTCGATGGCGACGCTTCAGACGCAGAGCTCGGCTTTGGATGCCATCGTTGGAGCAGCCGCTGTCTCTTGAGTTTTAGACTATTCTAGTCATAATTTTTACTTGTCATGGCGTTTAAGGAGGACAGGCTGGCGTTGGGATGCAATAGAGAGATACCTGATAGATTGAGCTCTTATAACGAATTTATGATAGAGATTACAAAGAATCGTTGGTCCACCTGATTCACGTGGTTAATATCTATCAACTCGCGGGCGTAGATTAAGAGATCCGACGGTACAATGTCATACTTGAACAAGTCCCCAAGGAATGAGAATTGGATGGCGAATTGAAGCAAAGCCGAAGAACTGGCCATACCACCATCCAGGCAGTCGGTAGCGATGTGCCCGACCAAATATTTGGCAAAGCATCGGTTCCGGTCCGTGGATCGTAAAACGATGATAGGATTCCTGACCTTGGAGTCAGGAGGTTGAATGAATCAATGTGGAGCGTCCACTCAGGTTAGCGTGGATTGTCTATCGTAAATCAACTACATCGGTTCCATGCTCATCTGTTTTTAATCCTATACTCGTACTCTTCTTATCCCACGTCCATCGGGCGCATTTTGCCTCTGGGTCACTCTAGGGGCGCCACATCGAAGGTGCGGCTCAGCAGATGACCCAGGTAGCGCGTCAATCTCAGGGTTCGAATGTCTCAAGTTCCAGCCACTTGTTTACCTGAAGCATCGAAGCGTCATATCTCAGCACAAGAATACCATGTAGCCATATAGCATCAACGTCATTTGTGAAAATAATCACATCCCAATCCAAAACCAACTACAGCTATGGTAGGAACATGTGTAAAAACGCAGCGACTCGTTCCTCACAGCCTCGGCAAAAGCTGATCCCCTGTGTACAGTACCTAGGTAGTCCTCACAACCTATTGGCATTTTGATCAATCACTTTTCCACACATACAAATCGCAAGTACGATTTGCTAACCTCATTCAGCTTTTACTGCTGTCAAGCCGTCATTATTCGTCTGTCCGGCGTAACGGGAGGAGAGTTGCATAGATGTACAAGTGGAACATCAGCAAATCGCTGCCAGTGGTATATGCTCTTCATATAGAAGTTATGCAAGGTTATAAAACTCAGTGATCACCCAGTCATGTTTTGTATTTTTCCTTAGAATCCTCTATCAATTTTGGCAAAGTCCCCTTGTCAACACATAGCTCAGATTCAACGAGCACTCAAAATGTCTAGGAGTACCAGCATCAACCAGTGGAAGAATGAACTCAGTGATAGCGGTTCTGGGACTTGGGAGCAGCTCCACGCATCACAAGTCAAATCACCTGCAGGAATAACAATCTCCCCTGAACTATTTGAGAAGGTAGTACACGCCTTTTCACTTTCATCTTCGCGTCCTGTTCGACATCGTAATAACTAGAAGAAACATAGCTTTACCTGCCAAAGAAAGCGGCACCTAGTGATTTCAGAAAACGCTTTGCGAACCCAGCACCTTTGGGCTCGATGGGGTGAGAAGCACCCTACCTAGGTCATTTCATTTAGCTGACCACAATACCTCATATCCGTCATTTCTGGCATGACCTTTGCATTCATATTAATGGAGTGGGGTGGGGCAACCACTCTCGTCGGCGTTGCGTATCGTATCCCTTTTCTTGCGCTGCCCTTGCCTCACTCATTACTTCCAGATCATAACTGACAATTATCTTAGTGGAATCTTCTACTTCACGGGTCCAATCCTCCTCCTCCTAGCCACCATTTTCGAATGGATAATGGGGAACTTTTTCTCAATGATGGTCATGGGCATGTTCGCCGTGTTCTGGCTCTCTTTCGGTATTCTCGAAACCCCTTCTTGGGGAATCGCTGCTTCATACTCTAAGACGGGAAATGCTGCTGAGGGAGCAACCTCCGTAGGGTATAATGCTGCAGTTGCTCTTTACCTCATGGTGTGGGGCCTTTGGTTGTTTACAATGTGGATCTTTACGCTAAAGACAAACATTCTCTCGGCGGTCATGTTTTTGTTGTCTTTTTCTAGTTGTTTTGTTCTTGGAGCCTCTTATTGGAAAGTCAGCACCGGAGATCATTCAATGGCTATGAGATTACAAAAAGTAGGTGCTATCTGGTATATGTCATGATCCAAAGCTAATAACGTTTAGGCTGGAGCTGCCATTTTCTTTGTGGTTGCTTTGCTTGGGTATTATATGACGGTTGCCATGATAGCAGCAGAGATGCAGATACCGTTGAAATTTCCTGTTGGCGACCTTTCATATCTATGGCCAAAATCAGATATCGAGTCTGCAGAGGTGGACAAAGCAGAATAAGAGATGGAATTTAACAATTTGGTGTTTGTAACCTTTGGAAAAGTGGATTGAGGCCGACATTTACTTTGCTACATTTCTTTCGTGTACTTCGTATTCAACATACGGCTGTTTGACCTGATTACCAGAGCGCCTTTAGAATCATACAACTGCTGTAATGGGCAGGGCCCATCATAAATGCAACATTACATATGCCTGCAGACGCTCCAGATAGAAAGGATCACTTAGTTCCATAACCTGCAAGTATATCATCACCGGTGTTATTGGTTCTGTTATACGAAGTCGGCGAGCGAGATATAGCGCGCAAGGCAGTTAGCTATCCGAATGGTTTATACATCAAACCAAGATCTTGTGGTAGGAATAGCTATAAATAGCTGAAAGTCGGTTCTTATACTCCAGGAGAGTATCATTCGTTTTGAAGGCAATAGACATTGCAAGTCCAGAATAAGCTTGTCTTGAAGTAGAATATCAAACAAAGTTGTTTGAAAGGGAAGTTGATCCAGAAGTATATCAAAATTCCATAACTCCTCTTGGAATTATGCGCCTTCACAAAAGAGGACAAAGTCTAACGATCTTGAAAGGTGAAGATGTAGTCAGAAAAGATGCAGCCTCTGAAGTTACCCCACAATTACCCCACTTACTGTAGTACACATCACCAAACCCTTCGCTCTTTAACACAACCATCACCTCACTCACAATGTCACAAACACTCCGCCTTGCAGTTTCCCAATCCCATACTCTCGCAACGACCTCTGCCACCCTCTCCGCCCTCGAAGCAACTGTCAAACGCGCACGACAACAAGACGTCGATTTGATCCTATTCCCCGAAGCATACCTCGGCGGCTACCCTCGCACCGCAACATTCGGCGCCGCGGTTGGAGCGCGAAAGCCGGAAGGACGAGAACAATTCCTGCAATACTACAAAGATGCCGTTGATCTAGGTGATACTCCAGAAGGTGCGGGTCAATCATGGATAGAGAAAACGCTGGAAAAGCCCAAAACCGGAGTGAGGGGCGATGGGACGCGAGAAGAGCTTGAACGAATAGCGAGAGAAAGCGGCATGTTCGTTATAACGGGTTTGGTGGAAAGATGTGCGGGGACGCTATATTGTGCGGCGGTATATGTGTGTCCGATTGAGGGGGTCCTGGGGAAGAGGAGGAAGGTCATGCCGGTTCGTTTCCATCCTATTAACAGCGTCCTATATGTTGAGTCTAATACATCATGGTAAAAGACAGGATCCGAGCGTCTTATTTGGGGCCAGGGCTCTCCATCTACTCTTCGTGCAATAACTACGACGATTCGAGGCGTAAAACTCACTCTCGCGCCGCGATATGTTGGGAGAACTATATGCCCCTGCTCCGCCATTCGCTTTATAGTCAGAACGTCAATCTCTACCTTGCTCCTACGGCAGATGCGCGGGATACATGGTTGCCGCTTATGCAGACGGTGGCGTGTGAGGGACGGTGTGTGGTGTTGAGTGCAAATATGTGTATTACAAAATCGAACCTCCCCACATGGATAACAGGAGAGAGCACAGATGCTATGCCTCGTGTTAATGGACATGGCTCGAGTCCCGCTAGTTTAAGGAAGAAAAGTACGGTTGTTGATAATGGGAATGAGATCGTCTTACCAGATCCTAAGACATCTAACCAGCAAGCTCCGACGGTGGAAGCGAAACCAGATGCGTCTGAATTCGTATGTAGAGGTGGATCATGCATTATATCTCCTTCTGGAGAAGTTATAAGCGGCCCGCTTTGGGATGTCGAAGACGGTCTTCTAACTACGGATATAGATTTCGACGATTGTCTTCGGGGAAGGCTGGATCTTGATGTTGGGGGAAGTTATTCCAGGAGTGACTCTTTTAAATTGACGGTGGAGGGTTTGGATCTTAGCCCACCTCCTTGCTAAGTGGAAGGGAAAATAAATCATCTGCGACTGAGTTAATCTTGGACACAAGTTGAGGCCATCATTTAGAGACGACTCGTTAGATAATATGGCTTGCTTTATTAAGTGTAGCTCTAAACTGTATACCTGCGAAATCTAAAGCCATTACACCTGTACAATCATCCTCCAAGATGGCACCAAATCCTATAACCGTCCCGTTAAAACTTTTTAATCTTCCAAACTCCAATCACCCCCACACAATCCCACCTAATCGGATGATTATTGCATTAAAAAATGAGGTTTGGGTTATCTCCCTCCAGTAATGAATAGTCGGTCAGCAGCCCCATATCAAAGGGACTCAAACCATTCTCCAGCAACATATCATCACTCTCCCCCGTGCTCCCTGCACCACTATTATTTTGCGTCGCGAAGTTCCAGGTTGCATCCAGATCCAACCAACTGAATGTCCCACTCGGCTTCGGTTGAAATTGCACATTGTTCATTCCCATTGACCCGGGAAAGGGGCTAAATTGTTGATTCTGGTTTTGGTAATTTGAAAGGTCGGCTTGAATGGCGGGATTGATACGGCTGTCGATTGTAGATTGCTCGTGCTGTTCACGAGCAGAAGCTTCATTTTGCTGAGGCGGTTTGCGCCAGAGAAGTTGAAGAAGGCGGGCGTAGCGTGAACCCATGTGATTCGCGCCCATCGATGCCGTTTGCAAACGGTCGATGGTCAGATTAATCATGTGACGGACTCCGTTTCGCTCTTCCTCTGTCATCGTAGTCGTGGATCTTGCCTGGAATTATGAGCATGGATGATTAAAAATGTAAGAGTAAAGGTACCTTGTAAAGAAATACGGCGCTGTAGATGATATAAAGATAATAACTTGACGGCATGTATCGCAGCGTTTCGGGATCAACAAAATTGTTGAATGTTGAAAGCAGAGACTTTGCAGCATCTAGAGCTTCGTAGATGAAGCGTGCGTCCGGGGCTGATGCATTAATCAACGGCATTGGCCGGTTTGATGCATGCTGGCTGTCTCTTTGGAAAGTCAATGCCCGTGAGATTGTGGCCTGGTAAGCAAAAGCATTGACGTAGAGACGGAGGTAGTCATACGTGAGTAGTAAGGTCGCTTTCAGTCGTGGAGAACCTATGTGTGGTCAATAGATGTATTTTTAGAAGATCATCTAGGTACTCACAAACTAGCGTACCCCAAACATCATTCCATCCCCTAATACTAGTCCGGAAGTCATCCAGATATTTCGCATACCTCCCCTCTAGCATTTCCTTCCAAGCATGACCTTTTGATGAGTAGAGTATATCGTGAACGTTGGAAAATATCTGCGTCAATTCAAGGTTCGCTTGAAAGATCAAAGCCCAGTCATCAGTGTTTGATGACGTTTGATGAAGAGTTGGAAAATCGCTAGACTTGAGACCGGAGAGAGGGCCAGGACCTCGAGCCCAGAAACCTCTTCCTACACGAACTGACACCTGACGATCACAAATATAACAAGCAGACCATACTAGTCTCTTCCGATTGAACACTTCGGGTGCTTCGTGCGAATCACTCTTGAACGAAGTCCGGTCAATGCCTAAGAAATAACCTAATCGCAGCGCTGTTCCAATATACATCCATGCAACGCGGTCCTCCTCTCCACGTCCAATGGCAAGATTTGCTTGTGGACGATGTGACACCCATTGAGACAAGAGAAGCAGCGCCTCTACAGCTTCAATGTTTGCATCTGCACCAGATAAAATCATGGAAATTAGCTGTTGCATGTAGTCGTAGCAAACTTGATGGACTCGTTCATTGTCTTTCGAAGCAACCGTCAGGATGGCAGAAAAAAGATGTGGCTCATGCCGTGATAGCCACGGAAGTCTTGTGCGATCGAAAGTTTCTTTCGGGATGATGGGGAAGAAAGGGTGGAAAAACTCTTCATAGCTAGCATAACCAGTTAGTTTGGACTCTTTGCACGTGTAGCTCCAACTCACCTCGAAAACAAATGTAAAATCATCTCTGGGCTTATCATTCCATCTTGTAACGGCTTATAATAAAATTGGTCGTCCATCTTGGAATCCCCCAATTCGAGGTGATAAGAGGCTGGCCGTTGGCCTTGCTTCTGACCTTGACCTTGATTCTGATCGCTTGACGGTGAATCCCCGTCCGCTCGATCTGCAACTTGTGCTAGTATTTCAAGGGCATCTGAAGGGTTTTGCAAGTCTGCAGAAGCAATATTCTCACGAAGAGCTCCGGAATTCCCTAGCAGACTCACGCTAGAATTTGCCCGTGGGTGATAGTGACCGTCAGTAGGGCTCGTGAGCTGCTCAGACGTTAGTAGGCTAGCCCTGAGAATGCTATGGAGGGGCATAAACTCACATTTGTTTGCTCAGTATTTCTCGATATAGTTGTAGTGTCGGAGCCAGCAGTATTGGTTGGTGTAGTATGTTGCCATCCGAAACCTTGTCTTGGTTGATTGTGGTATTGATTTGGAAATGGTGGAGGTTGCAGTGGAGTGTGGTGAGTAGAATGAGGTGAGTAATCTAGGTCGGGGCCTGTTGAATTTGGGAAGCCAAGAGCTGAAGGGGTGTCTGACTTGGAAGCTCCTTGAAATCCGAGATTGGTGGGTGTACTGGGGGTTTTCGAGTTCGAGTCCTCTTCATCAAGTTTTGGTTTCTTCCTCACTCGACGTCCTCCACGGTGACTTTCTCCAAGCACGCAATCCTTTGCCTCTCTCTGGCAACGTCGACAAGGCTAAATAGAGATTAGCATATGTACATGCACTACTTGGTAACAAAGGAGAAGAGAGTTGGGGGGTATTTCCGGGTGTGTAGTCACGTGATCTTGATATCTCAACTGGAGATAAAAGCGTTGGCATGCATCGCACCAGAAGCCCAAGAAATGGACATAAACAATAGACTGGAGGATTAGATAGATGGCATTGATCTAGAAGGAAATGTCACTTCCTCAGAAGCATCCGGTTTCCAGAGTCACTTGACTTTATTGTCTCATCTCATAATGGGTGAAAAGAAGTTGGACAAAAGAGCTGGCTGCTTCTCTACTCACCGGCCTCCCTTGATTGACATCCAAATCACATTTGCTCTTCCTGTTTCTGCAATTCAGACATGCGCGGTACGCCCTCATGGTATCCAATGGAGGCGGGGGAGGCCTCGCGGGGCGCGTCGACGTTATCGGAGGCGCGTTCGGGTCCAGGTTCGGTACCATCACAGGCTGCATCATGGGCGGCATGCTCATATTCGGCGCGGTAGAGAAGGCTATGCCATTGACATTAATATTGCCGTTGCCGATGCTATTCCCACTGCCGGCAAAGGGCGCAAGGACATTGCAGTTCTGCGGGGCAGCCATTATGTATGTGGTGTGAGGTGAGGGGTCGTGATACGGCGGACGATTGCAGTAACGGGTTAGCGCTTAACCTGCCCTGCACCTACCCTCAATTGTCTCCACATGCGGCAAGAAATGAAGATATACAAGAGGGTACAGGAAGGAGTAGGAGGGAGGATTGTCGGGCCCTAATCCACATCGGCGACATAAGTAGTGGGAGAAATACGGAATGAAGCACAGTAAGTAGGTGCGTATGGAGTGGAGGTACCTCCGTACTGCTGCAATGCAAGGAATCTTAACCCCACAGTAGTACGAGTAGCTTACCTGCTTACTTGCTGGTGCTTGTAGCTCCCTTGTCAGCTCTCCACTTATTAAACATCATCATCTCCAAATTCTTAATTCTATTCTTATTCATCATCTTTTATCATAATCTAACCCTTTGAACTCTTCCTCATCAGCTGAAAGTATTGAGAATTAGCTCTAGATGAACTTGAATGTCGTCAAGACTCCAGATACAAATATCATGCATGCATGAATGTGCTGTCATGTACCACCTGAACAGCCGTTGTGCTCCCTCCTGCCTCACCGGTTTCTCCCCCTCCCCCGCATAATTGGTGAGGGTTTATCCTGTATTTCAAGAGAACTCCCTACATCCAACAGGTTCAGTCAAGCCATTATGGTTCCAAAAGATTTGTCGTCCTTGATCTCATCAAAAGAAATTCTCTATCGGATAGAGTCTATCCGATGCCTCTAATATTGGCTTGGTAAAAACAACATTCCAAGTAGTTTTCCTGCCATCTATTTATTTACACATTTCTATCCTTCCCACGTCGAAAAGAGGGAGTGTCAAACCCGACGGTTCGGCTTCTCACATACAGACAGAGTAGACTGCGATGGCGCTCCTCGAAGGCCGGCTCCTCTTCACAGCCGTAACCATTCTCACCTGTCTGGGATTTCTCCTTATCGGTTACGATAATGGCCTCATGGGCGGGTATGTCTTTGTTCCTGTTCACCTTAGCTGCCTCGTCAGGTCCTAACATTCCTCAGGCTCGTCAACTCCAATTCCTTCACCAACACTTTCAGCCACCCTTCCCCCACCATCACTGGCCTAATCGTCGCCATCTACGATGTGGGTTGTTTCCTTGGCTCTGTCTTGACTGCCTTGTTCGGCGAATCTATCGGACGCAAGAAATCCATCCTCATTGGAGTCATAATCATGATCATCGGGGCCGTGCTGCAAGCAAGCAGTTACGCTCGCACCCAGATGATTGTGGCCCGAGTAGTGAGCGGGATGGGAATGGGGTGGATTAACAGCACTGTGCCTGTGTTCCAAGCGGAATTTAGTCCCAAGGCTACAAGAGGATTATGTACGTCGCTGCCCGTTGGAATCTTGGGATTGGACTGATAGAAATCAGATGTATGCATGCAGTTATCTACGCTGAACTTGGGAATATTCCTAGCATACTGGATCGATTACGGCTTCACCCAATCCTATAGCTCGTCTTTCGCCTGGCGCATCCCATGCATTTTACAATGCATGTTCCTCTTCCCTATGCTCGCTCTACTACCCCTCGTTCCCGAGTCCCCGCGTTGGCTAGCTTCGCACGCTGAAGCCAGCTCCTCCCTCTCGGTCCTGCAACGTCTACATTCATACCACCGCACCGACGACGAAGTTACTTCCCTACATACGAATATTATCAAGACCGGTGAGTACGAGAGATCGCTTGGCACAGGAAGTTGGAGAGAGTTATTACATAACGATGAAATACAATCCCAGCGCCGCTTCCTCATCGCATGCGCAATCCAGTCATTCCAGCAGCTAGGCGGAATAAATGCCCTGATATATTATTCCAACACGCTCTTCAAGAATTCACTGAATTTTTCCGAGCATCTATCAGCGTTAATGTCAGGGTTTCTACAAACATGGTTCTTCGTCGCTTCATTCATTCCCTGGCTGCTCATCGACCGTGTAGGACGACGTCCGCTACTCCTTTCCTGCATATCTCTCATGGCAGCAACAATGGTCGTGCAAACGGGCTTGATATACAATGTCCAGAACAATACGTCTATTGCCAGAGGATGTGGAATCGGTGCAGCAGTCATGCTGTTTTTATTTGAAGGTTTCTTCACCATCGGCTTCCAAGCAACGGTGTGGGTCTACCCGTCTGAGATTCTTCCCTTGCGGTTGCGAGCCCGAGGAAGTGCTGTGTCAACGGCGTGTAATTGGATATTCAATTATATGATTGTGCAGATCACGCCAATTTCTCTTGATAGGATTGGATATCGTACATATATAATATTTGCTGTGTTGAACACGGCCTGGCTTCCGTTCATTTACTTTTTCTTCCCAGAAACGAAGGGATTGGAGTTAGAGGATGTGGATAGGCTTTTTATGAAGGGGGATGAGGCTAGGATGGGGCTGGAAGTGGGGATGTGTGGGAGTACGGTATCTGAGCATGCGAAGTTTGAGGATACTGGTCGATGACATGGAATAATATCTTTCTCATCTCTAGCCTTTAGTTCTTATACAGAAGATTGCCTACTTCACATATTCATACTTGGCATCAAACTAAAGTTCACGTCTGTCGCATAGCCAATACAAATCAATAATCCCCTAACCATAAACAACTTATTTTGTAATCGTTCGTACAGTTTGCGACCAAGCACCAAAAGCTTTCCCAAAGCTCTCAACACCCTCCGAAGGTTGTTCAAGAGTAGATCCCATCCGCAAACCTGCCAGATTGACCAATGGAATCAAACTTGGCCTCCCATGCGCACACTGAAACGGAAACATACACCCCGCAAGCTTCCTCACCAACAACTCGCACTGCTCCCTACTTAATTCATCATTGAACATGATTGCGCTCCTACAAGCGCGTGAGTTCAGCATGTCGATAATTCCTTGGGGACAATTGTGGATGCGGTGAAGCCAGTCTTGATCTGTCGGAGGATTGGCTGTATGTGCTTTCTCGGAGCAGTTCCAGGCTTCGGTGCGGATTAATTCTACCAAGACACGCGGGTCGAGTTTGCATCTTTCGATGATACCGGGTGGAAGATACCTTATCTGGAGTCGCTGAGCCCGGTCGGGCTGAGGAGCAGCAGGGAGATCATATAAGATTCCCCAATCTGCAAAATGCCTCCTGTGTGTATCGAGGAGCGCCACCTCTTTCGCAGAAATTTCGAATGCGAGAGGCTTGTCGAGATAAGTAGTGAGGATTCTGGATTCTATTGGGAGAGGAGGATTCCCTTCCATGGGCGGAGTACACAGCTCTTCCATCAGGGCCTCAATTCGGATTCGTTCATCAGCAGCATGTTGATCAACAATCACGAGCATTCCATTTTTTGCAGTCTCTCCCAGATGTGTTGAAGAATGGAGTTTCACCAGAATGAACTTCTTGTCAACTTGCGAGATAACCTCTGCATTCCTTAACGCATCTTTAGATATACGGTCAGTAATACCAGCAGAGGATTCCTTGAATGCTCGATCAATGTCAATTTGTGAGCAGTGATGTTGCCGGCCATGTAGAATGCTTTGGGTAGCTGTATTTACGCCTTCGGTGGCGACCTGCTGAATTGAGGGCTCGACTGGGTTGAAGACGGGATTCTCCCACGTCTTCAAGATATTCCTGATCCAAGGACTTGTGGAATCAGTGGGCGGAGTCGTGAATCGTTTGAGATTTTGCTGAGAGTATAGAGATCCTTGACGGATGCCATGTTTGCCTGATTGGTTATCTCGTTTTTCTTTGCTAGCTATTACTGTGAGGCCAGTTCGTTTATTGACAAGAGACTTGACTTTGGTGACAGGGTTGATCCATTCGACCAACTCATCACCTTCACTATCTTGTTCTGTAGTTTGAATTTTTGGCTGAGAGGGTGGCCGAGCTCTAGGTTGAGGCGTAGAAGTGACAAGGTCTTCAAATGGGCGACGAATGAGTCTCCCACTCTTGGATAGCAGTGGCTTGGAAATCCCTTCCATTGAATGGATATTTGGACCTTGTCTTCCTACGCTAGGTGAGGCGCTTGCTGGTCGGTGATGGGGCTCGGTTTTGTAATTCAATTTGGGAACGGCAGCTCCTCTCTTGACCTTGGACCATCCATCAAACGGAGAGTCAACTTGGGATGAAGAACGACGAAATGACGGAAGCTTAACATTTGTGCCAAGGGCATCCACAGCTGTTGGCTTCTTCCGTTTAATACTTGAATCTTTGACAGCCTCGAAATTCGGAGCTGATGTTGGTCGAGAGATTCTGAAAGCATCTGTGGCATCGTTCCCAGCGTCTTGTAGTGACTTCACCAAGGTCTGAGACAGGACGTCCTCTTGTTTCTTGCGTCGTGGTTTATGTCCTCGGCCGGCCTTTGGCCGGAAATAATGCTGAGTGAGAAATTCCAAAATCATAGCCCGCAATAGCTCCAAAATTGTACCAAGACTGCTACCTTTATCATCCAACACATCATCTACATCAACGTTTCTATGATTCTTCAAACTCAATGCTTGCTGGATGTTGATATAGAACATCGGCCACCGATCCACACCCTTCTTGCCACCTTTCAGCTCTTTGTTGGTGTACCCGTCAGATTTGTATCGACCATCATTCTCTCTTCTGATCCTCTCCGCATCTGCAAGATCTCCTGCCTCTTCCTCGTTCCCGAAAGCCGAATTTAGGAAAAGCCGATTTATCTCGTCATGAAGTATGCTCTGACCGTCCAATGGCATTAAAGGCTGTATGCCGAAGGAAAGGAACTGGACATGCTTGGTGGCAGATGGATCAAGAGAGATCGCGCCATTAATGGTCAATGAATCTATAGAAGCAGTAATGGTGACCCAAGACAGCTTATCCGCAGGTGTGATAAAAGAGGCTTGTGACAAAAGGGTACAGGTTTTTGGGATACTGACACCAGCTGAAGGGACGGGGTTAAGTGAGAAATCCGTTTGAGGCCGAAAGGTCATCCTCTGGGGTGATTCAGCTTCGCGTACTGTGACAGAAACAGTTCCTTGCCAGGACAGTAAAAGTGCGACAATGCTTCTCCTCAGCTCTTCCCAATCCTTGCTATTTCCACCCTGCTTCTCGGCAGCGATGGCCCTCTGCCTCACACGAACTGGCATGCCCCCAAACAGATCACGTACTGTCACACGTGTTCCATGATCAGGGTATTGGAGATATTGCTGGGCTGGAGCTGGGGTTTGGCGTCCCACAACTTCGGATTTGTGCATACTTGAGGTGTTGTGGGAACGATGCAAATGGTGGTGAGACGTGATGGATAACAGAGCCAGAGATGATAAAGAGGCCAAGAATATACCACGACCACCGTGCACTTGGTTCTCACTGTTTATCTTTGAGGAATCTGTTTTCTGTTAGTCTCCTATTGCACGACGACACTAAAGCCACTTACGATACAACTTCCCAAGGCCACCACCCTCACGAAACTCACTAGGCAGGATCCCCAAGCCATCATCTTCAACAACACAACTTCCTCGGGCATAGTTGACACTGATATCAATCTTGGTAGAGCTAGCATCCAGGGAGTTCTTCACTAGCTCGCGCAACACTCCGTTGAGGCTGGTAATGGCGATGGAAGATTTTATTTGTGCAATAACATCTGGAGGTAACGGCTGTATCGACATGTTGGTGATTGATCATCCGGCAGAGAGGAGCTCTTCACGGGAGAGCATGTATCATAAGCTCTGTAGTGGCACCTTCCCTGAGGAGTAGAGCACACCAAGAAGCCATGGCAGAGGTGCTGTACAAATGCCAATATATTAAACAGCGGAGAGCTAAGTGAGATCAGTATTAGTTGTTTAGGGGAGGTGTATCTACCAAGTTCAAATGTACAAAGTAGAAGAGAGATCTGTTGAACTTGTTGTTCTGCAGGTTGAAGACAGTCAGTGTATATCCACGTGATATGGATCTGCTGACTAATATCAGCCTCGTCACTTTTCCGGGATGCCGCGTCGACTCAGGAACAGCGGAACAGCTCGACAGCACAGCAGTACCAGCCCATAGACACTCACACTCACCACCCATTTGTTTGACCCGACGGAAGAGGGTCTGTTATACTTTTTGTTCAAAACACGAAAACATCCTCCCCTCAACTCTCCAACCTTCATATTCGTCTCCCACACAATCCCCTTCCAAAAAACTCCAACCTTCAACCTCCAACACCCTCATATTCAACCGCCGTACCGGACCACTATGGCAACAACAGAGCCACCACAACAGCCATCTCAATCACCCCATGGTACGAATCTGGTCACCCTGCTCCTGCGATTCTTCCTGATGCCGTTTGCCAGCACTAGATTTGGAGTCAAATCTGTGCCGGCGCATTCAGTGGAGAATCTGCTGAAGCCTCACCTTCACCCTCATCCTCACCGCCCCCAACTAACTGACTTGGCAGACCGAACAGCAGATCGACCGGGTCGCCGCCGACCATTCTCGGCATGGATGAAGAAACTGGCCAACTTCAAAGGCAATCATACTGCAGATGGTGCTCAGCCAGCGGGCACGAAGCGCAACACGTACCAGATGAAGTCGAATGCGAAGAAGCAATCCCCATCGAAGCAAAACAACCCATACCCCCAGTCAGGCCACTTGAATGGGCAGTCTGCGCTGCCGAATGGTCGCAACTCTTTCTCAACCGGCCCTACAGGAAACAACATGAGCAATTCGTCCTTGAACCGCAGCAGACATTCGGTCAGGTCTTCACAGGACGGTGTCCCTCCTCCGACGATCGGTAACAAGTCAACGGCCCCTACTTTGTCTACGGAACCAGACGTGGCACATTCTGACGTGGCGGCTTCGCACGCTCCATCGTCTGGCCAGGCTACGAATACTACAGTGGGTTGTGGAGTTAGTTCCGGTCGAGGTCCAGATAGCACATTCTCGTCCCCAGCACCTTCGGTACGATCGCTTACAACCACCCTCACAACCATTCATTCAGCTGCGGCTCCTACTGCTCCCCCGTCGAATAACGCAACGAACGCGACTAATGGACAAGCAATTCAATTTTCCCACCAATATCCTACTTCGCCCCCTCCAACGGCGCTTCCAGCGCACCTGGCACCTGTAGCAAGTGGAGGGCATCCAGCAACGTACAGTATGGCCACTGCAAACAGTCTGTTGACGGATAATGCTTCGATTCTCACCCTAGCATCATCCTCGAAGAGAAGGAGACGACGTTCTATGGATACAGATGCTTCAGTACGTGCGCTTGCTCCCTCATCCTTGTTCGGAGGTAGTAGAGAGAGTCTTCCACTCAGTGTGTTGAGTTCGAATATCGAACAAACTAATGCCACGTCGGTGGCACATCAACCATGGACAAATGTCGGCTTGAATGAGAGAGCCAGTATCTATTCTGCAACCGGTGTTGCACCAGCTCTACCCAGTGAACGGAACAGCTACTACGCAGGAAAACAATCAATTGCGGCGGATGGAGGAAGTATCAAGAGTGGACTTCTTGGCCATGGCAGAAATGATAGTATAAGTGGGAGTATTGGTGGAGCAGTGCCACCGGGCAGTCCACTGGCAGGTCCGCCAGATGTCATGGGGCCTAATTCGGGTCGACTAAGCCGCAAGAATTCTGGATGGGAGAATGGCGAAGCCGAGAAAGGTGATGAACCTGAACCCGAACCCGAAGACTTAGGAAAGGGGGGCGACAAAGCATAATTTTGGAGGCAGCAGGTAGAATTTACATAATGTTCTCAGGTCAACTCTGGAACCACAGGGCCAACAAACGCCGGGGATAACGGAGATTGCAGTGGTATTCGTGGGATATTGAGGCGCTGGGCTATGGTTGGGACGGTCAATGATACCCGAGAATTTAATAATGCAATGCATTTGTTCAGAAGCCATCGGGCTGACTATCGGGCTGATTAATGTGTAAAGCTGCTTGGTGTTTGGAGTACCTCGGTCAATTTTCATGGCAACAGGAGGTCGGATTTCCAACCTAGAGATGGTTCTTGATAATGCATAAGGACGACATTATTTAGACTCGGAAATGTCTCTACTCTTAAGTATCTTTCTTAGCACACTGGTGACAGACAAATGCATAGGACATGGGCGCTGCATCATCCATACGACCTCCATTCAACTAATATTTACTGCGATTGATCCTTGTCGCATCGCAATCCCCAGAATACTCGCTTCTGCAAGGTACAGTAATGAAATGCCTAGCGTGTCTGTATAGGCTAATGATCATAGGGTGATTTTCATGCTCCCTTTTCGATTACAAGAAGCTCTCGTATTTTTGCATTCTACGCATAGCCGACTGAATAGCATCATATTCTTCAAGGTGAAGGCGCTTTATCTACCCCATTGACATTCTGAAATCAAGGTTTAAAAGCGGCGCCAACAATAAGCATCGATTGGTCACCTCTAGGGCTGACATTTCGAGCCGTCCTCCAGGAAGAAGCTTGGGGAGGATGTAAGCTTATGGCATTTCTGTTTGCCGGCAGTTGTCAATTAAGTTTTTGGGTACTGATCTACATGCCACATGCCATGTCAGGAAGTTAAGTTGATGGTTGAGTAATTATAAGCTGTATATCCTGTCGCTTCTTAAGGACAGAAATGCCCTCAGGATTTTGACGCTTTTTGTTCATTTGTAATCATGGTTTTGTTCAAACACACTCTTTCAGCCATTTGTCTTTCTCTAGCTCTGGTGGTAGCTGATCCTCAGTGCATCACTCACAATGAGACCTTCGTTCCAGACGCGGTGCTACGAGTGAGCACCTCAAACATCTCCCAACCATGTTATCCGTCCAAGTCAACAGTTCTTGTCAATGGGACTTCTCCTGGTCCGGAGTTGAGGATCAAGGAGGGGATCACGTATTGGATTCGGGTTTATAATGATATGACCGACAAGAACTTGACCATGGTGAGTTCCAACTACTAGCTTGTAGATGAAAAGTTTTAAGTGACATTCCCATAGCATTGGCATGGTCTAACTCAAGCCATGGCCCCTTTTTCCGATGGAACACCTCAAGTGAGTCAATGGCCGATTCCACCTTTGCATTTTTTTGATTATGAGATAAATGTTCCGATTGGAATGGCAGGAACATATTTCTACCACAGCCATGAGGGATTCCAAGCGGTTTCTGCTACTGGGCCTCTGATTGTCGAAGAGGACAGAGTACCATGCCCATACCAGTACGACGAAGACAAGATTATCTTTCTGCAAGACGTCTTTACCAAAGATGAATCAACGATTGAAGCAGGGTTGGTTGCTTCCCCGTTGTCATGGAGTGGTGAAACAGGCATGATTTTGGTGAACGGAAAAGGTGGAGGAAGTGCAAATGGAACTGTGTGCAATGCAAGTCTTTCAATCATTGATGTCCAGCGGGGAAAGACATACCGGTTGCGATTCATTGGGGCCACGGCACTCACATTTGCATCTCTCGCCTTGGAGGGCCATGATTTAGAGATCATCGAAGCCGATGGGTACGTGTGCCCGAGCTCTTAAACAGCCCATCTAACGTGAGCAGTCATTCCACCCAACCTCACAACACCTCATTCCTTCAGCTCGGCACCGGCCAACGCTTCAGCGCTTTACTACATACCAAACCCAACCCCGAGAAAAGCACATACTACCTACAGCTCGAGTCCCGTGAACGCCCAACCCTCACGCGCGGTTTCGCAGTCCTCAATTATGGGCCTAAACCCTCCACTCCTTTCACACCCCCATCCCAACCACCACTCACTCTCCCCAACACCACGCTCGGCTTCCTCGATTACCAACTGCATCCATTTCTTCCACCCAAAGACGGTTCATTTCCAACAGCGCAAGACGTGACCCGCCGCGTCACAATAACAGTGCACCAGCGCGTCTCGGGACAAACGGTATGGATAGAAAACCACTATGACTGGACCACTGCCTTCCCTGCTGAACCGTATCTCGTATCGTTGTACAAAAATGATAGCATTGAGTTCCCATCCATGGAGCGTGCCCTTGCCAACAACGGGATCGACCCTATCTCTCGTGCCTTCCCCGCTCAAATCGGCGAAGTCCTCGAGATTGTCATCCAGAACACAGGTGCAGATGCTGGAGGACTAGACATTCATCCTTTCCACGCACACGGCGCGCATTATTGGGACCTCGGATCGGGGAACGGAACATACGATGCGACGACCAACGAAGCTAAAATCGCAGCATCCGGGCCGCCGATTCAGAGGGATACAACGATGTTGTATCGTTATGCCAAGAGTACCGCTAATGGAACGGATATGGGATGGCGTGCTTGGAGACTCAAGATTACGGAGCCGGGGGTGTGGATGGTGCATTGTCATATTTTGCAGCATATGCTTATGGGGATGCAGACGATTTGGGTCATGGGGAATGAGACTGAGGTGCTGGGGAAGGTGAAGCGGCCGGATGTGCAGGGGTATTTGGAGTATGGAGGTAGTGTGTATGGCAATGAGAACCGGTGGCCGAGCGTGGTGCATTTCACGGATAATGAGGAGGGTGATGGTTGGAGTGATTATCAGTAAATTTTCAACGGGAAGTTATTGGGACAGCTTCAGCTTTTATTCTCTCCAGTTAGAGTTGCCGCATCGAGATGATTCTGCTTCTCGCCCTAGCATATTTGCGCCATCTCTCTATATTGATCCTTAAGCCTTTTCAAAACGCTCATCGCATCAGAGGAGTTCTTTCTTATTATCGTGTCATACCTGCTTAATTCAACAGCGGTCTCTGCAAACGTACACTATACAAATTGGGCGTGCATTCATCCGCTAGCAACGTTCATCTTCGAAGTCGATTGAACATTTGTCCATGCCCTTTTCATATCAGTCCTTCAAGATACGCCGATACATGCCCTCCCAGACCTCAGTCCGAAAGTAGATATCCGAATGGCTAGCACCCTCTACACTAACAACTTCAACATCCTTCCCGCTCTTCATTTTCCCAATGACTCTCTGCACACTAGCTGGGCCAAAGAAGATATCTGCCTCGCACGTGAACCAGGTAAGTCTTACTTCAGGACCCAGCTGCAGATCTATATACAGCGCGTTCAAGACCTCGCTGGTGATACCAGGAATTCTGCAGTATCCGAGCCTGTAATCGAGACTTTTGCGCTCTGTGGAGATGGCGAGCTGTGCGGGAGAAGGCTTATATGCGGCTATTAGATCTCTCAGCTGAGGCGTATCTACAAACAGGTCCCGGTCGGCGCGGTCTGCTTTCTTGCTTCCCACGGCCCGCAGGAATAAGCGCTCAATGGGCGTGTCGGATAATGAAGAATCTAGCTTAGTGATAGTGTTGAAGAGGAATTCAGGCATGGTGCACATTTGCGACATTGTTTTTGAGGAGGTGAAGGGGGCGGGGATGTGCGTGCAGATGGGGAATATGTTTTTGACTATAGCTGGTCCGTCTGCGATGCATCGCTGGGCCAGATCTAGCATTTGGTAGGCACCTGCTGAGTGCGCTGCTACGCTGAAGGTGCGGATGTCTAGGGAATCTAGGAGTTCGATGGTAATGGAGGTGAGTTCGGAAAGAAGGGCAAGTCCGGTGCGGGAGATGGTGGTGTTTGGAGGTTTGGAGTCGCTGTTTTTTGACAGCTGTGTCCATCGATCTATGCAGAGGAGTGAGAGTGAAGGGTGGCCGCTGATGAACTGTTGGTAGAGTGTTAAATCGATAGATTGGCCTCCAGCGCCATAGCAGAAGAGGAGTGTGTGAGGAGCGCCGCGGTTTAGGTGGGTGTATTGAATCTCGTGGGAGGGGTTGGTGGGGGACTGGAAAGTTTCTAGGGCTGTGAGAGGCATGCTGAGACTTTATTTGTTTAAGAGATGCTGGTTTAAGAGGAGTGGAGTTTATATTCTATGTGTGAATTTGCTATGAAATCTAGAAAGAAGATGTCGAATGGAGTCGTCTTTTATGATAGACTGGTGGATCTAGGCTAGGCATCCAACTAGGTGGATTCGTTGGCCGCGTGGTCCTGTGACTCGCTACGCGAACCTGGAGACAAAGGGGCTTTAGCGATCTGATTCGTGAAGGCGAAAATTGTAGGAAGTGGCTCTATATTCACAGATCTTTAGTTTCTTCAGCGACTGTTGATATCGTTAATGATATTGTAAATCTCAAAGCCTCTACAGGTGTTCACCCCATCTCTTTTCCAAGACCAATGAATCAAGCCAAAGCAACCAACTGATATCAAGTGATTCATAACCGACATACTGCGATTCATATATTTTTGACAAGCGACTCATTATCCATCAAGTAGGAATTGCTCATCGCGATGTCTAGACTGAAACCTAGAACCATTCGAAAAGAACATACCCAGAGATGTAATGTTTGCGCATCCCGATTTCCATTAACAAAGCGGATACCGAAACCAAAACCACCCCCAAATTGACGACGACTATTATACCGGCAAACCCCTCAAATCCAACACCTACTACGGGAAAGATCTCACGCGGATAATCTGGCAACAATACCAATCACCGATGCCAGAGCGCCTCAGCACATCCCAAAAAGCCCTCTTGAAAGCCCCGGTTCCAAGATGTACGAATAAACATGCGTTGCAGGCGGTTTTAAATCAGTGGATGGGCCTATTTGATCAAGCCTTTTTCTTCAAGTCTGTGGGCAAACGCTGGCGTACCGTGACTCTTGTGCACGATAAAAAAGGGGCATACGGATGGTATGACCACGATGGGCAGGGGGTTTGCATCAACACTTCCGTGCCGCCGGAACGGGGGTATATGGATAGCGTGGAGACCTGGCATATCTTTACGCTGTTGCATGAAATGCTGCATGCGTTTCTGAGGTGCTATACGTGTATGCGGCGAGGTGATGGGTGCTTGACGAAGTGGGATCCGAGTATGGGAGGGGAGGGGAGTAATGGGCATGGGCCGTCGTGGGCGAATGGTATGATGGGGATACAGGAGTCGTTGAGGAGGGAAGTGAAGTGGCATGTGGAGTGTGGGATTAGTTCCAGTGTGAGGCATGCTATGAAGAAGACTCGGTGGCGGCCACGGCCTGATCAGCTCGAGAGGTGGGGTATGTCGGGGTGATATGAAGAAGAGAATGTGTTATTTTGAGTCCAATCTATTTTGGTTATGCATAGAACACTGGTGTATCATGCTTCATCATCCATTACTTTCTCGACGGCCTTGATGACTTCACTTTGGTAAAGGATTTCTTGCCAAACCACCAAAGTCTCCATAATATCATGACTAGCCCAGCGTCAAAGGTATGGTAACTGACCAGTATATGCAGAAGTTCTTCAAAATAGTATGAGAACTCCTATCCTCAACAGAAGATCCAGATGAAGACCAATCAAACATGGACATGCTGATAGTCTGGAGATGCCCGCACCGTCAGTCTAGCCTCACCATTTGAATCTCGAGCGCTGAAAATAGCAAATTTGGAGTGGATTGAGTCGTCAATCCGAGCAGTAAGAGAATACAGTTTAGCAGGGTCTGTAATACCTCTGATGTTATATAGAGAGATGACTGACAACTCTAATTTAAGACTGTACTCTCTCCTTCGAAGTTTGACAGTTAGACATGCTTCTCCGCGACCTGGTTGCAAGATATTCGATAGTCTCCAAAATATTACAATTGCTTTCATAAAAACTGGTCGTATTTTGCGTGAACAAACTCTTGCTCAACTCCCCCGCACATTGTTCAAGGGAGTCGACGCAATCGAACGATCATTCGAGATCCTTTTTATAGAAGATACAAGTGATGCCTCGCCCTGATACAGGAAAGTAGCTAATAGATAGATAGTAACAAGTAATATAATTTGAAAGGAAGAAATAAGAACTAGTATAGTGATGTAAAGGTCACAACTCGGAGGAAGGGATGAAAGCACGTGATTGTAACATATAAAGTTCTTATCACGCCCGCTAGCCACTTTAGCTTCAGGTTAACTTTAACCCTTACTTGCATTATGACGACACCGATTCAGCTTGTCATGCACTGGAGATTTCCACCGAATCCATCTTTGACTTATATAGCACATTTAAAGAGGATATATCCACCGAATCCTTGGGTTGCTGAAGATGCAGCTGTAGTTGTCAGGCTGTGTCAAAGAATTGGCGATAGTAGTAGACTGACTGTGTTTGGTTGAGACAGTCGTGTCTCCTTTGGAGTACTTCGTAGAGTACGAGTAGGGACCAAGGAACCTCAGCCACGACGGCCACAACAGCCACAGCTTCAGAGACTGCCCACTAAGGGGAAATTAATACATAAAAGTGTGGGGCGAGGGGATGGAACTACCGGTAGTGCATACCTTAGCGGGGGTTTTCAGCCTTTCCAGGTTGTTTACTTGGAGTACGTACACCGTAAATCGATGGATCTAGATTAACAGCACATCCTATACCTGGTCTGTCCCACGCTATACCGTAGTGGGGATTACGATAAAGTAGATAGACCCTTAGGAAATTACATTGCATGTGTCGCCTATCTTGGGTAGAGGATCTTCATCTTCCTTGCAGGTCCTTGCACGCCAACGCCAACACATAAAGTATACTCCCTTGCACATTTGTCTGGTTTTCACCTTCTCGTCTCATCCCATCCCATCCCATCCCATCCCAAGGAATCCTTTTCCACCCAATTGTCGCAGTAACATCGCCTAACCAGCATGGTGAGCACTTCTATCCTCCATTACTCATTTAGCTACGAAGCATAGGAAGGATTACAGCTAATCATCCATCATGGATCGCAGTCTACTTCCAGCGCTGGATCAGGAGGAAGCAGGGGAGGATCATCGTCAAACTCGGCTTCAACGCTACTGTCCACTTTGATCCCCGTCGCGTTGCAAGCTGCAGTCTTTGTTGGCCTGTTTCTCTTCTTCAGACCCAAGCTTCAGCGTGTCTATCAACCGCGAACATACCTAGAATCGCTTCGGGATGAGTAAGGATTCCTTACATGTGTCTATATCATAGACCTTTCTGACATTTATATAGCGAAAAGTCCAGAGAACTGCCTACAGGGAGGTTCAATTGGATCAAACCCTTTCGTCAAGTCCCCGATGAATATGTTCTCAACCACGGATCGCTCGATGGCTATCTCTACATGCGCTTCTTCAAGATGTTAACCATCATTAGTTTCATTGGGTGCTGCGTCACTTGGCCAGTTCTGTTCCCTGTCAATGCGACTGGCGGTGGTGGAAAGAAGCAACTCGATCTGCTATCATTTGCCAACATCACCAAAGCAGGCAAGAATCGCTATTATGCACATGTCTTCATTGGTTGGATATTCTTCAGTAAGTGGCTTCCCGACTTGAACCTCCAGTTACTGACTATACCAGGTATCGTCATGTACATTATCACTCGTGAGACTATCTACTTTATTAACCTGCGCCATGCCTACCTTCTCGCTCCTTTCAATGCAGCCAAGATATCTTCGAGAACCGTTCTTTTCACCGACGTACCAACCGAATACATGAACCAGGAGAAGCTGCTGGCACTTTTTGGTACCTCAATGAGACGAGCCTGGCTAGCAACAGACTGCAAAGACCTCACGGAAAAAGTCGAAGAGCGAGACAAGGATGCCTTCAAGTTGGAAGGAGCTGAAATCAAGCTCTCTCAAACAGCCAACAAGCGAAGATTAAAGTGGGAGAAGAAGAACGATAAGAGGAAAGATGAACCTGCGGCCGATGCAGAAGCTGCACTCCCTGGATCCAAATATCAGAAACCGGGCGACCGTCCAACCCACCGCCTTGGAAAGATTCCTCTAATTGGCAAAAAGGTTGATACGATCAATTGGACTAGAGATGAGTTGAGAAGACTCCATCCCGAAGTCCAGGAAGACCAACTCGCCCATCAACAAAGAGATGCAAAGGTTCTCAACGCAACATTCGTCGAATTCACTACCCAGAAAGCTGCAGAGACTGCCTACAGAAGAATGAGTCCTCGTAAGGCTCCACGCATGAACCCAAGGGCCATCTCTGCAACACCTAATGAGATCGTCTGGAGTAATCTTCGTATCAAAAAAACCGAGCGAACTGGGAGAAAGTTTGCCTGCAATTCATTCCTTACCCTCATGATCCTCTTCTGGGCTATTCCTGTTGCTGTTGTTGGTTCGATAAGTAATATCAATGCTTTAACTGATAGTAAGTTTCAAACGTATGATTTTGATTGCACTTGCTAATATAGTGATTCAGAGGTTCACTTTCTATCATTCATCGACAACTGCCCTACTGTCATACTTGGTCTTATTACCGGATTGCTCCCAGTTATCCTATTGTCAGTTTTGATGGCATTAGTTCCCATAGTTTGTCGATGTAAGTTCTCATATGGCTGCTTCATCACAGGTCTAACATTTCCTAGGGATGGCGAAATTGAAAGGCGAAGTCACTCTCCCAGATGTCGAATTGAGCACTCAGAATTGGTACATGGCGTTCCAAGTTGTCCAAGTTTTCCTCGTCTCAACGTTTGCCTCAGGGGCAGCAGCAGTTGTTACTCAAATTATCGACAAGCCCTCGTCAGCAACAACCCTCCTAGCTCAGAATTTGCCTCTGGCATCCAACTATTTTATTGCATATTTCATTCTGCAGGGCTTGGGGATTGCGGCTGGCAATCTACTCAATATCGGCGCACTGGTCGTGATGACCGTCGTTGCCAAGTTCCTCGACAAGTCACCTCGAAAGATGTTCAAGCGCTACATGACCCTCGGTGGACTTGGATGGGGATCATTATACCCAAAGTTTGGCAACATGGGAATCATTGCCATCACCTACTCCATCATCTCCCCACTTCTCCTCGGATTCGCTACTATTGGGTTCGCGCTCATCTACCTGGCCGTTCGATACAATGCCTTCTTCGTGCTCAGCAATAATATTGACACCAAAGGCCGCGCCTACGCTCTCGTTCTACAGCAACTAATGGTCGGTGTCTACCTTGGTGAAATCTGCCTCATTGGCCTCTTCGCTATCAACACTGCTCCAGGCCCCATTGTTCTTATGGCTATCTTCCTTGCCTTCACAGCCATTTACCATGCAGCCTTGAATCATGCCCTGAATCCGTTGAAAGAGTATCTTCCAGATAGTCTTGATGGTGATGACCAACTTGCCATGTTTACTACTACGGATCACAAATCATATGATTCCTCGAAGCAGGGCGTTCCACCCAGTGAAGCGGAAACCACAGCACCCAAGAAATTCCACGCCAAGAAAGCAGATTTCCTCGGCCGAATTTTCGACCCTCGCAAGTTCAAGAGCCATCAAGCTGTCAAGTCGCTCGTGCCAGATTGGCTTCCCCCGCAGTATGAAGATAAGGATGAAGAGTTGGCGTATTTCAACCCCGCAATCACAAGTCCAATGCCTGAACTATGGATCGTGAGAGACGAGATGGGAATCAGTGCACGCGAGGTCAAGGATTCGAGTGAGGTGGTTGGTATTACCGATGATCTAGCGCGGTTTGATGAAAAGAATAAGGTTGTGTGGGATCGGGAACATCCAGCGGATGCGCCTATTTGGGAGAAGAAGATCGATTATTGATTATTGGATATCTGAAACGCGCTGGAATACCTGGTGGTAGGATAATGGTTGGGTATTGGTGTTATACTTTAATGGCCTAATATAATATTTGCCGTATGGCTTTTTGACATTCGTTCAGTTGGGGTTTGGATTTCATGTGGGTATATCATTAGTGACAATGTCTATTTTAGTATTTGAGTGTGAAGATTCCCCTATATATCTATATACAGTAAGTACATCGTGTCTGCAACAGGTTGAGTAAATCACAAAGAAAGAGGGGTCAGAGAACAAAACAGGTCTATGGATATATCTCTAATCCAACATATTCTACAACCCCGCTATAACTCTTTTTCATTTTCGGCCTTTCACTTTCACGATACCTCGCCAAGACCAAAAACCCTGACCGTATTCTCCCACGCAGCCTCTGTCAGCTCCTCAACACTACAGCCCCTAATGCCCGCAACAGCCCACGCAACCTTCCCAATCAAACAGGGCTCATTCCTCCCCTTGACTAGTGCACCCTCAACCCACTTCTCCTTCTTGACCCATTTCACACCCTCCACGTACCCCTTTGCAAACCCCGCACTCGCATGACTAGCCCTGATCTCACACCACGGGCCATCAGTCTCGAGCATGAGTTTATCCAGCGGAATAGCTCTCACGACCTCTAGATTCTCCGGCGTTTTCAGCGAGCACCCGTTGACACCGATATACCAGCCTTCCCGCACCAACTCCCGCATCTCCTCCAGCGTGCCCGTGAAACTATGCACGACGCCGCGTCTCGGTAGTTGGGCTTGGCGCTCGTTGAGGAGGCGGATGAAATCGGCGTGTGCGGCTCTGCTGTGTAGGAAGAGGGGGAGGTCAAGGTCGCAGGCTATGTCGAGCTGCGCGGCGAAATACTCGAGTTGGATGTCTTTGGGACAGAGGGGGAGGCGGTCATAATCGAGGCCTATTTCACCGAATGCTACGCATTGACCTTCGTGCTTCGCTTGGAGGGCGAGAGTCTTTAATTGATGGAGCATTGCGGAGGGCGCGGGCGTGAATTGTTGGCAGGAGCAGGGGTGTACGCCTACGGTGTTGTAGATTACTCCAGCTGTTTATAATGGCCGCATCAGCAAGCGCTTCTCGTGTAATGAATGCAAGCGGAGTTCGGATGTACTGTAGCGTACGTACGATGGTCTTTGGATAACTGGATAGCCTTCCTCGACTCGGCGACATCAGAGCCCGTCACGATCAACTTCTTGCAGCCTGCGTCTAGCGCGCGCGATACGACGGCTGGTAGGTCGGGGGGGTGTCGTTGTGTGCCATGGTAGAGGCCGGTGTAGACGGGATCAGTGAGGTTGATGCCTATCTACTGTGTGCGATTGCGCATCAGCACGATCTGCTGTGTTTGGGAAGGGAGGTTTGGGCATACATCTATGTAGCGGGGCTTGTGAGAGGATTGCACCGGAGTGGGGATTGCGGTCGCGGAGGCCATGGTGAAGGTGCGGAATGTGGGAGGACAGTGGAGGAGAGTGTTGAAGATGCGCGGGAGCTGAGAGTGGTGGGAAAGCCGATTCATGGAGTTTGAAGGGGTGACACCGTGGTGGTGAGCTGGGCTGGATACCTAGACTTCTGGAGTTGAGGTTGAAGCTTGGTAGCGAAGCGAGATGACTAGTTCGATATACCCCTTTTCCCTTTTCTTGCATCGATGAAAGCATGTTAACCCAGAGAATGTTTTGAATACATATGTGGTCCTTTATTATTAACAATTCATCATTGACTACCTGAAACCATTCCCCTAATCTTTCCACGGGTATCTCATCCCAATCCCTTATGCCTGACCAAAACACCCAATATGCTCCACAAGTCAAAACAAATTTACATCCCGCTTCCTTTACTACCTTTTATCCTCCCATCTCGCACAACTCCAACACTAACACCCTCTTCGCCCGCCATCCACCCAGGCATCTTTTCTCCATCAACTACACCAGCTTCAACCAACTGCCTAATTCCAGCAAATACATGTTGGCCGATGAACGTCAGTCGCATATCTGGTCTCCATTCCTCTCTGCTATCCTCTTCATCATTATCATGCTTGTCCAACTCAAACGTAATGGTACTCCGTCGTCCACTCTGTTTCTTTTTGGTGACTCCAAGATCAAGCTCATCAGCCAACGCATAATCATCCTTAACCGGTTCGGCATTCCCAGCAGGGAATAGGTCATCAATCCGAATATCGAGCCTCTCTATCCCTTTCCCATCATCTGGCAATGCAGTATTTCCAAACCTACCTTTCGCAACCATCTTTCTTCTCTTGACCACCCTATCATCATATTTCCTCCGTCTTTTAAGTCCTTTTGGCATATCTTCTTGCAATTCATCAATATCCGATTCCGGCTTAGGAAGTTGAATCTCTAACGGATTATCTCCCCCATTTCTTTTCTCCTCCGTATACACACTCCAACCTCCTCCCGCAGCATTCGTCCGTCCCCCACCCCTGAGCTCAACCAGCGCATCCAGATTCTTTGCCGAAAGACTCGTAGACTCAAGTTTATACCTTTCTCTTGGGCGTGAGAAAGCCTTAGGAATCCCTTCCAAAGTTAAGCGTCGCAGACTCTTATTCTCTGACCTCGACACGGGTTGCCCAGCCGCGGTGTTAAGTGAGACGTAGACATATGGCGAGTCATCTGGGAAAGCTACGTAGAACGTCTTGCTTGCGTCAAAGGTTGTGGCTTGTTTTGAAGAGAGGGCGAGGGGGGTATTGTATGGGCTTTCGACTATGAAGATGCGGAGGAGCAAGAGAGGGAGTGTTGGGTGACGATCGAGGTTGTAATGTGCCTTAACGTCTGGTAAAACTTCTCTCTGTAGGTTTCGGAGGAATGTCGCGGGGTGGAAGCGTGGTATCGATTTCGATTTTGAGATTTCTTCTCCTTCAGATGCGAGGCGTACAACTTTAAGAGCGGTCCATTTTTGGGACAAGGGATGGTCGTAGAGGTATTGCATGTCGGCCATTGCTAATTGGTATAGAGTAATCCCATTCCTCCAATCCCCTTCTATGATCCTGTCTAATGCATCGCGCTTGCTCCCCTTCCGTGCCTGGATATCCGTGTATATCTCACGTAATTCTGCGAGAGATAATGCAGGCGGATAGAGATCTTGTTCGTCATCGTCCTCGTTCCCTTTCTCCGCTAAATATGGTGCAGTATTTTCCTGGTTCCTTTCATCGAGCCAATCGAGAGCGAGGGAGAGCAGGGACGGTCGTGACAGTCTGTTGAGTGTTTTGACGACTGCGGGGTGAGATGAGGAGATCAATTCTGAGGAGGGGAGAGCGGATGTCGTAGGGACCGAAAGACCAGACATATTGCAAGTGGACGTGAAGCAATTCGGTAGCTATGCTACCAACATCGAAGACTATGGCGTTGGATTGCGTCTTTCAATGGAAGTCGCGTCGCGATTGCGAAACGCGACTTGTATTTTGGAGTCACGTGCTTAACACTCTTCCCCGCAGACGCTTGCCGTTCTTTCATCACATGTCCTGCATTTACGGAGGGTATGTACATGGGTAGCCTAAGACATGGTTTTTTTGATAACTCTCGAGCTTTTCCATTGCCCTCTCTGACTATCAAGTCTAAATGCTTTATTCCGCTCTGCATGGACCTTTGAAACTTGGGCTCATGATCAAGCTGTAAGTCTTCTGGAGACCCTTGCAGGAAGTCATGTGAGTCCTGTAGCGTTTTGTCAACAAATTCCGAATAGAAAGAGGTCAAGTTGCTATCAACCATAGGAGGCGGTTTGTTTAATTAAGCCATCATCAACTAAGCGTTCCATTGGACGGAATGCCGGCTTGGGAGATTGGTTTCGAGTTTGCAACCAAGGATATGGCGATGAAATTAGGCAATGAGTTCAACTCTTCGCTTGAATAAAGGGGGGAAGATGGTTAATAGATCTGCAACAAATCACGTGTTTTGGCGTTAGGATAGACTACTAAGTCCTAGGTACAGACTTTTGCCTACCTCCTCTCAATTATGCATCTGGGTTATTGAGCAACGGCTTTTAGGGTTCTTTGAAGGTGTGGAGTCTTTTTCGGTCACGTGGCTAACCTGACTCGGGCTCTCCGTACTCTTCGTGGATGAAAGAACTGTCTGAATAGACAAGCGAGTTTTAGTGCATGTGGTTTTCATCCATCCACGGAGAGCGCAGGGAAGAGGCTTGGCAGAGGCAAACAGCTCGACACATCAAATCATCCAATTCTTTGCTCTGATTCGTCGATTGTGGATATCGTCCCGGTCCGAGGAACTCCGTAGATCTCCGATTGCGCCCTTGATTTGGGGGTGGGAGGTGGATTGATTAGTTATACCTACGGAGGTATTTCGTATACATGTGGGGTGAAAAAGGTTTGCACCCCGTCTTTGGGGATAATCCTAACTCGGGAAAGTAACCGCTTGACTTGTTTGCGTTAGATTTCTGATATTTCTAGCTTCGTACAGTAGCAGCTTGACTTTTCTAGGATTAGTCTCAAAGACCATGGTGCAAACTTTTTGCACCCCACTGTACCTCCGTACCAGAGTATGGCCGAGGGGCGAAAAGACTGTGAAGTTGGGTTGGTGAAGTCATTGACTTTTACTGTTAGAGAAGAGAGAGGCATGGTAGCAAGCTTTGTATTCTTATGTCGATGTATACCTACCTTAGGTAGCTTGGGCCATGTTCCATGGCCGTAAGGTATGTTTGATGTAAATAATTTATAGAAAATTGACAGTCAAATACAAACGGACTTTCTACCGCGGTTCTCCTAGCTCATCCCACGTTTGGCTGCATGACTTCTATGGGTGTAATTGCCTGACTGGGTAAACCCCCCACTACTTCACTTCTTCTAGCTCTGGCGATTACTTCTTGTTTCCTGCAACATCCATTTCCCCAGCTTCAGTCGACACATTCCTGATAATACGGTGCACAAGTGAAGAAGAAGAGAAGAATTTGGCTCTCTCTCTGTTCGTGGTGTCTGGGCTCAACCTTGACTCGTTCACGTCAAACACGCACCCGCGCCTACGCTACGTTCGGCTTTAGCTCCGCAGACAAAGAATCTTCCATCCACCAACCCACCTTTCAACAACACCACACCACCAAACAATCTCCCTACCACTCACGAAGTATTCACGACACAAAGTTCGCACAGCGAGTGCCCATCGAACACCCACCGGCTACGACAGCCTCTGCCTCGCATCGTCGACGACACCGCGCATCATGGCTTACAATGGAAGGCGGGGTCCCAATGTCTCGGAGTACATCGCGAACCTCAATGCGATTCCTTCGGCGCAAGACATCGAGAACTCCCAGGGCGACTTCGATCTGGACGAAGACCTGGCTATGTTCACGAACACGCAATTTTTCGACTCGGATCTGAACCAGTTTGCCGACCTACAACCTACGGATTTTGGTGACGGACACGGCCGTGCTTCTATTGCGGGAGAAGTCTCTGACATGAAGTCGATGGATTTTGATATACCAGGTATGGAGTCACTGTTTTTATTATACGATATGCATCGCTGTTTATATTTATTGCCGTATCTTTACGATTATTATACGGTATATTGCCTCGTCGAGACAATAAGTCGTTATATCTCACTGATCTTCCGTCACCAAATCAAACCCCGCTGCATCTCCAATATCGCCAGCGCCTATCAGGACAGGAGGAGGATGCTGCATGCATGGCACGTGTCGTCTTGCAGCAGGAGTGCAGCAGTTCGTGTTCTCTTATGTGCGCGATTGGAAATCACGCAAGCCTTGGGTCCAATCGCCGAAGGATGGCGACATGTCACGTGTCACCTTTTCAACTCCCGGAGCCAAGCCAGACAAAGTTGTCTACCTTGTGGTGGGACGCCTCCACCGCTTGTATCCGCACTCCCCGTTATCTGTTCTGTTATTACTGTCTATCAAACAAAAGCGGAGAAAACAATTATGCTGACCATGTAACAATGGGTACCACAGGAGATTTCAATTTCCCCGATTTCGGTAGCTTCGCTGCCCCCTCTACCTTTGGTGCCGACCCCGCGTCCATACAAACAACTACCATTCCCCCCTACACCGACGCTTCGTCTCCCACCGCCGGTCCATCCCCGTCTATTTCCGGCGAACATAAACGTAAAGCTTCCTCGTCCGACGCGCCCGACTTTGAAGAAGCATCTCGCCAGGCAGCTGAAGAAGACAAGCGCCGTCGCAACACCGCTGCCAGCGCCCGTTTCCGTGTGAAGAAGAAGCAGCGCGAGGCAGCTCTCGAGCGCAGCGCGAAGGACATGTCCGACAAAGTAGCTGCGCTAGAGGGACGAATCAACAGCTGGAGACGGAGAACAAGTGGCTGAAGAATCTCATCACGGAGAAGAATGAGAGCAATGAGGATATTGCGGCGCTGTGGAAGAAATATAACCGCGAGAGTGCCGAGAGGAAAGGCTCTCAGCGCAAGGACGGTGTCGGAACAAAGGCTTAGGTCTTAAATAGAATCATTTTGACCTTCTTGTTTGTCTTTTGGACATCTTTTGCCATGCGCTGCGCTAGAGTATATTCGCGTACTGGCTTTTCTCGCTTTCGATTCTTTCGCATTGTAGGGGCTGGGGTAGGAGAGCGGCGGGGAATATGGCGTTGTATCTGGAGATGGGATGGGATGATATGCTGGAGATGATTGCATAATGACTGATGTTGAGGGGATATTTGGAGATTGGTCATGGAGCTCAGGAATATTCAAACCGTTCTTACCTAAGTAGTATCTATATCTATGAAACATTGTGATTAAACCTTCATCTTCCGTAGCTCGGGAATAAACCTTTTTCTTTCATTTCTGTCCCTGCTTTTGTGCGACATGTCCGCCCGGTGGTGCACACTTGCCTGATAGGTATCTTTCTCATCTTATATTTTTCCTCGCGATGTGCGATCCACTTTCCTCATTTGGGTATCAATGATTATGCGGCTCTGCAACTAGCGGGAAGCATCTCTTTCTTTATCTTGGAGAAAGCGCTTTGTTGAGTAGCAATGGTAGGGGACTACAAGGAGACGTGTAGACCCAAGTCTTGTCAAGTGGCTCGGTCTGGTTCATGATGCTCGAATGGAAATCCTTCTGTTCTGTTTTTGAGAAGGATTGTTGGCGAGGAAGTCTGAAGATATCAGGGGCTCGAATAAGTGCTACCTGCACCGTCTAAGCGACATGGACCTCAGGGCTATCTCACTGTGGCATGCCACATTCGGGTCCAAGTGCCAACTCTCCCGAGGCATGAAGCGGGGATGGCGGGGACAAAGAGAAAGAAGTATGATGGAAAAGGGAGAGGTGAAGTGAGAGGAAAGGAGGGGGGAATAAGAGCGTTTTCACTCATTTCTTTTATTTCACACGGGTTAATTACCTATGCCTCAAACGGGCTAGGTCGGGATTTGAAGATGAACGCTCAATCGTAAATTAGACAACCTCTATGATACATAGTGCCTTTAGCTACTAAAAAGAGTATGGATTGAAAAAAAGGAGTAGGTGTTACGCTTATATGAATCTAATGTAAAGTTTGCGGTTGGGGTTGGGGTTGCGGATATGGAAATCAAAGATATAGGCACGCATTATTCTTACGATTGTACCGACTCACACCTCCCCTTCTGAAGAAGATCCGCATCATATGATGTCTTGCTCCTGCCAGAAATCATGAATTCTCAAGTTCCACAAGATCTCACCTCCCCCACAACCGGCAGCGCCTCAACCAAGGATGCGATTTCGCGCTCTAACCTCTAAATTCTGCCTCCCGGAGCATATATTAATCCTCTCCCCCGGCCTGAGTGCTCACACCTTGCGCACTTTCCTACCAATTCAGCCTCATTCAACCTCGTCGCACTCGCTAGTCCGCCTCACTCTCAAAACTGTACGCCGCACTATTTCGCCCTTTACGCCCCTTTCCTACACAGACATGGATTCCAACGGATTTTACTCGTTCGATGAGAACGCCCTCCAGCAGAAGGCCTTCACCGCCTTGTTTGCTCTGGATGAGGATTTTGGCTCTGAGAGCCTCCCTGAAGGTCCCTTGGATCCTATGTTTGGTCTCAGTGGCTTCCAGGCCAGTCAGGGTGCCATGCAGCAGCCTGCCAGCGACAGCACTGCGTTCAGCTTGAATAATGGCGGTCTGGACTTCGACACTGCCAACATGTTCTATCAACCTTTGGGAAGCATGAACGACGCCTTTCCAGCCCTCGACAACTATCTCACGAACAACTGTCAATCCTTTGATCAGACTGCATCTCAGGGGGCCTGTACCAGTGATTTTTGGTCTCCAGACAACAACGATTTCGGCTTCGATGCGCCTTACTCGTTGGATCAGGCAACCCTCCCACAGGGCTCTCTCACCGACATGTCTGCCTTCAACGCCACTACCAATAAGGATGCTTTCGGTGGATCTTATTCGATGGACCCGAACACCTTCAATACGGCAGCCTTCTCGACTGGCTCGGATCTCGATGCACCTCTTGAAATTGACGAATCGGAGTAAGATTTTTTTTTTTAACTTGACGCTAATTTGCCCGTTTCAAGAGATCCTGCAACGACCATGTATGTCGACGCCCCCTCGGCCCCTCGTTCTATCATTCGGATCGGCACGCCCACTCCACCTCTTTTCGGCTGTGACTGGCCTGGTTGTAACTTAACCCGGGTGTTCCCAGACAGCAATTCCCATTCACAACATATATCTGCTGTCCACGTACAAGATGTTCTCAATAACACTTCAGGTTCCTGTACATGGCCCGGGTGCACCAAGCCAGATTTAGACACACGCAAGAAGCTTGAAACTCATGTCACCAACATTCATATCGACCCTCTTCGGTGTACCGTAACCGGCTGCATACGTAGTGAACCTTTTGGAAGAAAGGGTGACTTGGAACGTCACCTTGCTTCGGTTCACAAGCATGGCCGAACATGGAAATGTCCCCACAAGGGCTGCAAGAGACATACAAATGGCTTCCCTCGCAAGGACAAGCTGAATGAGCATAGCCGGGTTACCGGTCATGGAGCCATTCGATGCACATACCATCATTGTCACCGGAGATATTACTTGACCGAAGCGGAGCTATCATCCCACATCAATGATCAACACGGCAATTATGAGTGTGCGGTGGGATCTTGTGCAAGCACAGTTTCGGCGTTCTCACTCACCAATGTTATTAATCACCTCAGCAAGGATCATAAATGCTACTTGTTTCGTCGCCAGGTATCTAGTGCTCATGTTCAACAGTCCCGTGGCGACAAGGACACATTTACATTCACCGAAAGGCATCTTATGGACGAAGATATGTGGTAATAAATTGCAAGGAATTCGAGCAAAGGCTACCGCCCGCCAGCGAGTTGGTGGTATGATGGTTCACTTTATCCGGCAATATGAGGCATCATAATCTGGCTCCATGCTCCTGCTCTTCTCAGACTGGACGGGCTTTTTTCTTGGGATCCGAAATCTCGCCAATATCTTCCTTTGCGCCAACAAATTACTCGACATCCTCACGGCCTCGGTCTACCTGGCGGACTTAATCTGTGCCTTTTATTAATTTTCTATCAAGAGGTTTCAAATGGGGTCCTGAGCCAGATCTCCCTTGAATTCACTTAGATTTTGTCTTTCTGCAAGGCCACTCTCCTTTATGAAGTGTTATCTGTCATTACATGCCACGTCTCGTATCTTCCTGCGGACTAGCTCATCTTTCTTTCGATATAATTCTAGTCTCATATCAGAGCTTTTCACCAATCCACATGTTCTTCTTGTGTTATATTTGATTCCTTTGTTTTATTTCGAAAATGACTGCACACTTTCTTTTGTTTGGGATTTGAAAGTTGGACCGATAGTTATAGCAAATATCATTCATTTATCATTCTACCAATCACTGAAAGTGCTCTAATCTGTCTGCGGATGCTATCGAAATACAAAATACTCTTCCTACCAACATGAGACACAGTACTGTCCTTATAATAAGTTCTAGAGATCTAAGCATGCCACTGGTAAGGAAGCCTCGATCCCTCCCCGACAATTCCATCACCAGCTTCATCGCACCAACACCAGCTTCGGGCTCTTCAGTGCCTCTTAGATATACTCCAATTCCTTGCCGACAACGGGAGGCGGCGGAAGGCACTGAATCTTTCCGGCCTCCAACGTGGGCGTCACGTAGTCCTTCCAGACAGGCGTCGCGATGTCGTTGACGGCGAACATCATACCTGCCTTTACGTTCGCGGGCACATCAGATGGAGGAGGGTGCACGCAGGCGAGAATGACCTCCACCCAGCTTGGCGAGGATGACGAGGTCATGGGTGTATGTGTCGGTAGTAATGATGGCGTTGAATATAAAATCGACGTTTTTAAGTACTCACGGACTAGGAATCCATAAAAAAGATTATGGGAAGAGAAAGTAGACACTAGCGCTAGAAATAACTCCTATAGTATTATATAGCAGTCTCTATAGAAGTATATTACGTGAAGACTAAGAATTATAGTAGAAACATATATATGTAATCTAGCCCTATGTTTTATGCTTTTGCCCCGCGCACACCTTTAAATATAGGGAGGCACAATTCTGCGCTAGCAACATTCGCTAAAACTCGACATCAGTCTGGAATTCCTTGCCAAAGACGACACCTCAACACTGCCATACCCGATGACTGGATCTTATTTCTTGGAGCGCTCTACGTCTGGTCATACTTCATATACCTCGCCGGCAACGTCACAGCTGAAGATGGCCGGCCATTATTGGATGAAGACGCATGGCAGTTGAGAGGCCGATAGCGACGGCAGCGTTCTTAACGACGATCTTACCGGAACCGGCTGTGGGTAATGGGGTACCACCCACTTCCAGGGGAGTTTCAGCTCTGGTGAGCCATGCGGCTCGGTTCTTTGGATCTGCCATTTTGTCCTTTTGGGTGGTTGCTGGTGGGTGTGGCGCCTGGCAATGGCACGTTAAGTTCTCGCATCTGCGGCATTACCCCAATTGGATGGGTGTAGAAATCGATATATATTACCCAGTTCCACCAATAATGGCCTATCAAGCTCTTGCTTTGATCAGTGTGGATGGCACGGCACGACCCTTATATTACCACCTAGACATGGGTGGTTGGGGGCTGACTGTTAAGCCCATTATCAGGACTCCATGGCTGAATCTATTCTGAATCCTCTCAAATCGTGAGCAATTCTCCCAAACACGTTTCACGCCACTAGTAACGATAACTTTGTGTGTATTTTCATCTCCTTATTAGTGCGCCCCTTCAACGTTTGGACCTGAGCCAAGTAGCGCTGAATCTTGCCGCTGATTACTTGTACAGTAGCAATCAAGCTTCAGCCTCGTGTATCACGACAGAGACTCGTAGACAGCATGCGGCCTTTCACATTTTTTCTCCTGCTCCTAGCCACACGTATCGATGCCACTGGTACAGATGTTACGAATAACCTCTTTTCGGATCTTGGCCCGTATGTACGCTACTGCCTGATATATGTTGCTGCTACCGCTGCGCAAGGCTCCTGGCATTATTTGGCGAGCAGTTTGCGCGATTGACCTTGCAATGCTGTCTTTTAGGCTTGGATCTCAGTTGCATAATTGGCTATCGATTTGACGAATCTAACTTTGAAAAGCTTATTATCGTCACTGTTCCACTTACTAAATACTTGTTGGGTTTCAGGGGATGGATGGGTGCGTGGGTGGCTGGAAGTATAATAGTCGTCTATCCGGGTAAAATATTATTCCACATTGAACATTAAAATGAAAATCAAATATATTACGACATAGCAACGCACCCAGAAAACCTGACACCATTGCCCGCCTATATCCAGCACGCCGGCATAAAGTACGAGTCGCTTTACAATCATCAGTAACATACTTCCGTTATATAAAGCAAGCTGAGGCGAGGGAAAATGAGATTACCAGCATACTGAACCGCATGTACTATTCTATTTTGCCATTATAAGCTGTGCAGAGCTCTGTTTGTGGTTCCTAAAACGTGCATGCGGAACTACATATGTGGTTCTCTTCTTAAGCCTGCGCTAGACCACGAACAAGTCTTGGCGGTAAATATGGGTCCTGATTTCTCGCTTAGAAATAGGGGGTGGTACACATGTTATTCCTTCAAACTCCTTTCTCCCTCAGCGCATCTCCCTATACTGCGTATATGCTTACAGGAAATCTATAATGGCAAACATACTTATCCTCGGCTCACGTGATCGTACTCGAAAATGCCAATTCGCCATACAGAAAAGCGCGCTGCGAAGGCACTTGCTTAGACACAAGATCTACCGCACGGTTAGAGTAGAAATACTACTGGTGACCGATGGTAATGATGAAGGTGGCGATCTTACAAACGCACAAGTCTGACACTTCCAAGTGTAGAGGCGACTTCTCGACTCGACTTGACTTCCATGTAAGCAAATGACTGATGGGCTAGGCTCCAGTGCTAAAGAGATTCGTAACACCATAAAGTACGCCCCATATCAAGACATTAGGATAAGAGCATACAATGTCTCATGACCTTGGCTTCGGAAGTTCTTTCTCCATCCAAGCATCCTCTATCCTTTTCTTTTCCTCCAAAAATGGCCAACGGCGATTGCCATTTTGAGCATTCATCTCTGCCAAATCCAACCATTCATTCCAAATAGGAGTGTTTGGTGCAGCACCCCCCTTCCTAACCCAACCTACCGATTTTGTCTCCAGAATCGCCCTCCACAGGGACCGAGTAAATGAAGGTCTACTTGTCACACCGATGGCTACATCCTGGTATTTGGCATCTTCGGGCGTGAAATCTCTCCACTGGTATCGAGGAAACTCCCAGTGGGTTTTCGAGGGCAGGAGAGCAGCAAACCAATACACGGCGTTGAGCACGAGGTACGTGACGGCGAGCGCAGCTTGCATGGTCCAGGAGCAGTTGCCCATCATGATGACGGCAACCATGAAGACGACGGTCCCGGCGCCCACGCAGGAGCCGAAGCCTCTCGTGATCACCTGGACGACTTCCTCGGTGCCGAAATATAGCTCTCGCGCAACATTCTCGTCGCACTTTATTATGAGGAACGCGCCGTACCCGGTGCGTATCACTACATCGCCGGGGGGGACAGGCGCCATATGCCTTGTTGGTAGCCTGTTGGGTGGGCTCCAGAGAGCGGCCGCGCAGAACAGGGTCGTTGCACAAGACAGGAGCACGATTGCTATGGTCGCTGCGCCGTCCCCAATGACAATGGCCCAGATAAGAAGAGCGATTGTCAGGAACGTTGAGAGGACGCTTAGAACATTATGAGGCGCCATGGCTTTTGTCTTCATTAACGGTTGAGGGCGGGGAGGGATGAATGACTTGATTCTCTCCAAGTTTGTAGTCCTGCGAACAGGAGTGCCGATGGTGCCAGACTCGTCGTCTGGTATTGTTCTCGGGGGATGCATCGATGGGTGGTGCGTGATTTCAAGCACAATCACAGCATAAGGAGGAATATCCGCAATGGGGTGGATCTGGTTGGCGATATATGGCAGTTGGGTTTGGACCATACCTGTATGAACTCCAACGATGGAGGCAGGCACTCTGGCAAGAGACTCACGTCGATTTGGGCGGATTAGAGCTTGTGGTGCTGGGATGAGACGGGGAAGAAGACAGAGGTACGAGGCTGTCATTGGCTCGGCGCATTTTTCAGTTGTTGTCTCGCCGATGACTGCGAGGAGGCCAACTGCATCTAACTTCCACCCGTTACGAGAGGTTGGGAATTCGAGAACCATGGCTAGATGGAGGTGCTTGTCGAGGATGGAATTATTTTACCGGAGGCTGAGACTATGTGCTGGCGTGGGTGGGATTGCGGCTGAGTGTGGAACGGAGCAAATCTTTATTGGGATAAATAGCCGATGCTGCAGATCCTCTTTGCGTACTCTAATAGGCATAATATATGAATATGATATGAAGAAAGTTGATAGTAAAGTAATCTTTAATAACAAAGCATGAAAATGGGTGCGGAGGAAAACGTGTTAGATGTTGTATACGCTTTGAATAAAGTTATCAAAATATAATAGTATGACTAAGTTAATGAGCAGCGAAGTAGATGGATCTAATAAGTTCATAGAAAGATGTGTTGATTAAGTTCTTACTATACTAAAGAAAACATCTAGTAAAGCGAAATTATAAAGCTGAGGGTCAAAAAAGCAGAATGTAAAGTACTAGAATTTCTCTCAACTAATGCTAGTTAAGAGCTTAACAATGCATGCTGATTAAAGAAGATCTTTTAGTATAATAGTAGAGAGTTTAACAGTATCAAAGGAATCAACAGCAAGAGCTGTCTAGCATAGAGATAGTAAAGGCAGTAAATGAAAGGAAAAAAGTGATCGAACCTACGAGCTTGAACCTGCGAACATCGCTGAGTAATAGTTCCGCTATGCAAAGTGCGAAGAAGAATGCCAGAGACTTGCATAGCTTCAAATTGCTCTTATGCTATTATAGAACATCCATATCCTGATGATATGTTTTAAACTTGAGGATTGTGAAACACTCCCTACTCAGGTACTTTGCACCAATAAACGGATCGTGACTCGTGACTCCACGAGCGATCTTACACGGTACAAAGGTAATTCTTAGGTGAGGAAGGACAGGACTAAAAGAAGAAGTGGAATGAAATGATGATGATACTGTAATTAGACGACTTAAATACCTAGTGTGAACGTGGACTAAGGTGCAAAACTATTGAGAGCCGGCGCGAAGCCATGGACTTCATCGGCCGAAAAGATGATATACTAAAGGAAATGCATTAGACATAGTAGGGTTCAGGCCCAGACTGGCGAGTAAGTCAGTTACTATTGAGTCACTTTATCAGTTGAAGCTTTTAACATTAGTTAGTCAGTTAAAGGTAGTGACATCAGTCAGTTAGTCGGTTATAGATATATTAATCAGTCGGCTAATTAGTTGAAGGTAGTAAAATCGTCGATTTTAGGGTGCTTTTAGAGCAAATTCTAGGGTTTTTATAGGGCTATTTAGCGGGTTTCGGCCTTAAATAGCCTAATATCTTAGGTTATCAGGCCGACGATAGTACGGAGTAGCTGTATGACTTGACTAATTGATTTGATTCTGAAAGAAAAAGAAGAAAGGTTATTTACCGAAGTATGAATGGTAGAGAGGGTGAGGAGCGGTGAGACGCGAGGTATTGTATGGATAAGGCATATCCATCTCGACGTGGCGATTGTCCAGCTGTGAAGGAATGAAGAATGAAGAGGAAGGACAGGAATTCGATGGAATGATGGGTTATTTGCGGGGAAGAGAAAGAGAAGAAGAAGAAGAAAGAAGGAAAATCAGAGAGAAATCCTGAATCGCCTCATCGTCGTCATTGATCGACCAGCACGGACGGACGGGCACGGGATCCACAACGTGACAACACATCAGACAGGTCACTCCACCTCCACTTCCACTCCACTGCCATCGAATTGGTGCGCTTATTCCACAATAGGGACTTTCTCCCGAGGATCAAAGGGCACCTTACGAGTAATGTTTGCCTCTGAAAGTGAAACGCAGGTTTGCAGATGTGGCTCAGATCCGATCCATGGCAACCTGAGATGTGGCTCAAGTGGTTTTCCATGTTTATGGTCAAAGGGTCTAGATCGTGATGGGCGGGGGTCATCAGCCACAGCTAGCCGCCTGGATACTTGGAGTAGATCAGCACTTTAACTTTATCTTGGATCTTTAGCCGCTCGGAAATTCGATGCTAAAAGTCGATGTGTGCTGTATAAACACAGGGGGAAATTAATAATTATGGGCAGCATTAAAGGCTCAGCTTAACAGGGGATCAGCCAGCTGAGGGCTAGGATTATCCCTGCTCGGACTTCATTGTCTGGGGAACGTGTTCCTGATTTTGGTTGGGCACGGAAGATGTGATTGAATGGGTGAATGGTGGGTGGCGTGTGGACCCTGAATTGCTATGCCATGGTGGCTGGTGATTGGATGGCTGGTGAGATTAGGAGCTTGGACGGAAAGAATCCCTGAAATGATCTTTGACGTCACTTACTACAACAATATGGAAAACCTTGTTTGGCCATCTGTCGGTGTCGCGGTCATGTCGCGGTCATGTCGAGTTCATGTCAACCAATAATACGTACGAAGTAACATGTCTGGCCAATTTATACGGAACATTAAGGTAAGTGCAAGTCTATTCCTCCCAACCTCTCTCTGCGAGGAGCTTCTTCATCTCTGCAGACAGACTGCTGCACGTATCTTGGATGTGGGTGGCTGGGAGTCAAGTTAAAGTAGAGGCTATACTAGAAGCAGTATAGATTTGGTGGGTAGTATAGATTTGGTGGGTAGCATTACATTAGCGAATCTAGACTGAACCTTACCCCGCCCCACCTATAGTACTAGACTAGGTAACCCTTCCCTTCTCTTCCCTTCCCTTCCCTCCCGTTCCCTTTCAAACTTCCACATCATCAGCTGCATTGACGCCTCGCCCAGCCTCCAACTTCCCAACTTCACAAGACCGCAGTCCCTTCCCTGTTGCGGACATCCCGTTGCCCCTGTGGCGCTGGGACTTGGCACTTGGTACTTGGCACTGGGACTTGGCACTTGGCTCTTGGCACATGATACTATCCTAAAGAGGCTAGTTTACCAAATAAGATACTCGTCCATACTGGTAGTGAAAATGATGAGCCGCCAATCAAGGAAAAGTGAAATTGCAGGAACACAAAGCAGAAAGCAGAAAGCACGAACCAGGCAAACAGACCAAGTAGTGAGTGAATGCGTTACTCTGCGTTGCTATGCATGCAGTGTTACCTTTCTCCCTGTCCCCCATCCCCTTCAAAAGCAGCACTTTCCCACCTCGCTTTCCACCCACCTCTTTCCAATACCACACTTCAACTTCCACTCCCACTTCACCATTTCCTCCTCTTCCTCCTTCCCCCTTCCCAACAGACACCTTGCTTCCGTCTGCTCAACCTTCATCACACCTCAATTAGCAATACCCTCACATCAGTCACTATGAAGTCCTCCATGATGATCACCGTTGGTGCTTTCGCTGTCTCTGCTCTTGCTCAGGCCCCTGCCGATATCCCAGCATGTGGTGTAAGTAGCTTCTCAATCCCCCAACTGTTGGAGCACCTGCACCCACGATCTTGAGCTTCAATGGCTCCATCTACCCCAAAGACGCCGTCTCTGAATTGGAGACCAATCGCTGATTCCTAGTAGCAAATGTGCATCAACAACCTTTTCAACCTAGCCTCCTCCCTCGGATGCCAGAGCACCGATGCCAGCTGTCTCTGCAGCAACCCCAACTTTGGCTATGGTATTCGTGATTGTGCGAATGAGGCATGTGGTTCTGAGGTCGCCTCCAGCGTCATAGCCTATGGTGGAACCTATTGCTCTTGTAAGTCAGCTCAGAACTTTGGGTCGAACTAATGCTAATTCCCTGCAAGCTGCTCTGGGCACAGGGTCTTCATCGGGTTCGGCTACCGTTACTACTGGCACTACTCTTGTGACATCCGTTTCCGTCACGGTCACAGCAACTTCCTCCGCTATCACCACCTCAGCTCTCGAGTCTGTCATCTCGTCTGGTGGATCTGCCGTGGGTACTACAACTGTGGGATCAACTACAATCTTTGGTCTTGGAGGAGCTGGGGGTTCTGCAACAGCAACCGGCTCATCTTCTGCTATCACCACCTCGGCAATCGAGTCAGTCATTAGCTCCGGCGGATCAGCTGTTGGCACTACCACCGTAGGATCAACCACCATCTTCGGTATTGGAGGAGCTGGAGCATCTGCTTCGTCTTCTGCCATCACCACTTCAGCAATTGAGTCCATCATTAGCTCGGACGGTAAAGCTGTAGGCACTACCACCGTGGGATCAACTACAATCTTCGGAACCGCTGGATCAGAATCATCTTCTGCCATCACCACTTCAGCAATTGAGTCGACTATTAGTTCGGACGGCAAAGCTGTGGGAACTACCACCGTTGGTTCCACCACCATCTTTGGACTTGGTGGTGCTGCTGGATCTGCTTCATCTGCTGCCTCGACAGCTTCAGAGGGTGCTAGTTCAGCTCTCTCGAGCGCTTCTGCTGAAGCAAGCTCTAAAGGATCCAAGGCCAGCTCAGCAGTTTCATCTGCAGTTGCAGGTGCCTCTTCAGAGGCATCCAAGGCATCCAGCGCCATTGCCAGTGCAACCTCAACATCCTCAAAGGGAGCAGGTGCTCAAAAGACTGCCTTCCCAATCCTCGCTGGTGCCGCTGGTCTCGCTGTTTACCTCTTGTAAAATACTCACGGATCGAAAAGGGTTTCTCCTTGCGCATAGATCTCCTTCCGCATATCAGGATGGGAAAAGGAACGAAAGTGGATATATTAATTGTATAATGGGAAGATGGATGGTATGGTCATGGCAAAATGAATGCGCGTTTGGTTGTCGATACCCTTGCTTTGCCTTTTTCGCTTCTTGCTGATATTTGCCTCCTTTGAGGGGTATTACATGTTGAGCTTTCTCTGCATACTTCTCTCGACGATATGATATCCTGGATTGACGGACGAGAGGAAGTGATGGTGAGACGCATATTAATGAGTGCTATAATGATGGATGGGGACCAGGGAGATGCTGAAGACATGTTGCCAGTTTCGTTGAAACGAACTGGTACGATGATGTAGTTGAACTTGACTTATGCCCGTTCACGATCAATAAAAATATCATGCAATATGTAAAGCGTTCCATTACATGGTGATGATTATTCAAACAAGCAAGTGCTTGATGTTGTCCTTGGAAGCCTTGGAATGTAAACTTAAAATGCAGGCTAACCAGGCAACGTTATATCTTTCAGCAACACGAATCTGTTAATCTCGTAAAACTCCACGATGATCTTACTAAACTGTGTCGTTTTACAAGGAAGTCTATGACATGAATATTAGAAATCAAAATTAATAATCAATCCAGCAGCGCTACACGTAGGAAGAGCTCAGTCACAGCGTTCCGTTCCATTCTATTCTATTTACTATACGTAAGTGAGCCAGCCTTCCTTCTCGCCTCGCTTCTTTCCGTAGACCGCTCGCCGGGTATAGTATGTATGAAATTATTGGACTATACTGTGCATACAATCACTTGTATTGTATCACGCGGACGAGGCAGAGAGTGAGTATCTACCTAGGGCGTAGGTAAGTAGGTATAAAGTGCTGCATCTAAGTGTTTAGGTGGTTTGGGTATTCGGGGAGGGGGGATAGGTAGCTTGGTGGATTGGGTTTGGTTTTAGGTGTTATGTTGTATATGCTAGCTCGGGGGTAAATATATAGAGAGAAAGAAGGAAGGGAAGGGAAGGGAAGGGAAGGAAAGGAGATTTATGATTTGTGGTTTGTGGGTTATAGTTTTCGAGAGAGAGAGAGAGATGGGGAGATGGAGAGATGGAGAGATGGAGAGATGGTATGTTATGTTATGGTATGGTATGGTATGGTATACGAGAGATGGGGTGGATGGAGGGTATGATTGATTGATAGGCACGAAGGAAGTTTGGTCTCTTGCGTGCATGCGTTGAGCAGGCTGAGACTATACGTATGCATGTATGTATGTATGTATGTATGTATTATAAAGCACCGCTATATCGGCCTATCTGGCTTAGCTAGATAGACAGACAAAATAGGCAGATAATCAATATGCTAGAAGGGTGAGTGGGAGTAAGGGCAGAGGCATGTATATGTAATTCCTATAGCTATTAGCAAGCAAAAATGACATGTCTACGGGTGTGCTTTACTGTATTGCGTGAGAACTTTGTGTATATCGCGGACGCGTGATTGAGGCCTGGTATGGTATGGTATGGTATGGTATGGTATGGTGACGGAGCATTGTATGTCTAGCACGTAAGTGAACCTTGAGTTTGGATTTGGAGTTCAGGGGGATGAATGATTGATATACTGTTATAAGTTATTGGTCTCTGCTATGATGCCGAGGTGGCATGAAGAAAGGGGTTGTGAGCGATAGACTCGAAGTAGGTTGTTTTAGTAAATGTAGATAGATGGATGATTTGATTTGATCGACGGGGTTTTTATCTTTATCTCTACCAGCTGGCTGGCTGGCTGGCTGTTCTTTTGTCGGGATTGGTTAGGGGGTGGGTGCTTGATCTGTTTTGTTTATAAGTGAGTAAGTCGGGATGCATATATATACTCGGAGTATGCATGGCTGCTAGCTACTATAGCTATTTTTCGCATTTAGAAGTCAGGATTCAGCAGGGTTTGCTGGATGTGGTAGCCCTATAGTACAGGCTAATGAGTTGAGTCTCTGTCACCTGGAACTTGATCAGATATTCGCTGATCCGGAATGGTGCAGACTTTAGTCAGGTTCAGGTGATCTATATATCATCCTATTAATCCTCTATCTAATAGGATTCTCGTTTTATACGTACCTCTAGGCTTTTCTTTTCATAATCTCAAGTACTTATCTATGAATAACCTCTAACCTCACGAGTATAAACGCAGTCTTCTATATATAGCTCTAGAGAAATTAGTCAAAGTGCTATATAATATCCACCTGAAACCTAAGAGGGGATTTTCTAGCTGCTATGGAGAATATATTAGTTACTAGAAGGTTAATTGGATTATTTAACATATTCTCTACCTATACTTTCCTTTAAGAGTCGGATCTAATATTAGCACCTGGCTTGATTTTAAGCTTAATATATATTCCGACTTAAGACTCCTTCCTCTACTATCTATATAACACCTTATTAATAAATTTAAGAGCAGAGCAGAGATTGCATATTATTAGGCTGAGCCTAGCTACTATAAGGCACAGCTAGATAGATGTATCTTACCATACGCTCTCTACTCTAAGCTTAGGACCTAGGATACGATAACTAGGTTTTGTAAACTGAGCACATTATATTATATTACATTCCTGTTGCCTAAGCTTAAGAATAGTTACGTGACATTGATGGATCAAACGCTAGGATGTATGTATATAAAGATTCATCTTAGCATTATATGTATTGAACGATCTGAAGAATTGACCATCCAAGTCCCTAAGCTTTGGCCGCGCAGGTATTAGGAGATCTGAGCTGATACTCTGTATTTTCAGGGGTGAGAATCCCTAAAGACGCATGCGAGGCGAGATGATTAGAATCGTGCTTGCTTAATAGAGAGAGCGGCGAAGGAAGCCTTGCTTTGGTATAACATGATAATTATACATATATATTAGAACCTGCAGATGCATATATAATCTACCCGCTTTAATTTTGTCAAACAAACGTGCTTAGAGGTCTCTTGATCTTGGAATCAAGCAAGGATCGATGTTGAATTGAAGATAAGAACACGAAACGATGCTAGAATAGGAAGGCTGGATTCCATAGGTCTTGTTATAAAGTCTGGCTGGTATATTTCGCTAGAAAGTAACCGGAAGATGGACTTGGTTCTACTCTGTACCAAGTATTAAAACAAATAGTTCGCGTGTGCGAGTGAGCGAGTGGCTCGAACGAACGAATGTAATTTGCAAGTTACGGAGTATTGGCTGCTTGGATTATTGGGTGATGAATAAAGGCTGAAGGAAGCGGAACGGAATGGAACGAAGACGGTATATAGTTGGTTTAGAATTGGATAAAAGAGCATATTTCACAGCTGTTACATTGATTATTGGATTATTAATAATGCCGTGTCTATAGATAGATGGATAGAAAGAAGTGCGGCGTAATACTAGGGATCTAGGTGAGGCTCTTGTAGTCCCGGTACGGGAAAATAAAGTGAGCTTGAAGGGAAAGGACGGGAAGGGAAGGTAGTCTGTGATTGAACGTATGCTTTACTTTCACTTTATCAAGACAGGTTATAGACATGGACTACCTACCGCCTGTTCTGGCCCCTCTATCTATCTCGTTTCTATCATACCTGATCATATCTATTCCTTAAGTCTAGCATCGGGGCAGGAAAGAGACGGCTCGCGGATAGCTAGATAGATTGCGATATTCAGATGGTAGTGAGTATTCGGGTTAGCAAGTCGAAGAGAAGAGGGTTCGGGGCGAGTAAGTTAAGGGCCCGGAAAGGAAAGAAAATTCGAGAAGCGATGGAAGCGATGGAATGGATGTCTGGCTTTCAAGAATCAATCTGGGCCTATCGAGCTCGCTAGCTAGTTAGCTGCCCGAACTTGCGGTTCCATCTATACAGTTATACTCGGCGCGTTGCTTTCAGCTTTCGGGTCGGCTGACACTGGATGGCTGGCTCGTTGGTAAATACGGAGTAAGCTAGCGACAGGAGGTCAAGTGAGGATAGGTGGCGGCTGGGTATTGGGTGTTGACAGGAAGGACTTTGGAGGGATATGATGGGTTGGGCTTATGGTTGGATTGATATTGTGATCAAGCAGATCTGATGATAAGGGAAGGCTCGGGATGGCTTGGAAGAGGATCGAATCGTATGGGTGAGAAGGGACTAAGAGCGGGCCCGGGCTTAGGATATGAAAGATATGTTCAAGATAGAAGAGGGAGAGGGAGAGCGAAATGCGGTATGATGTTTGAGAAAAGGTTAGTTGGGGAAAGGTAAAGAAAGATAGGACGGACTGACATGATGTTCCATTGAGGTCAGGTCGGAGCGGAACCGATATCAGAAGCCAGGCTTGGTTATAGGAGGGGGGACAGGGGATGCATATTTTGGTTATATTATACGTGATATAGAGTATTACTAGTTGAATGTGTATATATACATGTGAAAATATTAAGACTTGGAAGCTTGCTTGGATCTAGTGCAACTTCACTTTTGTATGTATTATATATTAAACTTTCTAGTTTGAAACAGGTATAGGGAGTAAATGAGGAAATGGGTGGAAAAGGGGAAAAGGAAATGGAAGTGAAAGTAAACAGCTAGTACTTAATTCCGCTCGGGCAAAGGGGTATAGTCGTATAGCACTTGCCGATTTTCTGGAAGTGCATAACGCGAATTAAAATACAAGACAGACATGTATGCCAAGTATCTAGAGATAGATACGCGTATAATTAACGGTGATTTGATAATGGTACATGCACTGCTTTGGTCCGTTAAGTTACTTTCCGCTGTAACACATATACTTCTTATGTCAATACCCGTTACTTGCAGCATTTGTCTTATTTAAAAGCAAGGTAGGAAGAACAGATGACGGACGAATACGAGAGACTGTTATGCAGGTGTGAGGTGCAAGATCTTTTGAACGGTGTACGGACGAATACGAACGAATGCTATGCGTGCAGGTGTGAAAGATGTAGAACAGTACGGAGCATCCTCCGTACTTGTACTACCCTCTAGAATCCTTATCTATGTTCCAAGCAACGTTTCCATCGGACCGTGAGACAAGATATACCTATCGGTACGAAGTACGGTGCATCCGGATCGATGCGGTTTCATATCGGTGGTAGTACAAGGAGTGCATTATCTAGATACGAGACAGATATTGCATGTAAGAGATCTTCCTTGATATTTCCTATTTTTGAGGAAGGGGAGGAAGGGGAGGAAGGGAAAGGAAGTATGATATGATAGCTTGTGACGGAGGATAAGGTAGGGTTACCCCAAGATTGATCCTGTAGTTAGTATAGTCTAGGAATTCCTAAATACATCTTTTGGTAGTGTTCCTGATTAAGCAGAAACTTCTTATTAGTGAAAAATAAATATAATCGCGATGTTTAACCCTCTTATTTAAAGTATCTATATTATACTTAGACTCCAGAGTCCGGATCAGTCCTTCGTATAGAAAGTCTAGGAGAATACTTATATGAAACCAATAATCAACCCCGGAGAAAATCGGATATTGTACATGTATAAATGAACTCGTGGTCCATGCCCTCGGTCTTTGTCCGGCAGCACTAAGAGTTTCCGAATACTATGCTACGGAAGCTTCTGTCTTTCTATTTCTATATCATAATGACGTCATATATCATATTTGATGTCTCATAGACCTTATGATCTTTTTATCACAAGCGAGGTCGAAGTAGGATTTGAAGTGGAATATAGAGGAGGTGTGGCTTTCGGTACTATGATAAGCAAGGTAGAGGCAAGGTTGAAAATCCGGGGTTTGGTAATGGAATACTGGAATAGGTATTTGGTTGGTGGGAGGGGGGAGAAGAGATGGTGGGGCATGTGAAATGTCCAAGTGAGGACGAAGATCATGCGTCGTCATAGGTTTCAGTCCGTACAGAAAGTATTTGAGTTTTCTTTAATTAATTACTTCTCTGTTTATTTGCTTCGAAAAGTAATGAGAAGAGAAAGTCGATGATAGGACAGGATAAATCAAGGTATGAACTGGAATAAACTCAGGATACATAGTCCGGTACTTTATATAAAGTTAACAAATTGAGGTTATATATAATAAGCTTTAATAATCACTTACTACTCTGCTTACTATACGTACGAAGCCCCGGAGTACTCAAAAAGCAAACAAAAACAAAAATAAACAGGGTCTAGAACTTGCTCTAAACAAAACCAACAGCGTTTGAAAACAAGTCTCGGTAAGGCTCTCCGAAATTCCCTTAGTCGTCGTAGTATACTATATGTACGTAAGGAGTATCGTACGATAACCGCTCGTTAGCATATTGGCTAGCTAGGGTAGAGCTTTAGTTAATCATCATACTATGGCACTCTAGTTCTAGTAAAAGGAAAGAAAGGCACTTCTGACAAGCATGGCATGGCATGGCATGCATCATAACAAAAAGCGGCTCGTCCCGTTCCTAAGTCTGGATCGCATCTAGATCTAGACTATTCTTGTTTTTCTCTTCTCTTCTCTTCTTTTCTCTCGACAGTTTCTCTCGACGGAATTTTTCCTTTCATACTCTGCAGTCGAGAGAGAAAAAGAGGGAGAGTGTACGGAGTATGTGGCTTTAGAGTGGTGGTGAAGATGTATGCAAGCATAAGTGATGTATATCACGGGCTGATTTGAGACACGTTTTTTGCATCTTACGTCAAGACTTACTTATAGATTGCGTAGAGAAAGGATTGGATACATGTAGCTTGTTGGCAGGTTTGCATGAGCTAAATGGAAGTATTTTTTGGGTGGTTAGTACTTTGATATCACAGTGCAGATGCGATGCCGTGGGAAGGGGCTCGAATTGGCGAATGAAAAATCTTTTCTTTCCGAAAAGAGGGTTTAGTTTCTAGTCCAATAGTTAGTCGTGGGCTAATTAATTGAATTCTTGTACCCGCCCTATTGGTTGGAAGGTTGGGGCGAAAGAAAGATACATCGGGTTTGTAACCCGGGAGCGCGAGGGGCGAGGTTTGAGTGGAAAGATGTGGCATTGTGTGCGCCTTTAGTGTGTGGACGGTTCTTTGATCTTTCGAGTAAATATCAGCGCGTTGAATGTGACGTATCGTGTGGAGAAGTTGAGGCTATTCCGGATAATAAGGTTCTCTACGTAAATTGAAATTGGCGGAGATTATTTGTAGGTGAGAGGTTTCCTGTACGTATATACCGCAGCTTGTACTTCTGATTAGTTTATTGGACCGTTTTTATGCATGGGTTTGTGTAACTTCAGGCAGTATTTATGATGTACCAGGGGGTTTGGTTTCGAGAAGGGTGAACTCGGATCGCAGACTGACTCGTCTGTCTATCCTTGCAATACTCGTAAAGTCTCGGGAATCTCACCTTTAAATTGAGGGCAGCTCTTATCTATCAGCACTATGTTTCTTAATGTCTCTGATTGATTATACTGTAGGGTCTCACTTATTATTCCATGGCCTTGATAGGAACAGAAAGAAAGAAGTCAAAAGAAGGGAGATGCCGGAGGCGGAGGAACCAGGGTGGCTGTATGTAGCAGGGCTACTTTGGAATGACATGCAGTAGATGTACTGTAGGTAGTGGGAAAGTTGCTGCAAGTGAAAAGGGATGGATATAAAAGTACATGTGTATCTCGGTATCAGTTCGGAGTAAAGAAGATGCAATGAGTGCATATTGCAGTGCTTCGTACTTCGTACTCTGTATATTACAGGTCTGCATGTACAAATGCAAATACAAATTAATTCATCCTTCTCCGCATTCTTCATGGATGTGAGGGTTCCACGGCCGATGGAGGGGCAAGAATGCAAGAATCGCAAGATTAATGATACCCTGATGATTTTTCGGGGTCGGGAGGGGAGTGGAGGGGTAAAGATTTCTTGCGGCATAGAGCGGCTAACGTATAATTAAATATTTCTAATATCACTCAGCATCTAAAGGGAGATTTAGAAAGAGATGTAGATAGTGGACTTGTTTGTAATTTGTAGAAATAATTGGGATTTGGTGTGGTGAGGCATTTGATGCACCCCAGACTTTGCTACTGATGGTCTACATCTCGACAGCGGATCGGCACACATCTTCACCCTCCTAGGCTTGCTGACCTCGCCCCTACGGAGTAAAATACTAATAATTGCTACATCATAGCTACCAGGTACATACATACATACTGTATTGTCTGTACTGTACCGAGTACTCCAGCTGTTAGTGGGCCTAACCACAAAGTCAGATACTGTGCACACTTCAGACTGTCAAGCGGTATCTTCGGACCTGAATTCATCTCATAATCTTCATCCCCACTGACAGCTAGTACATCATTTGCCACCCAAGAAATACTTTGAAGTATAGTATCACCTTCACCATCAGGTTGAGGAGGCGTTGGTGTTGGTGTTGTTGAATCTAGCTCCCGCCCCTGATCCAGTATGCCATGCCGTCGAGTACGAGTACTTCGTACGTGATGCTGTTATGGGGCAGATCATGGCCTGATTGGGGCGGTGATTGGTACGAGAAATGAAATGTTGAACGGTTCTAGTTTGCACTTGCACTGCTCCTCTCTCATCCGGATGCATCTCCAAGACTTCCTGGCTCCTGAGACGGATCCATGGATGCGATGGCGTGTTTCTTCGTTTCTAACTGTACTGTATCTATACAGGATTAATCTTTTGCTCTGTGCAACCCCTACAATCAGTAGATCAGCCAGCCGGCTCGAGTAGCAACATTTCAGTAGGGGAGTAAGGGCAGGCCAAGGATCGGTCAGTGCAGCTGTTATGTGGTCTGTTGAGTTCTGCGATTACGCTAAAATAAATTGATAGCATCCCCTAGCAATCCCTGGTGATGCACCAGTACCAGTACAGGTAGGTCTAGTGCTGCAGCTGCTTCAGCCTTCAAGCCTTCAACCAACCCAGCGTCGCAGTTTCCATGTCAGTCCAATCCAGCCAGTCCAGTCCTCCCGCCCAATAATATAATCATACTGTAATCCGCCCGCACCTATCTCCACTCCAACCAGACTGACAGACAGACGGACAGACGGACACACAGACACACAGACACACACACCACAGACCACAGACCACAGACACACACACACACACACCCACCAGACTCCACTCGCACCCCATACACCACACCAACCAAGTCCAAGCACGAACCAGCATCACTCACTCACTACTCATTACCTTATTTGACCTCACGCTTTCCTTCCTATCATCAAAATATATTCAATAACCCACCAAACTCAACTCCACAGTCACAGTCACAGTCTCCCCAGATGCTGTCTGTTTGCTAAACACCCCACCTCTTACCACTTGCTATCTTTTACCTGCCCCTTCCCCAAGGACTGGCACTCTAAACATGTCGACTCCCGCCTCACGGCTGCACCTCAACAATGGATTTACAAACGGCGAACAAGCCCACAACCACGACCAGCACGCCCGCCTCGAGTCCCGGGCTCTTCTCTCCCACTGCCAATCCTCTTCGTATGCCATTACCTGCGCTCCTAGATGGCACTCCACAGTCCAGTCCCTATTTGCACCCGTTGCAGATGCATAAAGTTCGAGAGTGAGTTTCCTTCTTTTTCATTGCCCGCCGCCCGCCGCCCGCCATCCCACCACCTTTTGTGCTTCCTTGCCTTGCCCAACAACAACCCAAGACCCTTTGGACTGTGCGACCACAGCACACTCTCCATTATTCCTTTTCCCTCACGTCTGCGGATTTCAATTGAGCTTTCGGCCGCATTTGCTTCAGCTCCATAGAGGGGGTTCCATACGTCACAATGTCATAATTAATACTAACTTCTCCCCCACCAGAACCCACAAAGCCCAGATCGAACAAGACTTCATCACCGGCAGAAAGCTGATAAACCAATACGAAGTAATCGAAGAGATTGGGAGGGGTGTTCACGGCAAGGTCAAGTTGGCACGGAGCCTGGATACCGGGGATTATGTCGCTATCAAGATTATACAACGCTTCTCCAAAAAGAGAAGGCTAGGAAGAGTCACTGTTTCACCCGAAGACAAGACAAAAAGAGAGATTGCTATTCTCAAAAAGATCCGGCATGCAAATGTCGTCGGTCTGTTGGAAATCATCGATGATCCGGAGTTGAAGAAGATATACATGGTGTTGGAACATGTCGAGCTTGGAGAGATCACATGGCGCAAGAAGGGCGTCCCTCGCATTTGCTTCTACGAGAGACGGCGTATCGAGAAGGAACAAAGGGGCGAGAAGGATACAGGAGACGAGGAGAAGCATTACAAGATGCTTGAGAGGAGGCGGCAGCGCAAGGAATCACAACGAGCCAAGCTCATCCAACACCACGGCCAAGTACCCACCGACTACTGGAGTCTGGAACATGGAACGGACGACGAGGATGCTGATATTCCCCTGTCGAGGCAGACGACATATGATTCAACGCTAAATCTCTCTCGTTCGTATCAATCTGCCACACTGTCAAATCCAGGGTCCCGCGTTGCGTCGAATACACCATCTCGAACCCCTTCCAGAGCACCTTCTCGTGCAAGTTCCCGTTCTCACACTCCACTCCCGGAATATGATATTGGTCCGATCGATAGCGACAACGAAGATGAAACGCCTGGGCCTTTGCCGCACATATCGAACCCTCTTGAAGGATCGTACTATGGATCATACCCAGACGAGCCGCCATATCGAGGGAGATCGCCAAGTATGGCGGATAGTATCATTTCTCACATGTCTTCCCTTGACGACATTCCACATGATGCTTTCGAGGAGGATTACTCATACGTTCCTTGTTTTACCCTGGACCAAGCTCGATCGACCTTTCGAGATACAGTTTTAGGACTAGAATACCTGCACTACGAAGGTGTTGTTCACAGAGACATCAAACCCTCGAATCTGTTGTGGACAAAGGACCATAGGGTGAAGATCTCCGACTTTGGTGTCTCTTATTTCGGCCGACCCATCCGAGAAGGAGAGACGGAAGAGAATGTCTCCGAAGCTGATGCTACCGACTTTGACGACGATCTTGAGTTGGCCAAGACTGTTGGTACACCCGCTTTCTTCGCACCAGAATTGTGCTACACTGATATCGAAGGCGAACAACCCAAGGTCACGGAACAGATTGATGTGTGGTCACTGGGTGTTACGCTCTATTGTTTGATCTTTGCTCGCATCCCGTTCCTTGCCGATGATGAGTGGCAATTGTTCAAAAGCATCGCAAAAGACGATGTATACATCCCCAAAAGACGTTTAAAAGCTGTCAATCCCGCCATCTCGTCGTCGCAAACAAACCTGCACAGTCTCAGCAAACGTACGGGTCCATCGACCGGCCCCTACAGAGAAGATGCCGAACTCGCGTACGAGGATATCGATGATGAGCTACATGATTTGATCCGAAGGATGCTCATCAAAGACCCATCGGAGAGAATGAAATTGAGAGAAGTCAAACGTCATCCATGGGTAATTAAAGATATTGATAACATTATCGGATGGCTTGACGATTCAGATCCATCAAGGAGGACGGCTGGTAAGAGGATCCAAGTCGACACTCAAGAATTGGAACGAGCCGTCGTTCCAATCACATTCCTCGAGCGTGCTCGATCAGCTCTCAAAAAGACCGTCAACAAGGTGATCGGTGTTGCCAGAAGCGAAACGAGAGGCGAGGGTTCTCGAAAACGGGCTATCAGCAGTGCCACAAGTTCAGGAACAGACAACTTTCAGTTTTCAAACACTCCTGTCCTGCGCGAGGCTCGACGATCTAGCCTTAGGGGCGACGAATCTTACTTTTCTACTGCCACTGCCAACGACCCACAAGGACATCGTGAGCCATATGAGCATCCTCTTGCGCAGAGCCTCACCGCTAGTCCCGACCTAGTAACTAACTCGGATGACCCCTTTTCGGACGGCTTTGCTCAACAGCAATCCTATTCGGTAGGAGCTACTCCCAAACGGGTTCCCTCGGGGGGACCTACAGATTTTGATATTAGACCAGGGCCGCCAGAGCGAATTGTATCAACGTCAGCATCTATTCAAACGGTCATACAGAGAGGACATTCGCACTCGCGATCAGTGACCCACACACCAAAGCCTAGTATGGTAAACGACGATGTTGCCATGGCCACTGGACCTTTCACGGACCATTTTGGGGGTACCTTTAACAGAACGTGGAGCAGAGGTCGAGCTTCTATGTCTGAGATTGAGGAAGGCACCACTTCACGTGCTCGATCAGTCGACCGGAGTTTATTTGAGTCTGAGAACAAGCATGCGGAGGCTAGCGTGGCTGTGAGTAATGCTCATGCGCCTGGTCGGTTTGAGCACTCCACCACGGTCTGCCAACCCCCATCTCGGTCCGCAGACGTCAGTCCCACCAATATAGAACATGACAAGCCGCTGCCGTCGCCGATGTTCTTCCAACCTTATATGGTCCATCAACACCAGATTCAATTGCAGTCGGCATCAACTCCAAATTTCCCCCACTCTGTCTACGCTGCTTCAAATCTCGATGAGCGACCTTCAACGGCAAATAAGACCCCCGAAGGCAAGACACCAGTCCCTCGAACCTTCCCAAGCACACCGGAGTCCTTCAAACGAGACACAAACGAGAGACGTCGTCAATCTCCAGACGACGACTTTATGCAAAAGCAGGAAGAAGAGGCGAAGCGCGCTCAATCTTATAGCTCGGTCAACTCCACTGGCATGGCATCTGCTTCTTCGCCTTCTGGTGCTACGTCGCCCATCTCGTCGGTGAACCTTGGCTCGCGGGATAAAATCTTCCCAAGCGTGCCCTCATTACCAGCGCTCATATCTGGCGCTTCTTCTGTGTCTGCGGATGCGGAGGAGGATTTCCTCACCCATCCTGGTTTCGCTACCGTTTCCGTGAACTCGACTCCTGAAACGCTCACACCGCCTGAGTTATCTAAACATTCCACTACAGAAGAAGTGTCGCCTACCGATGACGCTATTGTATTAAGTCCGGATATTGATGATGAGGGTTATAATGGCGATGGTGATCCGGCCGAGGAGAGTGATGAGGATAGTGATGAGGGCCTCACGATGATTCGACGGAAACCGAAAAAGGTTATCCAGGAGGGCATGGGTATTGTGAGAAGGGACACGAATGCTAGTGTGGGGAGTACGGAGACGGCGAAGAAGGTTGACATTGATGCTTAGCCACCGATGACCGATTAGTAACCAACTCTGCTGCCCTTGCGTAGTGTAGCAGGCTCTCTCAGGTTTTCTTACTGTCGAATTTCATGATGGCTTTATTGTTTAAATGGGGATATTCTCGGAATCTTATTTAAGATGGTATCATGGACCCGGAAACGAAAATTGGATGGGTGGATCTTTTATTCCAAACTACGAAAGGCGTCATGGGAAGCAAGCGACTTGAGTTCGACTTGCTAGGATTGATGCATGCAAGGCGTATGGTGTTCATAGTAGCATGTGCAACAGTGCTGTGTTTTTATTATCCTGGGTTGGGCAGAGCAGATCAGATGAATGAATCGCATAGGAAGTAACGAAAATGGAATGGGTAGGTAGTAGGATGCAAACTGGGAAGAGAGGATTATATAGTTGTAATATCCACCTATTCTTTATACTCTGATTAAAAGGAGATGAGATGATGCTTTTTATGACTCTGTTATTTAAAATATCCATGTACTATAGAAGAACGATTGTATAGTCCTTCATGTTAGTACTTTCGAGGCTTCGAACTAACTGAGCGTCAAACCCCTTTTGATAATATACGAATAAGGAGGAGTTGGTGTGAAAGAGAGCTGATTGTGTTAGTTTATGTTGGTATTTCTTTCTATTATACAAAGGGGGTATTTATATGCAAATCTATTCTCTTCTCTTCTCTTCTTCTCTCGTTTGTTATGCATATGTATATAATACATACATACATCATATCATCTCATATCAGTTCATATCATATTATCTCATTCCCGCGTCTCCTCCTTCTCCTTTTCCCTAGAAGCCGTGTCCTCGGGCCCTACCCCACCTCTCTCTTCTTCCTAGGCTCCTGTTCCTATTACCTGCCCTATTTCGGAGGCTCGGGGCTTCTGAGGGTGGATGTGTTGGAGCGGGTTCTTGTTTTATGAAGGCGGTGCGTATTTGGCGGAGAGTGGGTTGAGGGTTCGTTTGGAGCTGTGCTTCCACTCCCACTGCTTGGATTCGGTGCCACTTCCGCATTTCCTCGCTCTTCACCGACCTCGGGTTTCGCACGCCAACGCCGCCTCCATTGATAGAGAAGCAAAGTTATAATGCATGCATATAGAGCCAGATGAAGAGCGGTGTAACTTTGCTCCTTTATTGGATGTCTATTCTTTAGCACTCGGAAACTTCTGATTCTCGTTCACCCTCTTCATATTCGAGATCTGAAACTCGTTTGTCAGTTTGTTGAGTCTTAGAGATGGGCGACTCACGCAGTGAACATACCTATGACTGTTTTATTTTACTGAGCATACTGTCTAGAGTATTGCCTGCGAACGTAAGGGCTCTGCGTACAGGGTCCAATTCTTGTGTGTTGGAGGCGTGGGAGAGGAGGTGATCGGTCCAGTTTATGGTGTAAAATGGTGCGGGGGAAGCGAGGATAGAGGATGTGATGGTTTGGGAGAGTTCAGGTGGGATGTTGAGGCCGGTTAGGGTGAAGGTGAAGTCTGTGATCTTCGTGTTGCGGGCTGTGAATGTTGTCGAGAACTGGAGGTGCGTTAGGAGGGGCGAGATGGGTGAGGGAGGGGAGGGGAGGGGGGTTTACGCTGTGGACGGGGTTGTGGGTTGTGTTGGTGCGGGTTATGTCGAATGTGAACTGAGGGGTTTGCCCGTATATCCATTCTTCTGACTGGAGTTCGCGTTAGTTGTATTCATAAGAGTGGAACAGAAGAGGTATACCTTCAACTCATCGGTTCCCTTCTTGATAACCGGATGCTTACCCTCCTGCTCTTCAACACAAAACGGCTTCGTATCTTCCCCATACATCTCTTGAAACTCGTCCACTACAGCCCCCATAAACTCATCCGTGCTCATAGATCCCACATTCCGTATCGGCGATGGTACGCTATCAACACCCCTGGCCGTAATATACGGCTTTGCCGCACTCCTCAGGGACCCCCCTATATCGTGCAGGTAACTAGAAATCAAACAAGTCCCATGATGCATACTCCTTAGCCGCGTAAGCTTATACGCACTCCCTGAAATCTTCCTCACCGGCCCTCCATCCTTCTCATCAGGGTCCATCACAATATCATGGCGTTCATTGACCCTTACTCGCTCCACGCCCAGGCTCTTCAATGCCCGCACTACCATTTCCGCGTGTATGTCCCTGTCGAACTTTGCCGTGGGGCATATAACGCTATAGTTCACATTTCCCTCATCATGAAAAACAGCTCCTCCTCCACTTCTCCTGCGTACTAAATCGGGCTGTGGATGTTCGCGTTCGAGGTAACGCAGGTTTACTTCTACCCATGGGTTCTGGTTCCGCCCTATGACGACGCACGGGCGGTCTATGTAGAGGAAGAGGATCGTGGAGTCGGCGTGGGTGTTTTGTAGGAGGTAGTGCTCGATTGAGAGGTTTATATAGGGGTTCCGGGATTTGGAGATGTAGATCTGGGTGTTGGTGCCGGTGGTAGGGGAGGTCGCGCGTTGAATGAAGGGGCTGTTGAGGATGCTAGTGTGGACAGATCTCTTGTAGGTATTACAAAAGGCATTATGACGAATACGAGTTCGTAGGAAGATAGTGAGGCTTGTGGATGGGGACATGGAGGTGTGAGAGAGCAATTGTGGTGTTGTTGAGGTTTTATAGAAGCTATAGATGAAGTGAAGCGGAATACTTATTATAACTGGTAAAGATATACGTACCGAGCCGAGAATTCGGGATGTTGATCCGATCCTACTAGTAATCCCGAAATCGGGAAACCCCACCCCACCCCCTCGAGTCATCATCAGGCTGAAGAAAAATAAAATATTAGAGTCATTCAACAACACCACGCCACACCACAACTTCACAACTTCACAACCTCTCTTGACCGCACAATATAGTCAAGATGTCGACATTCGGGCAGCATTTCAGAGTCACCACGTGCGCCATAACTCAATTGACCCATCACCCCCTCCATTGCTAACAAATCCCCCAGTTATGGCGAATCCCACTGCCGCTCCGTGGGTTGCATCGTCGATGGAGTGCCCCCTGGAATGGAGCTCACAGAAGCAGACATTCAGCCCCAAATGACCCGTCGACGCCCCGGCCAATCAGCCCTCACCACCCCTCGCAACGAAGCAGATAAGATCGAAATCCAATCCGGTACCGAGTTTGGCATCACCCTGGGCACTCCCATCGCCATGATTGTGCGGAACCAGGACCAACGACCGAAAGATTATGGTAATTCGACCATGGATCTTTACCCCAGACCTAGTCATGCGGATTGGACATACCTGGAGAAATATGGCGTGAAGGCTAGCAGTGGGGGAGGACGAAGCAGTGCAAGGGAGACGGTGGGACGGGTGGCCGCCAGTGCCATTGCGGAGAAGTATTTGACGCTTTCGCATGGTATTGAGATTGTGGCTTTCGTTTCGTCTGTCGGGGGTGTGCATATGTTCCCTCCTACATCTACACATCCTTCGCCGTCTACGAACCCAGCGTTCTTATCACTCATTGAGACAGTTACAAGGGACAAGGTGGACGAGTTTGTGCCTGTGCGGTGTCCAGACGAGGCAGCGTCGAAGCGAATGGCGGAGGAGATTGCGGCTTTCAGGGATAGACACGATAGTATTGGGGGCACGGTTACGTGTGTTATTAGGAATGTGCCGAGCGGATTGGGAGAGCCTGTCTTTGATCGTATGGAAGCTATGCTTGCTCACGCCATGTTGAGTATTCCCGCATCCAAAGGCTTTGAAGTTGGATCTGGATTCGGGGGCTGCGAAGTCCCTGGTTCAATACACAACGATCCTTTCATCGTTGCCCCTGCTGTGCCACCGTTGGAGACGGGGGCTACAAGGAATGGTATCCCGAGACCGAGACTTACGACCAAGACGAACAACTCTGGTGGGATTCAAGGAGGTATTACGAATGGTGCACCGATCTACTTCCGCGTTGCTTTCAAGCCTCCTGCGACGATTGGCCAAGCTCAGCAGACGTCTACCTACGATGGTGATGAGAACGGGACATTGGAGGCGAAAGGAAGACATGATCCTTGCGTTGTTCCCAGGGCAGTGCCAATTGTCGAAGCTATGGCAGCACTGGTGGTTATTGATTCTTTGATGAGTCAACAATCAAGACAAGTTAGCAGGAGTTTATTACCGCCGCTCAAACCCGCCGCCAAATCAATGGTTGGAGGAGCAGAAGCTATGGCAAAGGCTGTTGAAAATGGGGCTACTAAGCCTTAGTTAAATGGATATTAAGGCGTTTACATCTGTGCCCTGTTCTTTTAACAAAATATAGAGGGTTGGAGGTTACATGAGGGGTGAAATGGAGTTACTTGGCATGTACATCCTCAAAACATTGCAAACTCCGTGTGTTGTGCAGAAAAGGCCGAGATTCAAACGAGAGAAACTTGTTCCTCTGTCACTACTGATAGTTCAGTCTCGCCATCCAGGTTTGTAAAACCAGCACTGGAGTCGCGTTCTATCTTTCCAACTTGGAGTCTTTTTCCCCTTCCATCCAATCTCATGTACATCATATACCCCAGTACAACTTCGACCATCTCCCCGCTTCTGCCTTAGGGTTGAATTGGAGAGGCTCACCAAGCATGTAGTACCATTTCAGCTCTTGACGACTGTGTATCAATATGCGCAATCTTACTTCACATGTCAATAGTATATGTATACAAGTGTGTGTTTTGCGAACCCACTTCTGATGAGGAAGGGAAGCGGTAGATGGGGAATTGAGGTTTGGTGTATCATGGGCTGGGAGTAGGAGTTGAGAAATTTGCCCTCTGCTATGCAGCGTGTGTACCTACATCTCTGCTTGGTGCGTCCAAAAGTATGGAAAACTGACACGACACAGAAACAAATCATACCTTGAAGTCCTCGGCGCAGTGCAGTATCTTTTGAATACATACAAGTATATTATATTATAACCAAACATGACGAACCGAATGTCCTCAATCGGCCATGTTCGCACCTCTATCTAACTACGGGACGACTTGAAGCATCGATAATCCATCTGGCGATGCGGCAGGTCTTCCGATGTTAACAGAGCTATATCCCAATCGGCCACAGAAGAATGCACTACGCGTCGTAGGCTCTCTGCTGTTTTCAAGGAATGTACGGGCCGAATGCCCAACCCAACAGGCGATTAGCTCCTTAGCTGCCATGGTCTGAGATGGATGGGCCACTTATGGATGGGTTGCGGGATAGGGGGGAAATGAAGAGAAGGGAACGCTTGGAGGACTGCGAGTTTTATAAATCTGTTCTGGGAAGAAGACGGCGTTTCCGACTGCATCCCACAGGTAACATCAGCGCGGGATTGGGCATCAATGATATAGTTAGGTTGCTGCGGCCTCTTATTTGATACGGCATGCTAGTGTACTATAAGATTACAATATGCCAAAACAGCACGTCCGGCGAGCAGATATGGGATACGGTATCTGCTGCGTTCGGTATGAGATGCACCGAGGTAGTTGCTCGTCCCTTTCTTGCCATCTTATCACACAACACATCTATCTACAGTACCCACAATGCAAGACATTGCGGTGAGGTATAAGCACTGCAGGATGGAGGTGAGGTATCCATATCATGCCATATCATGGTGGGGTTGATGTTGTTGTTGATGTATAACGTTGGGACCCATAATCCTATCCTTTACGTGGCTGCGGGGTATAGGATTTCCTAGATGCTTCCACCACTTCCGTCCACTTGATTTGTGAGCATCGCATCACTGGCGTCTGTATGATACGGTCCTGTACTGCAACAGCGAAACATGTTTTACAAGGAAGCAGGAATCAATCTATGTGTGGAGCATGGAGATGAGTATTACATTATATTACATTATTACATTACCGTATAACGATTACTTCAACAATCGTGGGCAGAGGGTGGGGCTTCAGTCTTGAAGGAAGCCTACCTAGGTAGTAATAGGAGCAACTAGCTCTCTTGGGTAAGAATATGGACCCACTAGGACCCTACCGTGCCGAGCGTGTCCGACCGTCGTACGGTACGGTACGGTTAGCAGGAGGCTGAACCAATAGGAAACACAACTCGGATCCCGGCCGGCCCTTCCATCAACCAAGAGGCGTCACGTGCGACATAAGATGCTAGCTACAGCTACAGTAGCATTCCCCAAATAAATGGCTTCACTTCACCCTCATTGCCATCTCTGGCTGTTGCTGTTACTGTACGCCCGACAGTTCCAGTACCTTCGTACCCACAGATGTCTCCTACCCCCCAGATGCACCGAGCTGTGGCCAAGGCGGACAGCGACAACGACGAGTATGAGAGGCCCAAGGTACGCCTGAGCTGCCTTCAATGCCAGCGGCGGAAGAAGAAGTGCGATAAGGACAGTCCTTGCCAGGCCTGTGTATACGCAGGAATAGCTTGCACCGCTGTATCACGAGCCCGACTTCCACGTGGTCGTCATGCACCCCAGAAGGAGAGCGGAGATCTACGACGGCGGGTCGCACGACTCGAGGAATTACTGTCGTCCCAAAGAGACGATGCAGCAGGTGGCCAATCAGCCCCCGTTCAGCCTCAGAAAGCCGATCTGAGTTCCAGGCTATCTAACTCCAGGCTATCCGACTCGGCATGGACGTCGATCAGCGAGGAGGTATTTGGCATCCGGGAGCTTGTGGATTCCTTGGCTGACGCCGAGTCTCCCGAGTCCCAAAACGAGACTACAGAGACAGACCGGATCCAGCGATTTGATGTACTTTTATATAGCGATAGTCCATGTTTTGTACAGCCATATGTACTTGACCTACCACCCGTACCCGTCGTATCAGCCCTGGTGGACAACTATTTTTGTCGAATTGATCCTGTATTCAAAGTAACTCATGCACCCTCGATACGGGAATTATTTTTGCTGGATGAGGACAGTCTTACTCCTGCTCAACAGGCGCTGAAGTTCTCGGTTCTGTTCACATCAGTGTGCAGCCTGGACGAAGAGGAGTTTCTCCAGCGCTTCGATTGCAACCGAAATTCCATGCGTAGCCGACTTCAATTAGCTACAGAGGTCTACTTGTCCCAATCGAAATTGCTGGATACCACCAATTTGATGGTCTTGCAATCATTCGTTATATATTTGGTAAGTTTGACATGGGTTGAATGAACAGTGCTGATACCATGCAGGCCGGCCTTCGAACACTTGTTGGCTGTCGACAGATCTGCGTTTTGATGGCAACTGCTGTCCGTATTGGGCAGTGCCTTGGTCTGGATCTTGAGCAATCAAGCCATACGCCATTTGAAACGGAAATACGACGCCGTATTTGGTGTTCTATAGGCATACTTGACTTTCTATCCACGTTCGATAGCGGATCTCACTCGGCACTTGCTGGAGGTGCATTCTTCAGAGCCCTGCCACTGCACATTAATGATGCCGATATCTCGCCCGACAACCTCAAGCCGCCATCCGTGCGCTCCCAATTCAGCGAAATGAGTTTTTGTGCCGCGACACATAATATGTTACAATATTTGAAGAAGATGATCTATGTTCCGCTAGATCCTGAGGGACGTCCACTTCTACAGCAAAATTGGGCTCATCGATACGCCATCGCGGAAGAGTGTGTTTGCGTTCTCAACAAACAATACCTCAGGTACTTGAATAATGGCGATCCTTTCCATATGTTTATGGCAATAGTCTGTGAGACGACGATCACAACGATGCGTCTTCTAATACGCCGGCCGTTGTATCGCTTCTATAGTACCGCGCCGCCACCAAGCGACAATTTCAATGTACTTGAAGTTGCTATGCAGGTTCTACACCTGTCTTTGCAGAAATCCACGAATGACGTGTTTAAGCCGTGGAGCTGGTACTTCTGGGCCAAGTGGTATCCTTTGGCAATCCTGTTTTCAGAGCTTTGCGAACATACCGAGGGCGCCAATGTTGACAAAGCTTGGATTGTCGCAGAACTCAGCTACTTGGATCTCAAAGAGACGTGTCGTGAGGATAGCATTTTGATATCGATGGAGAAACTGAAGCGTAAAGCTCAATCGGCTAGGAGTTTCAAGACTGTAGTCGTGCAACAGCCACAGCTTGACGGCGGATTGGTCCATAATAGCAAAACCACCATCGGGCTTGAAAAGAATGTGGTGGCCGGTGTTGACAGAGGCTACCAACTTCCAGCCGCTGCATTTGACGAAATATTAGGCCACGAGGGGCAATTCTTAGGAGACCTAGAAATGCTGTCTTGGAATAACTGGGAATCTTTCATCCAGGACTTGGGTGATCCTATTGAATTGGACGCAGATTATGAGAGTTACTAATTCTAGTCTATGGTTAATGTGTAGGGCCAGGGCCAAAATGTCCAGTTCATGCAGGAGCGAGTGGATTTAGGGGACGCAGCTATTCCGTAGCTATTCCAACGTTGTCACGCCAGGCTGGATACCTTCCAGGATATCCACCAACTCTAGTCATAACCGTTCCTGGTCCTGATGCCCTTCATCACTTCTCGCCCAGCTAGATTCTTGCTTGACACGACATTCGGCCAGATATTTCCCATGACATTTCTCGTCAGCCACAGCTCCATGCACCAATGTTCGACCACCCTCTTCAGAAGTTCTACCCATCAAGCGGAGAGCAAACCGGCCGCTCACGCCACCGTCATTTGTTTTGAATAGCTCGGTCTTGCACCATCCTGGATGAACGAAGTTGAGAATGACAGAGGTCTGTCCCGGCTCCGAGCGATTTACTTCTTCTGCCAATTTTCGAAATCCCAGCAGCAGCACAAGCTTGCTCAAATTATATCGGTCGGCCATATTTGCGGTATTTTCATCATCCAAGGTCTTAAAAATCTGTCCTGTCTTGGGCTCACACAGAGCTTTGTGCTTGGCATAAATGTGGACCACAGAGCCGGTGAAGACAAGATGTGAAGGCTTCTTCTGAACCTTGGAGCTCTCGCGAAGCTTGGGAATCACCAACATGGCGATTAAAAGGGTCGAGATTACATTGACTATAAGAGTGGATTCGTGCCCTTCAACTTTCACAAATTCGGCCGTATCGATTCTAGCATTGGTAATGAAAGTGTCGAGCGTCGTAAGGCCGTTTATGCGATTCCCGAAAGCAAGCACTGAGCTATAGTCGGACATGTCGAGTTGCCAAACATCCACTTTGCCTGGCGAATCAAGTCGACTCGATGCCATGATTTTTTGCCGCGCAGTTTCCCCCTTTTCAAGGCTCCGACATGCGAGAATGAGGTGAGAGACATTCAATTTATATCTTGACGGCATACGGTTAGCAAATATCAATCAGAATCGAGGAGAAACTAACATGTGTTTCGCAGCCTCAAACCCAAGACCAGAATTCGCACCAGTGATGGCAATATTTTGACCTCTGAGATCTACCGCTGGTAGAGGCGGTGTTTCCAAAATCTGCCCCTTGAGATACTGCAGCAAATCAGATTGAACCATGGTGAAATCTGTCTGTCCGAGGATGATGGTGAGATTGTCTTGCAAAGTGAAGTGAAGTAAAGTGTGTATGTATGTTGTTGAACAGATGCAGATTAGTATTGCATAGCAACTGAAGATAGACTTATATATCACATCTTCACGTACTCTCTCTCTACCTTTGTCTAAAGACCGTCTGTCCGTCGTTCATTCATTCCAACAGTTCAGTTCCCTTCGTTCGCTCTAGCCCTTGCTTCTCAAAATCCTCAAAAGCCGCAAATGCCGATCGCAGACTGTATTGTACATATACATGCATGTACGTGATTCTAGATTTGGGGCCGGGGTGCTGGAGTATTCATATGGCGTACTGTACTGTACTGTATGACACGCATTAGCCTACCGGTCCTCACTCCGTACCGAGCTGGCAGATGTTTATCTCCCATATGCATTGCGTTAGTAAATGCGAGCGGGATGTGGCGTTCGTTCGGCTGTGTTTTTTGCATTTGCAGTTCTTCGCTATACATCTCTCTGTCGTCCCCTCCCTCTTTACTCTCAGGTATCTTACTCTTGCGTTAGGTGGTGTAGCTTCAGGGTCGGGAGATCTATCGCCCGTCCGTTTGTTGATGCTGAGTAAGTAGATTGGATTGTACTGGCTATCTATCTATAGCTAGCATACATGCATGCATGCATGCAATACAGTAGACAAACAAGACAGGACATGGTCTTCATCCGGAATGCTGGGTTTGCGTGTGATGTAACAAGGCCTGTACTACAACGACATACAGTGTCTACGTTCTCTTTCTTTTCTTTTCTATTCTATTCTATACAGCGTATCGTAGTCTTTAAAGAGGTATGGTATGGGACGCCGGTGCCGGTTTCGATTTCTACAAGACGGTATGGTACGGTATAACATTCATCCCTAGCACCTCGATGTCGGTACAAGGACTGTATTTTAAAGCCGACATCTAGTTTCAATATGCCGATTCGGCATGACTATACTCCGCGTCCCACATCACGCCCTTTGCACTGTTTACAGTTCATGGAGTCTAGTTCTAGAGTCCCTTTACAGCTCCTTGGGTCTAGAGACTAGAGACTTCCCAAGTGTAGTGCAGTGTAGTATACAGTATGCGGATGCCTGAAAAACACAGTCGAGTCCTCCGTCCGTCCGTCCTGCCTGCCCGTTCGTTCTATTGAATAGACGGATGGATGACTTGCCAGTTGTACGTACATACAGACGCAGGATCACAAATAATGGCCACGGAGTTCACCTAGACATGTTTCCTATTCCCGCTACGCTGCGCTGCGATGCGGATGTTGGGGCAGGTGTGGCAGTGAATGCACTTGCACATGCTGGTTGTGGTGTTCGTCTGGATGTGACAGTATCCGCGAAGTCCTGCTAGCTCGCTCTATGATTAGGGAGAATCAGAATTCCGAATTCTGCTCTCCTCTCGGTATTTCGGTCCCGAAAGTTCACGCTCTTTGCCCGAAGCAAAGCAAAGCAAAGCATGCGTATGTGCGCAGGCCGACTACGGTAGATGATTTCTATTCTACGAGGCAAGTAAGGCGGAGAGATTCATTGTCACGTTGTTGCGTAGCCATAGGTAGGTAGGTGATACGTGCATCATCCATCGGTATTGGCACTCGGAGAAGTAGTATATACCTAGGTACCTACTCTCTTCGTCTAGGACGTCGCGACAGCTGTGGGTGGCATTTGGTGGGGTTACTGGATATAGGCTGTGCTGGGCTTTTAGTCGCAGTGTACGTGGGCAGTGGAGCATTGGATATTTTTGCGTTTGTACTTGGAGTCGATGATTGGAAGTGAGAACATGTAGATGTTTGGACTAATACACCAACCTTACGGTTTAGGAGATTCTAGAATCTGGGTTAGACTGGAATGATCTGCCTTGAGCTGCACGAGTCAATATTCCTGATTCAAGGAGAATAATTGAAAGGGGCACAAACCAGAACCAGAGCCAGACTTTTGACTTCGCACCATCAGCAGTCTGGCAAATTTGCCTACAATTCATAACAGCATATATTCATCCTCACTTCCAGGCTCTAATAATAACATCTCATTGCCATGTTCCCAATAATAATCCACAGCCGAATTCCCAAAAAGCATCTCATCAGTCTCTTGCTCTACCTCTAGCCTCTCCCTCTCCGAAGCATCCAAATATCCCAGCAAATCATCCTCTTCATCAATACCTCCCCCTAAAAGATCCTCAAACTCGTCTTCATCTCTTAATTCATCCTTCATGAAATCTTCCAGATCTTCCATTATTCTTTCTCTCCCAAGAGGTACAGGTTTGTCGCCCAATTCGTCTAAAAGATTGTATTCCTCTTCGATCATCTCCGATTCGGCTGTCGTTTTGTCTGAAGAGCGTGGGTTAAAGAGTATCCTCGCAGCTGTCGGGTCGTATAATTTCTTCTGCATCATGGACCATAGCCTCGCCTGTACCACCGACGCAAGACGTTCTGTAGTAGCTTCCTCCATCGCATCCTCATCGTTGTGCTCCAGAGATGATGGCGGGGAGTTTGCCAGTTGACTAAGCTTTTGCATAAAGATTGGCGATTGCACGTTTCGGGGCCAGGAATGGGAAATTGCTTGAGAAATCGTAGGTAGATATTGAGCATTATGTGACATTGGCTGCACTCGGGTTAGTACAATGGAACTGGGAAAGGGCATCAAGTCTGCGTACCTCCTTGAAAGCGGGACTGAAAATTCCAGGAGCTATATCGGAGAGTGATGTCTGAAGCAGCGGTTTGTCAACTCGTACCCCAAGTAAGCCTCGAGTCCTACGAGGCTCGTATCCTCCAATCAGTATTCGAAGTGCAACTTCTGTGAGCTTGCAAGCTGGAGAAATGTTCAGACCAGACAAAGGTCCTGCTTGCATGGATATTGTAGCATCAGATGGCAGAGAACGTTTGAGCGAGTAGATAGAAGATGACGCTGAGCCCGTGGAGATGATATTTGGTGGTGATACGAGCGAGCTTGTGTTTTCTGTCGTCCGGGATAATAGTATTTTGCTGTCGGAAGGTTCCGAAGCTGTCGGGAGAGCGAGGTTTCTATCGGAGAGTAGTAACATGTCTTCTTCATCAGGTTGTGCATCCAGTAACGTATCATCGCTATAACTCCCATCCCTTCTCCACACCGGAGGAGATATCTTTGCCTCGGGAAACAAACTTATCGCTGTATGGCCAAGAGACTTACCGTCGCCCTGTGTTTCGTTTGTTAGTATCAAAGCAGCCCCAAACTTCTTCAGGACTTTTGACGGCTGGACAAAACGTCTTTGGTTCACGTTCATAATCTCCATGGAATCAAAGCAACTAGCAATTGATTTTGACAGACCCCGGGAGAGACCATCAACGACCTGTTCCAGGCCCTTCAAGTATTTATCATCAATAACTAAAGATGATTTTTCCAATAATGTGGTATCCTCCGTACCGTCCAGATTGGTCTTGGTCTTCCTTCTTTTGGTCCTAGGTGGAAGTTCCTCGCCTTTATGGAACTTGTCATTACTACCTGCTGATGATATATCAAATAGTCTAGTATCTGCCGCGTCATGCGCCTTGACTTCGATCTTGGTTCTTTTGGCCCTTGGTCGACGTTCCCTAGGAGTTGTGTGGAAGTCGAAGGAAATATGCAATCTCCTAAATTCTGCGGATAGAACGCTCCCAGGTGCTTTTAGGTGGATGTTACTAGAAAGCCAAGCTCGAGGATTTGTGGCTGAATTAGAAGGTTTCTCGTGACCAAGAAGAATGGAGAGATCCGCTTTGGAAGGAAGCACGCCTGGTTGAGGGATTTCGAGTGACGGTAATAACGAAAGCTGAGACCATAGCTTTATGGAGTCAGCAGCAGAAAGATAGAGACGAGTCAGGGCCATACATGCGCTTCTCGAAGTCGATACCCCAAGCTTTCCAGCACGTGCACACGCTGATCCTCCTCCATTATCTTGCCATCGACATGAACATGAATGTCTAATCTACAGGAGGTCCCACGATATGTCCACAAATTACCCGATGTCAAGGCTCTGACTGTATCCTCCTGGTGGAGCCGGGAAAGGCTATTTGGGATTTTGAAGTCGGCAGAAGATGTGATCGAGAGCCTCAATTTGTCTGAGACACTAGTCAGATGTATTTGCTCGAGCTCCAGCACTTTCGACGACATATCCAGAGCAGATCATGCCTAGAGCAACAGTTTGGCGGCTTTTGATGCCATTCGACTCCGGGTCCGCGGGGCAAAACGGGTGAAGAATAACAAATGAAGGGAGAGAGGATTAGTGACAGAGGAGAAATTTGAGCATGGAGATGTTAGTGACGATGATTAGTTTGTACATAGCATAGCATCAAGGAGTCGTCAGAGACCTGGATGATGGTGGTTGAAGGAAGGAGTCTTGGTGGTCTGGATTTTGGATTTTGAAGTTCCACGAGATTATTCTGCCCCTTCTCACCGCCAGATTTCCATCCTTGGAGGCGATTTATTGGTTGATACCACAACCTCTGTATCAAAAATTGGAGCAACATATCAACATTTCCACCAAAGAGTTAAGTTAAGTCGTCAGTCTTGTCTTGCCCTTGCCGCCCACTCTGCCGGCCTCTGCACATTATCCAGTAATCATTATTCCTAAAGGAGGAAAGCTAACGCTACCTTTCACTCAACTCTCCACCCACCACGAACACAAATACCTCTCCTCCCACCACTATGGCTCTGAGCAACGTGGGATCTCTCGTGCTTAACATCCTGATCTTTATCACGACCCTGGTGAACTTCAGCTACGCCCTAACCCATCTCGATACCCTCGCCCTCCTCACCATCTATGTCATCACCAAGATCTTCATGACTGCGCCGGAGCAGGCCATCTTCGCGAAATGTCAATACAAACATCTGTACCAAGACGGCTGAGGACCACCCTTCCCGAGAACGGCTACGAATCTCCTCAATATTCCGATACTCCACGCATAATTCATGGCAATGGCATTGGCAATGTCACACCTAGGCATGGAGAGAGGCAAAAGCCAGGAACCGGTGGTAACGGCCAGCCATCAACTGGACTGGATCCCGAACAATCAGAAGCATATCTACAAAACAGATTAGGGGGTCATCAGGAAGCCAGTGGCGAGAAAGGGCATAAGAGAAAGGTTGGGATTCGAGGTCGCATTAGCTGTTACACCTGGACGTGGTTCACAATGACAATGGCAACCGGTGGGATAGCAAATGTTCTGCATGCCAGTGAGGAAGGATGTCGATTTTGATTTTGATTTCTGTCTGATATGTACCAGTACCCTACCGATCCGATTGGCTCCGAATTGTTGGCACTATTGTTTTCCTCTTCAATCTGGGAATTTTCCTCATGAATTGCTTGTTCATTAGCTTGCGGTTTCACTGGAATCCTGGCTCTTTCAAAGCTTCTTTCAGGAGTCAATCCGAAGCACTATTTATCCCTGCTTGTGTAAGTGCTCTGCCAATTGCCGGCCTGAAGTACGCTCTAATAATACTTCTAGGTCGTCTCGTAAGAACATGATTCTTTGATCCTTGAAGCGGATGGATTGATGCTGATAGAAAGTAGGTCCGGTACAATACTGATCAATATGTGTCAATATGGGATACCCGAAACAGGCGAATGGTTTCAAACAGTAATGCAAGTCTGTTACTGGGTCTATGCCTCTCTAAGTGTCATAGCAAGTTCGGGAATATACCTTATCATCTGGTCAACGCAGTAAGCATAGCTGTACATATCCCAAGGCTGTAAACTAAAACTGATGTCTTCTCAAGAACATTCCCCATTCACACCATGACACCAATCTGGGTCTTCCCCGCCTACCCGCTTCTTCTTATCGCACCATTTGCCTCAAATCTAATCGACGCCCTACCTGGCGCCGCTGCCGCATATCGCATAAATTCAGTTGCTATAGCCTTCGGAGCAGTCTGTATCCAAGGCACCGGGTTTCTAGTCAGCTTGATGATATACAGCGCTTTCATTTACCGTCTCATGACGCAAAAGCTGCCGCGCGAGACTGCGCGCCCAGGAATGGTAGCTTCCCTTTACCAACCCCTAGATCACATATGCACCTAGCTAAAACAAACAGTTTGTTTCTGTCGGACCATCTGGCTTCACCGTAGCAGGCCTCGTCCACCTCGGCAGCACCGTGATCCCCAAGATAATGCCCGACGGCTATATGGGCAGCACTGACGCACCATTCATCCTAAAACTTCTCTCTGATCTCGTCGGGCTCTGGCTCTGGGGACTTTGTATCTGGTTTTTCATTGTGAGTGTAGGGGCGCATTGGCAGGTTATGAAGCCGAATGATCCGGATCATCATATTGTTTTCGATATGACTTGGTTTGTCCCTCCCCACTCCGCTCGTTGTTGTCTGTTTGAGATGAAACTCAGAGGCTAATAGTTGGTAAATAGGTTCTCATTCGTCTTCCCCAACACGGCCCTCGTAACGGCGACCCTTGCAATTGGCAGATCGCTCGAATCACATGCTATACAAGTCTTCGGCACCGTGCTAGCCTGCATACTCATCGTTGTATGGATTTTTGTCTGGGCGATGATGATTAGGGCTTTGTGGCTTAAAAAGCTGCTTTGGCCAGGCGAGATTGATGGAGCGGAGGTTAGTTTGAAGACGTGGGCGGGGACTGGAATTGCAAATGGACATCCTTTGGTGGGAGGTCTTTTCCGACATAGAGTTGAGGTTTAGATGTAGAGTTTCGTACTGGATACCCTAGGAAGATGCTAATCTCTGAGAATAACTTATTTTAGATAGATCTGAGACAAGATAATTATAGACTCCAAACCCCTTCCTCTGGTACCTCTTTTGCATGTAGCCGCTCGATTATTCCTAGCTAGTGCTTTCTGTCTCGTTACAAAAGTGCTTGGAAACCAAATACTACCCAAATTGTAGTGCAAGAGCTGATCATACTCATCTCGTATTACTTGTGGGGTCTATAATGTTGTTCATGGTATATTTAGAAGTGAAGTGAGGAAGACGCGAGGAAGTAAATAAACGCGTATGGTATCTTACCCCCTGCTGCATCTCGGATGACTTGCTTCTGCTGTCGTGGCACCTGAGGAAAAAGAAACAAATATGACAGAAATAATAACTCATAAGAATATCGACAACTCTTTTGGAGAAATTGCATCGTCACGGGAAAATCTTCACTGTTCGCTGCAGAATAGTAGTTGTGTTTAGTTTATATTGCAGCAAGAACTCCGAGTGAGAACATCTATCTCCGAAGACTTAGATACCGAACGTATCTGCAATACAGAAGAGGGATATAGTAGGTCTTGGCGTTTTCTCCCGTGTCTCCTGTCACCTACTCGCGCCCAACATCATCATCTCTCGCCATGGCCAAACCAGAAAAGGCTCGCTCCTTCGTATGTTCCGCATTCGTCCCTCTTTCCTTTGTGTTTGCTGTCGAGTTTGGGCGAGGAGGAAGGTCGAGAAACGTATTGCACATCTTAAGCTAGTTATATTCTCTCTTCCGCTTCTAAGGGTCAGACGGATTGGGTTTTCGCTTCTGGATGACATTGCTCCCAGACTTATGCCTTGTTCTCTTGCAGCCTCCATCCGGGTGCGAGTATCGGTTGCAGCAAGTCCAATGCAAACCGCGCAAACCGCCCATAACAAATTTTCCTGTATTTCTGTCAGCTTATGGGAAACATTAGATGAAAGGGACAAACCTGGATGCCACCTACAAGCCCTAGCCTTGTTCTTGGCCAGGTCGAACTCTTTTTCGCAATTCCAACATTTTCCAAGTCGAAGCGTTACTTCGTCATCATCAAGAATAATGTGGCTCGTTGACAATTCATCCTCCTGATCTGACTCGGTTTCTTCGAAATCAGAATCGCAATCCGACTGCTCATCCTCAATCCAGTATCTGTCAATATCCTTCCCTTTGACGAAGAACAAGTGTTCGAGTTCAATGCGTAAATCTGGCTTGATTTCGCAGTGCTTGAATACGCGTTGAAAGTCCTCCGCTTTCATCCCCTTGATTATCTCCCATATCGTATCAGACTGTTGTCCAGGGCTGGAAGCTGCAACTGCTCCGAGCGTGGGTGTAGATTGTGACATCGCTGTGTTCTTGCTCCGTCTCCCACGTGTGAGGTTCGTGGCGGCCGTGCCTATGGATGATGTTGGAGCAGTAGTAGTGTTCTTGTTGAGTGTGCTCCCCTGGAAGGAGATTGAGAGGTTGCTTGTGGAAGTGAATCCACAAACTGAGGTCTCTAGGAAGAACTCCAAAATCCACATTGTAGCAATATCCAGCCCCCACCGCCCTGTTACTGTTGCTGAGCATCCAAGTGACTTGGCCTTCCTACATAGGTATAGTGCTTCCGAGTCCTCTCAGAGAAGTAGAGAGCGACGAATCTTTCAACGCTGGGGTGCTCTGTAGTATTTAGACTGCAACATTACACTTAACCCTACCTCTTTTTCTAGAACTATAGTTTTTTCGGAAATGCTGCAAGATGCCTGTTAATATACATGGATCCTAATATAGCAGGCTATGAGAAATAAATCGTAAACTTATTGCCTTCTTTTACTACCTTATGATACTTAACATCCTCCCCCTTCCTCTTTCCGTTCTGCTGAACTTTTACCCCTTCCTTACCACCCACAATTACCTCTTCCACGACGTGATTTTCCGAGGTTGGAGGAGGGGAGTGGTGTCTTTGTCGGTGTTTTTCCATGTGTCGTCTCCTGCATTGATCTCTTTATCTCATATATCTACAGTAGTAGTTCACTAATATAATAGAGGGAAAGAATTACAGGTATGCCATTCACAGGACATTTTGTATTTTGGTACTGTAGTCATCAGGATCGCCTGATGCATATCTTTTTGGCTTTGAACTCGGCATCGGCATGATACCTAACCACACAACCGCCAGTTACCAGCCAGTACAAATTAGGGTCTCGAATTAAATCGTCATTTGTGTCAATCTTGGCGAGAGCTGGATCATCTGCTGGTATGACTATATTCCGCAAAAATTGGCGGACTGCTGGGAACTCTGACTCTGGAATGAATGGCATGCCCGGGAGGAGTCTTCGGCTCTAGATTGACTGATTTCAGGCTTCATTAAGAATATGGAGATACTTGAACATGCCTAGAAGCAAGATCGAGTCGAAGGAGGTGGGATGAGAAGAGTTTGAATATAATCACCCCGCGTGTCTTACCATCCTTTCCTGAAGGTATGTAATGGTACACGTACTATACCGGTAGAATCCCGTGCTGGAGACCACCAAACCTCTTCCCAGAGAAAATATAACTACACTACAGAACTGAATATTCAACTCTACCTTATGCATACCTCGACTTCTTCATTGGTTGCCCCGCTGTCTTATGCTTCGTCTGCTTGCAGCCTTCTTGGCCCCCAAGCTTGTCGCAGCAAGTCCACTTATACCCATCCTCGTAGTCAGAGTCGCTCATCAATTCCCAAGGATCGCCATGGCAATCAGGATCGTGGTCGGCCCAAAAGTCATCATCATCGTAGATTTCTCTTTTGCCTGTCATTCCTGTCAGTGAGCGCAAACAATGGTACAAAAGAGAGCCATACCTGCATGCCAAATACAGTCGCCCCTTTCGTTCTCCGTAACATCGAATTCCTCTTTGCAATTCTCGCATTTGGCAAATCGAGGAAAAAGTTCATCGTCCATGATTGCCTCTGCCTTTCGCTTCAAGCTCGTTGCTACTGGGGGAATGTGTCCAGCTGGAGCTTTTTGCTGCGAATCTAACACAGCGCTCTCGTTCTCGCTGTCACTCTCACTTTCCTCCTCGCTCTCCGAATTACCATGATCCTCGCTATCCGTATTCGCATGATACGGCACAACGTCCCTCTTCGGCACCAAGAATTCCCGTTCAACCAGCGCCTTGGAGGCAGGATGTTGACGACATACCGTTAACAGAAGCTCAAGCACGCGTTCTGCGCTCGCTTTGTTCAGTGCTTCGATTAATGGGGCGGAAAGATGAGATGTGGGTGAGGGGAGAAGAGCTGCAATAGGTGGGAGTTGGACATTGTTTGGGATGGCATTAAGGGGTAGACGCATGCTTGAGGAATTCAAGACATTGGGCTTGGAATTGTTAGAGGGAGTGTTCTCGTCGGAACTGTCGTCAAATGTGAGGTCAATAACTCTGCCCGCCATGTTGAGGAATTGTGATTAAAGATGGGATATGTTTGGATAGCTCAGGGGAAGACGCGACTTGGACGCGTTCTTGTAATCGAACTTGCTATCTCAGATCATGTGACAAAGTATCAAGTAATTTGGACGCAAGGAAATGTAAAGTAATTCAGACAGTTTCATGGAATCATTATCTCTTATATCATTATAGAAAAAATATATTCTTTAGGCATATATCTTTATAGCTTAAAACCTTCAATATAACATAACCTAGGGTAGGATCTGGCTCAGCAGCTCGAAGTCAGAGCTATATTCTTGAAGCCCACATGAACCATCAGCTTGGAAAGGAAAAATAGGTATTATGGCATAAATACAAAGGTTCAAGTATACGAGCTTACCATATTGAAGCAATGGAGATCCGATGCCCTAGTGACTCGACCAACTTCGTTACCATCGACTTGATGCAACTCTACATTTTGGAGATTGGACAACTTGCAGCCATATTTAAAGGGCTTGCATCTGAAAGGAAGAACATGGAGAGGAGCAAATGTGAAAGAAGAAGATTTCGCTATGATGTGTGTGTAAAGAAGTCCAAGTGAAAAAAAGAGACGAGACGAGAAAGAAAGACTTAGTCCTTATCTTATCGCCGATCTTCTACAGTGGGGTGCAAAAGGTTTGAACCCATGTCTTTGTAGCTAACTGAGAAAGGTAGTCGCTTGACTTCTCTAGGATTAGTCTCAAAGACATGGGTTCAGACTTTTGCACCGCACTGTACTATGCCAAACCAAAACGGCAATTCTAGACAATACTTAACCTTCTTAAAAGCGGGTAGCATGAAAGCAATGTTTCGCTGGAGACTATACGTCTCCACCTGAGACTCTTTTACTAGAAACAATTCGCGCCTTGATATCCCCGTACCGCAATTAGCTTGTAGTATGCCCTAGAAAGATCTAAGAATAGCGCCAATTCCATCATTTGGCGGCAATCAAACGTCGTTCTCTTCAGTTTTCTCCGCCTTCAGTCAGCCTACAAGCACTATGGAAGAGCATTCAAGGATGGGTAAGTAAATACTCAGATATCAATGACATTTCTGCTTACGCTTGCCAGATGAGAACTCGAGAACTATAAAGATCAGCTGGACTGCGCTGTTCAGCTTGGTCCTGCTGTGCTCGACAGGCACCATCGCTTCCATAGATTCTTCTGGGGTTGGCGGCTTAGGAGCTGTTTCGAGCGAAAGCAAAGTATGCAGCGAGATCGGGGTAGAGCTGCTGAAGAGAGGAGTGGGTGTAAATCAAGAGATGAGCTGAAAAGGGGCTGATCACATGACTAGGGCAATGCTGCTGATGCTATGGTTGGAACGACACTCTGTGTGGGGGTGATAGGTGAGATCAATTTCATGTGGTATCAAAGCTTTGCTGATTGTTGAAGGTATGCAACATAGTGGTATCGGTGGAGGTGGTTTCATGTTAGTGAGAGGCTCGGATGGGAAATATGAATCAATAGGTGGGTCAACCAACGTCAAATAAAGAATAATATACTGACTCCAGAGCAGACTTCCGAGAAACCGCTCCCGCGGCGGCTTTTGAGGATATGTACAAAGATAACATCATGGGCAGCGTTCGTGGCGGGTTAGCAAGCGGTGTACCTGGAGATGTTCGAGGGTTGGAATACCTTCATAGTAAGTACGGAGTAAGTTTCGATTTCCATTCACAAGATTCAAAACCCCATACTGATCAGTATTATAGAAACTCCCGTGGCGAGCAGTCTGTAATCCAGCTGTCCATGTTGCAAGGTACGGCTTTCCTGTCACCAACGATCTGGTCCGGTACATGGACGCCGCAACTTCGAATGGGAATACATTTTTGACGGATGACCCGCAATGGGCTGTTGATTTTGCCCCTAATGGTATGGATATCACCTAGTATGGAACTTTCTGGAGCTGACTATATTTCCAGGAACACGCGTTGGGCTTGGCGATATTTTGACTCGGAAGCGATACGCAAAGTAACCACCTCCCTCTCCCCATTCTAGTTATGTCTAATATCTGTCAGTACTCTTGAGGCAATAGCAAAGCATGGCTCAAAAGCCTTCTACGAGGGGAAGATTGCGAATTACACCGTCGCGGCCCTCCAAGCCCAAAACGGCACTATGACACTTGAAGATCTAGAAGACTACAAAGTCACGATCCGCAAACCCATATCCATCACCTACCGCGGCCACAAAGTCTACTCCTGTGGTGCTCCATCTGGGGGTTCCGTCGCCCTAAGCAGTTAGCACCCTCTCACCCCCCTTCATCCCTCCATTCCACTCTCGCTGACCCCTCTCACCCAGTCCTAAAAATCATCGAAGGCTACAACATGTCCGATGCCTCCATCTCCAACCTAAACGTCCATCGCCTCGACGAAGCAATGCGCTTCTCCTACGCCGCACGCTCCTCCCTTGGCGACCCTGATTTCTTCCCTTACATGCACGGCCTGGAGTCCAGTATGCTCCTCCCCTCAACCGCGTCCAGCATCCGCGCCCGCATCTCCGACAACACCACACACAACATCTCCTACTACGCCTCCCCCTCGCACCCTCTATACTCCCTGCCCTCGAACCACGGCACCAGCCATATTGTGACCAGCGACAAAAGCGGCCTGAGCGTGAGTTTGACAAGTACGGTCAACCTGCTGTTTGGGAGCCAGTTGGTGGTGCCCGAGACAGGGGTCGTGATGAACAACGAGATGAACGATTTTTCGATCCCCGGAATCCCGAATGCATTCGGCTTTGTGCCGAGTCCGATAAACTACATCCGGCCGTTCAAACGGCCGCTCTCGTCCATATCCCCGCTCATCGTCGAGCATGCGAATGGCACGCTTCTGCTGAGTATTGGCGCCGCGGGCGGGTCGCGCATCCCGACTGCGACGGTGCAGGGCGTGTGGCATGTGCTGGATCATGGCATGGGGCTGGGGGCTGCGCTGGGGGAGAGCAGGCTGCATGATCAGCTTGTGCCGGCTGCGACGGCGTTTGAAGAGGGGTTTGAGGGCGAGGTGGTGGAGAGTATGAGGGCGAGGGGACATAATGTTAGCTGGGTTGGGCATGCGGAGAGTGCGGTGCAGGGGGGTGTTGAGGGGGTGGGATGGCGCGTTTGAGGCGGGGAGTGAGCCGAGGCAGAGGGATAGTGGTGGGGTTAGTTGTTGATATAGGGGCGAGGGGATATATTTATGATAATAGACTCCGTAGCATAGCTATTATTGAAGAGCTGGGTATGACAAACAGTGGAGAGATGGTTTGACGATAGATTGAATATAATACCAGTTGAATCAAAAACTACTGGTAAGAAAACGGACCAGTGAATTAGAAGTTGAAAAATTATCTCACGAGTTTTCAGGGGGACAGTATTTGTGTCTTCTGGTGCCAATTTATCCACCAACGGCACCAGCCTCGAGGATAGAGCTCAGCAAGACTTGAGGAATTAGAGATGAGAACTTAAAGGGAATCTGGGGCACGTAAGCTTTGGAGATACGATATAATAAAATGAGGCTGGTATCAATATATAACGCATGCAGTCTATCTATATATACATCAGAGGGTATTCAAGGATCTCTCAACCGTTTCAGAACAACCAGCTTCTCCATCTGCACAATCCAACCCCTCGCAAACTCCTCTTCTGTAAACCTCTTCGCGGACCTTCGAGCTCTAAGACGCATCGCTAGCTTATTTGGTAGAGAGAGCGCTTGCTCGAAACCCTCTGCAAATTCTGTGGATGTTGTTGCGTGGAATCCTGTTTCGGGAATTAGTACAAGATTCGAATAGGAAAGGGAGGCGGGAGGAGCTTACCAGTAGGCTCGCCATCAATAGTAGTAACAATGTCCCTCTTGGGACCACCACTATTATGCACGACTGAAATCAACCCCGCGGCCTGATACTCCACAACACCGATCCCGAAATGTTCATTCCACATCCCGTTCACGCCCACACTCGCTCTCCGTAACTCATCCAGGATCTCAGGCCATGATGCATCAAGCTTAAATTCTACTGATTCTTTGACTTGCAACTCATTGGCTAACAATCGTAGCTCGTAGACTCGTTTTGAGTCCCCGTCATCTCGTACACTTCCAACTAGTACGAGCTTTGCCCCTTTGGTAGCAGGGGTTTTGGTTGCCATGAATTCGGCGAATGCGGAAAGTATGAGCTTGTGGTTCTTTTCGGGACGGAATTGTGCAATATACAGGAGCACATTCTCGCGTTTCATCTCACTGGCTTCAGACACCTCGACTTCCTTCTCAAGTTCTTCGACGGCAACTGGAGGGAATACCGCGGTAGCTGCAGGTTTCTTTAACTCTAGACGCCATTCGCCCCAGAGCGCATTGATGTGCTCCTGGGTCCAGGTTGAGTTCGTCATTACGACATCGATGGAGGCCCCTACAGCGGAGTATAGCTTGGCGAATAATTGCCAGTAGATCTTCTTGGCTGCTCCCCCCGCGCCACCCCCCTTTCCGGCGTTTACTCCTTGGGATCCGGTTGCTGAGTTGGCGTCTAGTGATTTCAACATATCTGTTGAGATTGTTGGGTAATGGACGTAAGCTCCAGTTGGTACGTCTCTGAAAAGTATCTTGCTAAATGCAAGCGCAAACGCATATCCCACTGTATCCACGAATATATCCGGGGGGAGGAGAGAGAAAGCATCCCATGCCAACACTAGGGAGCCAATAGACTGTCCTAGGAGCGTGAAATGGGGCCATGAGGAGGCGAGGACCCAAGAGCGGGTGGTCAGGTAGAGGAAGGTGACGGTAGGAGCATGGAGGTGGATGTTGAACGTTTTCTGTGGTAAAGCTGTCAACGGTTATTCTACCGTACAGAGATATTTCCTACCTTGACTCGAGCAAGAATGGCAGCCTTATCTACATCGTGATCGCCAGTATAGACAACACATTTGGCGTTTGGCCATCGTTTTTGTGTTGCTCTGATTGCTGCCCAAAGGACTCGCTCTCCCCCACCACCGGCGTTACTGAATACTATTAGCTATTGCTTTATGCTCTTTGCAGATGCAAATACACACCAGAAAGGATGAAAGAATCCAACGATGCCAGCCCACTCTCTGTCCGCCGTCTCCCCATTGTTTGCGGTGCCCGTCGCATATGCTTCCACATTCTCCCAGTCGTCGCTGTCTCTCTTGTTTTCCCCTGCCGCCGCGTATGCTTTCTCTTCAGTCTCGACCAGTTCCAGTATCTGCGCTTTCCGGCCAGCGGTCTTCTTCCTCAAGTAATAGCCAAGTGTCCCGCCGATATAGAATACGAGCTTCGGTCCCAGCAGGATGATTGTTATGGGAAGAAAGCCTAAAATCGAGACGAGCACGATGGTCATGTTCTGGGTCAAGCCAAATGTCCAGACATCGCTTCCGTCGGGCGTTTTGCAGGTTTCCGCCATGATATCGTGAGTTACCTGCTTATTTCTTGGATCTGGTCAAAGTTCGAAGATTTGGCCTCACCCTCACTTCACTTTCTAGGGCCAGGGCCAGGGTCAGGGTTCTTAGCTTGGTTGACGCGACGGGACAGATGGGCACCGGCGTTTTTGAGCGGCTGACCCCGACATGGCCTGTTGCTGTACTGCACTATACTGTAAAAGCGTCAACCTTTTTTGCACTTCTACTCGAGTAGTCTTCTACAAGACAGACAATCCACCAATTGAGGTCACCGCGGGGCATGGATTGATTCGTTGTGCAGGCGATTGATATTCAATTGATCGTGGTTATCTCTCTCTATTACCTCCACCATGTTGCTTCTTCTCCGTTCCAGAGCAGCCTTTGTTCGTCCCTCGAGCTCTCGCGCCAAAGTATCAGCCGCCTTCCTCCAGCTCCCTCCAAACTATCGCGCATTCCACGCCTCCCCCCGACCTCAATTCCTCGAGACTATTGCCACGCCTGCCCATCTTCTCTTCCAAGGCTTGCACAGCTTCACCGGCCTACCATGGGTCTACACAATTCCTCTCACAGCTATGACGATCCGACTCTTGATATCCCTTCCACTTTCAATCTCACAGCGTCGCCTTCAAGAGAAACGGCGGCAATTGCGACCTTTGGTCCAGGCATGGCATCATCAATCGCAAAACGAGAGTATGAAGGAGGTAGGGCATTTGGGACCTGAAAAGACACACGCGGCGTTTTCGAAGAAGGCTCGCCGCAAGAAAATCGAGATCTTGCGAAGACATGGCTGCGGACAATTATCGCTTTTTCGTGCGCCTTTGATCCAGCTACCAGTATTCATGATGTCAATTGAGGCATTAAGAATCATGGCCGGGACAAAATCGGGCCTGCTGGGCTTAATTGCTCGGACGATTATGGGTCAAGAAGCAATGGGGCTCGAGGAGCGGAAGGGGAGTTTATGGTTTGAGCCAAGTCTCACCACTGAAGGTGCTCTATGGTTCAAGGATTTGACAGTTGAGGATCCAAAAATGATGCTCCCATTCATTCTTTCGGGCTCAATGATTATCAACGTGCTAGAAGGTAAGAAGAAGATGAAGGGCGCCACCGCCCCGACCGTTTGGCAAAAACGATTCACCAGGATAACGCTCGCCATGGCTATTGCTGCTGGCCCTCTTGTGCTTCATGTGCCCAGCGGGGTGCTGGTGTACTGGATATCCTCGATGTTAATGGCTTTTGGCCAGGCTATTCTACTAAACCGTTTCATGCCGAACAAGAAGCAGCTTACCACTTGCCAACCGCGACGACCAGTACGTGGTAGTAGTCTTGCCATGAAGGATGTTTTTATTTGAGAAGTAGAGAATTGTGTTGTAGCTTTGTTAGATATATGGTTGATAGACAGCCCGGCATAGACATCAACGTCCACTAAAAGAGTGGTTTCCACAGATCCCCAATACCGTGTGAAAGACAGAGCAGAATGTGGTAGTTACGATGCAACCTTTGTAGCCCAGACCGATGATCGGCGATCCTACAGCACCAGATCCTACAAGCTATCTCATGTACAAGCAGAGCTCCAGACTTGCAAAGGGGGAGGGGTGGGGTAATTGCTGCTCTAAGCGAGTTCTCACATTCGCCCCTTAATACCTGCATGATCTTTGCAACGCCTCTTGGCACATGGAAGAACTCTCATACCTCAAGGCTTGCAAGCATTTACTGCAAGTCTTAATTCTTAGTACTCTTGAATGCTCAATTTTGGAGCATTCTATACCCAAGTGATATCTGTAAACCCTGTCCTGTACATTCTTACAAATACAAATACAGATACAAGCCCCGATGACAAATTCTAAGGAAATTGGTCCTTCTCAATCTCTTAGACACATTCCAGCCCCTCATCACGAAAATCAACAGGAGCACGTGAGATTTCCCAAGGTTTGTAAGGCAGCATGGCTTAAAGTGGTTTCGCGGTGTTGTGACACGCTAAGTAGCTTACGGAACGCGCTTTCTTTGGCGAAGTCGCGTTCCGCCAACAAGTACTTGAGAAAAACACTCCCTCTTCAAACTCCTCCCACTCCCACACCAACAACATCAACAACAACACCTTCAACCGCCCCATCCTCGAGACTATTGTGTTTCTCGAGTTACACATATATTCTTTGTAATCTACACATCGATACTCATCGACCCCTCCATCGTCAACAGCTACTCCCCATCACAACGCCATCATGTTCGTGTGGAAACGCGGTATGTATATTCTATCCAGCATATCAGAGCCCCTACTAACAAGACCATAGATGGACGCAAGGAGCGTGTCCAGTTCGACAAGATCACAGCTCGTGTCTCCCGACTGTGTTATGGCCTCGACGCCGAACACGTCGATGCCGCGGCGATCACTCAGAAGGTTATCTCAGGTGTCTACCAGGGAGTCACCACTATAGAGCTTGATAATCTGGTATGCGGATCTTTTTCCAACGCGTCTCTTTCCACAACCTTTGCTGATTCCATCCAAAGGCCGCAGAGACTGCTGCATACATGACAGTCACCCACCCAGACTATGCCATCCTCGCTGCACGAATTGCCGTCTCCAACCTCCACAAGCAGACAAAGAAGCAATTTTCCGCTGTCATCAATGACCTATACCACTATGTCAACCCTCGAAACAAAAAGAAGTCCCCCATGATCAGCCAAGCAACATACGAATGCATCATGAAGCACGAGGACGAACTCAATTCTGCTATTGTCTACGATCGGGATTTCCAGTACCAATACTTTGGATTTAAAACCCTCGAGCGATCATACCTCCTCCGTCTCGAAGGCAAGGTTGCCGAGCGCCCACAACACATGATCATGCGTGTAGCAGTTGGAATCCATGGTGAAGACATCGAAGCCGCCATCGAAACATACAACTTGATGTCGAGCAAATACTTCACACATGCCTCCCCAACACTCTTCGCCGCCGGCACACCACAAGCACAACTTTCTTCTTGTTTCCTGATCGATATGAAGGAGGACAGCATCGATGGCATCTATGACACATTGAAGACCTGTGCTATGATCTCCAAGAATGCTGGTGGTATTGGCCTCAACGTCCACAGAATCCGTGCTACTGGAGCCTACATCGCTGGTACAAACGGTAACTCCAACGGCATTGTTCCCATGCTTCGAGTCTTCAACAACACCGCCAGATATGTTGATCAAGGTGGCAACAAGCGTCCTGGTGCATTTGCCATCTACCTTGAGCCATGGCATGCTGATGTTTTCGAGTTCCTTGATCTGCGGAAGAACCACGGCAAAGAGGAAGTTCGCGCTCGTGATCTCTTCTACGCTTTGTGGATTCCTGATCTTTTCATGAAGCGTGTTGAAAAGAACGGAGAGTGGACTTTGATGTGTCCAAACGAATGCCCAGGCTTGGCAGACGTTTATGGTGATGAGTTCGAGGCTCTCTACGAGAAATACGAGAGTGAAGGCAGAGGCCGCAAGACCATAAAGGCCCAGAAGCTTTGGTACTCTATTCTTGAGGCTCAGACCGAGACCGGTAACCCTTTTATGCTTTACAAGGATGCATGCAACAGAAAGAGCAACCAGAAGAACCTTGGTACCATCCGAAGTTCTAACTTGTGCACAGAGATTATCGAATACTGTGCTCCAGATGAAGTTGCTTGTTGCAATTTGGCTTCTCTCGCTCTCCCATCCTACGTTGACATTACCAATGGTACCTATGACTTCAACAAGCTTCATGAGGTCTGCCAAGTTGTCGTCAAGAACTTGAACAAGATCATTGAGATCAACTACTACCCAGTCCCCGAAGCTAAAAAGAGCAACTTGCGTCACCGACCTATTGCTGTTGGTGTCCAAGGTCTTGCTGATGCTTTCTTGGCTCTTCGCCTGCCATTCGACTCTCCGGAGGCTAAGCACCTCAACAAACAGATATTCGAGACAATTTACCACGGTGCCTTGACTGCATCAGTGGAGCTCGCAAAGATTCACGGCACCTACGAGACATATGAGGGCTCCCCCGTCTCCAAGGGAGAGCTACAATATGATATGTGGGGCGTTACTCCTACCGATCTTTGGGACTGGGACAGCCTGAAGCAAGAGATCAAGCAACACGGTATCCGAAACAGTTTGCTTGTTGCGCCTATGCCAACAGCCAGCACCAGTCAGATTCTGGGCTTCAACGAATGTTTCGAGCCATACACATCCAACATCTACTCTAGACGGGTGCTTGCTGGAGAGTTCCAGGTCGTCAACCCTTGGCTCCTCAAAGATCTTGTCGACATGGGTCTCTGGTCTGACAACATGAAGAACCGTATCATCGCTGATGGTGGTTCTATCCAGAACATCCCCAATATCCCAGCTGATATTAAGGCTTTGTACAAGACCGTGTGGGAGATCTCTCAACGCAACATCGTCCAAATGGCTGCTGATCGTGGTGCATTTATTGATCAATCCCAATCTATGAACATCCACATGAAGGATCCAACAATGGGCAAGATTACCAGTATGCACTTTGCTGGCTGGAAGTTGGGTCTCAAGACTGGAATGTACTACCTCCGCACAATGGCCGCTTCAGCCCCCATCCAGTTCACTGTCGATCAAGAGGCTCTTCAAGTTGCTGACACCAACGTTGCTCGGGAGCGTTTAACCAAGAAGCGACCTTCTGCTGGCTTTATTGGAGCCTCTTCACAAACATCCGCCCCTCGCCCTATGTACATGAAGCAAAACTCAAACACGAGTGCCCCAAACGGGGTCCCGACGCCGTCGACAACCCCACCGCCGGCGTCTGAGAAAAAACTTGCACCCACCCCAGTCAAGGCTCCAGTTTTCAAAGCCGATGTCGAAGAGGGAGATTCTCCCAAGTCACTCGCAACCGAGCCAGCTACTAAGCCACCAAAGGTTGAGGAACTTCCTGAGCCTACCGTCCCGGCTAAGAAGCAGGAAGAGGATAACGCCACTGAGAGTACCGAGCGAGAGAATGATATTTATGCCGATGCAGTTTTGCAATGTAAGTCTTTCCAACATTATCCCTTGTATGTGAGCAGCGCTAACATCTATACAGGCAGCATTGAGAACAGGGAAGAATGCCTAATGTGTAGTGGATAGATGGATCAATGCTTACGCATGCTTTGCTTGTGCTGTTTTCCCTTTATCCAACGGAGTTAGTCTTTGCATTATGGTTATGAATATTCAGCGTCATTGATAGTTTGCTTTTGCTGGATTGGACACGAAAGAATGGTTTATGCATGGGATCAGACCAGACGAGATTGATATAAGTTTTATGTTATGTAATTGAATAAATAGGATGTTCCGTTACTACTACTATTTTTAACTCCAAGGCTTACTCAAGAAGTCATCCGCGCCTACGTGACTAAAACTAGAACTGTGCCTTCTTCTTTAAACCTTCTAAAACTCCACGTACCCAGGCCAGGCTAGGGCCATTCATATCGTTTTTACCTGTAGATTGATTGTCCAGTATCCCTTCAATCGCAATTCAACAGTGCGTACATGTATATGCAATGAGCTCAAGATCGGCACCCCGGCCTGCTATGGCGCGGAAGTTTGGCCGCTCCTTCGAGCCCTTTGACTTGCTCCCCATAGCAAGCCTTAATTATCGAGAACTAGGGAAATCAAGTCTGGCTGTCAATTCCGACAATCAAAATCTTTATGGGGAGTCCTAGATGAGGATGAAGACCCGGCCGGAATTCTCTACATCGACCTCAAATTCGATCAACCCAAAGATCGTCGGCTGTCAAGCGCAACAGTTGTGGTGACATTAGAAGAATTAGAAAAAGAAGTATAAAGCACAGTACTTTACGTATAATTTTAAAACAAGAAGAAATTAGAATGGTTTGGGTTCGAGGTAATAATAGTAGATTATATTTATTAGAAAACCTCACCTCTGAATAGAACCAGTTAGGTCTATATTTATTTTCAGCTTTATCACTTGATATATTATACGTAGAAAGTAATCAAGTTCTATCTTATAGAGGTAATAGTAGATGAGGATTAATAATATCCTATTGCCGCTTAATAAAGTCAAGTCTATAGCAACTATTAATGTAGTAGAAGTGATCACTCCTGTGATACTAACAACGACCTTGTCTAACTCTTTTATTTCAGAGTAATTAGGTAGTGAAATTCGAAACTTTGGGTGTTAGGTGTCTCCGGCCAATTTCGGGTATAGAATATATTTTTAGGAACCCTAGTGCTGGCAGTACACTCTACAGTTTAGAGTCTTTGTAAAGCTATCAAGAATCTGTCTATGTATGATGGGGTCTACTGCCTTCATCAAGATTATCAATCCGTACTGGTACGACAGCTGGAGAAGATTACACCATTATTCCATTCAAGGAATTTATGCCCAAACAGGGTAATTTCGACAGTTGCGCTAAGCTTGCTTGTGCTTGAAAGTGGCCTGATAGATAGCTAGATAGATCTTATCTAGTATTGCTGCGCGACACTAGCACATAGCAGTAAGTTTTCATAGACCTTTGAATATATAAATCATCTCGGCTTACCTGTATACTAAATCCTATGCTTTCAGACGTCCAATTTGTTTTTCTCCAGACAAATTGACCGCACACCTCCACATGAGAATGTATGCAACACAGTTTCAAAATTACCTCGCCAGGTGAGTAGCATCGTCCCAATTAACTCGCCATCATACTAATCTGTCTAGTTCATGGGCTGCCGTATTGTATCTCGTCGCCGTAGGTGCCATTGGTTACTATCTGTGTGCCAAGAATGCCCTTTTTGGTCTTGGTAATGTCAAGCCAACGAAGGAGGAGTATCAAAAAGTATATAACGAAATCGCGAGCCGTTTAGAAGAGGACTACCATTATGATGATGGCAGCTACGGTCCTATTCTAGTTCGTCTTGCGTGGCATGCTAGTGGTACCTACGATACGGAAACAGGCACAGGTGGCAGTAATGGTGCCACTATGCGAGTCTGCCCCGAGAGTCTCCATGGTGCTAATGCCGGACTTAATATCGCTCGAAATTTCCTCGAGGATGTTAAAAGTAAGTAGCAGCTCTATATACAAATAATATAATAGGCTCAGACTCGAACATTTTGTACAATCTACTTGCAAGAACCTCATTACATCACGTGACGAATTCCTTCACTGGCTAACGACTTGCTAATTTATGACATAGCTAAGTTTCCGTGGATCACTTACGCTGACCTATGGATTCTTGGTGGTGTCGCCGCTATTCAAGAGATGGAAGGGCCTATTATACCATTTCGACCCGGACGGAAAGATAGAGACTCCACTTTCTCTCCTCCTGATGGACGCCTCCCCGACGCATCTCAGGGAGCTCAACATCTCCGAACCATATTTAACCGCATGGATTTCAACGATCAAGAAATAGTGGCTCTCTCAGGTGCCCATAGTCTTGGCCGCTGTCACACTGATCGACTGGGTTTCGATGGCCCCTGGACCTACACACCTTCCAGCTTTAGTAACCAATACTATGTTATGCTTACGAGTGACTTTTGGAAAGTTCGCAACTGGGATGGCCCTCGCCAGTTTCAAGGCAGCTCGAGTCAGACACTTATGATGCTTCCTACCGACCTTGCCCTTGTCCAGGACGAAATGATGAAGCCATGGGTTGAGAAGTATGCCAATGATAGCAACCTTTTCTTTCATGATTTCAGCAACGTACTGTTGAAATTGTTTGAGCTTGGTGTGCCATTTGAGAAAAGCACCGAGAGATGGACTTTCACTCCTACTCAAGCGCAAAAATTAGCTATTTGATTATCCTCATTACTATCTCATCTGATTGATAAACAAGCACTCTTCTTTAATTATTACTATATCTCTTATCCAAACGTGATAACTAGATGTCATTGTAGAAAACCATGGCCTCCCAACTAGGCTTAGTTTAGGGGTAATTTCTCGTCAGGCCCATCGGTATTACTACAAACTCCATTCAGAATCAGAGAAATGAATGTAATTCTCGCATACCCTCTATGGCGTCGTTTTAGCGTTTAATCGTCCGTTATTACTCTTATAACCCAACAATATAGTACTTGTGCAAATCTCGACATCAATATGTTGAGTACTAGCGTCAAACTATTTTGAAGCCGAGATAAATGCTCTTTAACGTCTTTTCCTACTACTATATATTTGAAAAATGTATTCGGCCACCCTGCATCTCTTTTCATAACTAGCCTAGAGTTGCAGAGAGGGGTAGTCAATTTCTTGCCAACTTCCAAAATTCCAATCGTCGTCTCTAAGACTGTGAAGACGGGGCTCGTGCTTACCTGAGGAACATCCTGCTCAACTTTACAGCCTCACGAGTGTAGGGTATTCTTATCACACTCCAGCTCAAAGTTCTCTACTGCCAGAATCTACAACAAAAGAGCATGCTCGTGAACTAATTGATGGAGCAGCAGAGAAGTTGCGGTAGGTAAAGCACCATATATGGACTGGTTGAAGTCCAATCTGGGATTACCATGTCACTGACGAGGCACAGGCCATTTCATGAAATGGCTCGAGATCAATTTCTCATGTTACACTGTAATGAACACCAAGTAGACTTTTCTATGCTTGCCATAAATCTGGCTTAATACTACTCCGCTTTCAATTCTTTGGGATGAATCTCTCGAACCCAGGTGGAGGCGATCCTAAGATGTGCGGCATAAACATCGTTGTGTTAAGACCTTGTTCCTTTTCTTCTGCTCTCTTCCGTGCTTCCTCCGAAAGAATTCGCCATATACGTCTCCCATTTCGGATACTGAGTAGTTCATCATATGGTGTCGACTCCGTCATTCCGGTGATCTGGAATATTTCGTCATCGGTGGGATGATTGGAGTTTGGTAGTTGTGCTAGAGGATCCTGCTCGAGAAGCTGCGGAAAATGTTAGTAAGTCAAGGAGCAGATGACAGATGAACCCTTGTGAAGAACAAAAAGCCAATGTGTTCAGTCGGCATATGTAGGTATTGACTCACCTCACCATCTTCCGGGTCATCTGGTGGCTTCCAGTCTAGACCTCTGCACAACTTGCCCCGTGGTAACTGTGTGGCTCCTGTAGATAACCAACGTAGCTCGGGTTTTGTAAACCGTCAACGCGACGGTAAATTACTTCCCAGAGGCTTCTGATAGAATCGATCCCATTGGCCACTGCACCTCCTTCCTGAGCTTAGCTGTCACGCGTTGGATAAATCGGTGGGTAATGTGCAGACAGGCTTCGTGAATAGAGATGTAAAGATGCCCTCCAACATTGCGCTTACAGCGAACTCTGATGGCGTTCACAACTTCACCAAACTGAAGTTGAAATCCGTAGGACAAGCAGTCTATGCTAGCCTCCAGAGAGAGTACTACACGTGACGATTCTACTGGTGGATTTTGACTTAGGTGATAGAAGTAAGTGGGGAGCAAGCTTGTTTGTGGGTAATATAAATCGAGCTCTTTTGTCTCGGGCGATATTTTGTGGGCCGTGTGAGAAGAAGGCACCTTGCCAGCCATTCTTGATGTCTGCTGTTACTAAAAAGTAGAGTTAGCGGAGAATCAACCATCAGGAACGGATGGTTTATATTAGATTAGAGGCCAGTAGCTAAAACACTGTTGTTCAATGAGGTGTAATAATCTATTTGACTACCACAAACTGATAAGGTGATTTTTCATGTCTTAGTACTAGCTTTTATTCACGATTCGACACTTATATAAGGTTCCACCATTTTGAAAGCAACAGTATTATGATTAAGGATGATGATAATCTGTAGCTTCAATCAAGGCCCTAAGCGGGTTTTCAAAATTATGGATAGGAGGAACCATATCATAAAATTTCCCAAGGATTTGATTTCAGCTCCACACTTACCTTACATGACATTTCTACTCCCTCTATCTTTAGTAGCTTGATGTAGATGTAGCATCGCTTGATATTGATTAGATATGCAATCTTCAAGTCCAGACTCTAGGCCACAATTTCAAAGACAGCGACAGCTTGATTGAGGTGCCATTTATAACCAATAAACGCAACTTCAGCATGCATTCCAAGAGGATGAGAATAAAAAATGCGTCATACATTTATAAAAAAATATGAAAGCAGCAAAACCAAAGGGCGACAATTTGCGTAATCTATAGTACAAGTGAATAAAAGATCAGTATAGTTGTAACCTAGCCTGGAGCCAATGTCACGGGGTACGTACAGTAGCTCAAAGTGGTAATGTTGGTGGTCCTGTGGGCGGGGGCTTAGGTATCCAAATCAGAGTGTCACATTGCAGAACTCAATGCTAAATGTGATGAGACTCCTTATGTCTACCACCTAGCTAGTTTCCGGCTTTCAATCGCAAATCGACCCGCGTAATCGTTCCCTCGAGCTATATAGAAGGTGTTATGGTTCTATCACCTCTGTGATACGCCAAGAGTTGAGTTCAAACGGCGACCTGATACTGACATGACGTTCTACCAACCCGATGTTTGATATCATGGTCTTGAAGCTTGAAGCAGGGGAAAGAAATGGAAAGTGCAGAGGATAATGCCGTTAGTGGAATTGTAAGACGAGGGGAGGCGGGGTGGGGTGTAAAATTTAAGGTACTCGTATAGGAGATGTAGATGAAACGAATAGCTTTAAGAGTAGCACATTTTACGTCCATCACACTTGCGCATCTCGGTCGCCTGTCTCGAATATGGTTGTTAAAGAATGCGCGAACCAGTACATTTCCCACATAGGAAAGGAATAAGATGACATCTTCTCTCGAGCTCTAATCAAACCCCTCACCAGACCAAACATGGACAGTAAGGCCTAGTCACCCTTCCCCTCTTTCCCCACATAGGAAAGGGATAAGATGACATCTCCTCTCGAGCTCTAATCAAACCCCTCACCAGACCTAACATAGACAGCAAGGCCTAACCACCCTTCCCCTCTTTCCCCACATCCTCATAGCCAACGCCCAAGGAGTAACATCGTCTTCTGACCACTGCATACGGAAACGCGAAAGCAAAGCATCCTCACTGAACAAACATGCATTTCAAAGCCATAAGCATGCTCTAAACTTTTATCACAATGCAAAAGGTGCAGTAGCTTGTATATCATATTATGCACCGGAAAGGATCCCGGTAGCGACATATGATACTAGGATATAATATCATATATTCCGCTATATGATAGCCGACAATAAGTATATGAGAGGGGAAAACAACTGCCGGCAATAGAACAAGAGAGACAAACTCTAAATATTTAACCATCGAAAGTTCAGTTGACGTCAAAACCAAATGTAATAAGCATATGAAAACGAAAATCTCCTAGGAAAACAGCAGTAGTGAAGCGGCACTTGATGGAATAGAATCAAACAACTTCGAACAGTCAGTAAACATGAATCATCCATTCCTTCGTAAGGAAAGGAAGGAACGGTACAAGTATTGAAAAAGTGACAATGCAGTCATGTAGCACCCTCTGCATAAACGTTATAGAGTAGGGACGAACGTGCAGTAGGTGAGCACAGACACGGCCACAATAGATCATGCGCCGGAGAGGCCTCCGGTGGGGTGCGTGCGGCGTATAGTAACCACGACCTCGGGACCCGCAAGAACATGTGACGGTGCTAAAAGAAGACGAAGAGGAAAACGAAAAAGAAAACGAAGAAGAACACGAAATGCATGGCATGGCTAGGAACCCTTAAACCCCTAGTAGTACAGAGTAATACTGTAAAGGCGCATGCCATAGCATGATACCGATAGGAGAATTTCTTGTGCCTGCATAATATAATGAAGGAGATTATATTACTGTCATGATTTAAAAGATGATGCAGGAAGGACTTCGACTCCGAGCCTCAGCATCAAAGGACGTTTGATGATCAAACACCACGTGGGACATGTTCATGTACATGTACGGCATGTACTTATGAACGTAACAATTAGGGTGTTGAGACATGCTGCAGGTGTCGCGTGGATGGATGAATCGTGCCTGTTTGATGGGCGTTAGAGTTTCGTTTGGCGAAATGGTGAGAGCAAGGTATGGAACAACGACCTGGAGAGGATTTGAGGTTATGACATGATAGGTTTTTGGATCTTGCATAGGGATGTGTATAATTTTGATACTATACTCATATTTAAAGGGGTATTTTGAGGAAGAAGTTCTGTTGGGGCGATTATGAAGTCATGTTTCATGATTCTGCCGGGATGTACTTCTGTAACTTTTGCTATTTTTGGGCTAGTAAAGGTAAATACTGTATCTACAATATAGTACCAAGGAGAAAAGCAACCAAAAGTGATATAAAGATATAACACTAAGTTAAAGGCCGAAAAAACAAAAGTGTTACTCTAGATATTGCGCATATCTCAAGGGCCGATGTATTATACGAGGCGCAAAATGCTCCAAAATAAAGTACCGTAGTGCAACAACATAACTGGAGAGATAACTAAGAGAAAAATAGAGTGGATCGATAGGATGAAGATATTCAAATCTTGACTTAGTGATAAGAACAACTAGCTGTCGTAAGCCTTACGCGAAGTTCGTGAGGCGGACGACCGACACTTACGGTACAAAAGCCGGGTTCCCAGCTGGGACTTCCCAGGTAAGATGAGGTAAAGTCCGGCCGGGGCTTAAGTTAGTACCGTATTTCATAATATTTCGTAGATACCGCATTAATACCAGTCCCTGATCCCGAACACGGGTACGGTAGGTATCTTATAGTGTGAACGGCCCTCTAGCACCGACATTCTCATGGAGTTTTCTCCATTCAAGAGCTGAACGCATCCAACACCCGCGTTTTCATGGAGTTTGTCCAGACAAGATGCTGTACCAGACAAGA